AGCACGCTACTAAATCCCAAATAATTATCAAACCAAAAAGCACGACTAAGGCCAGGAAGTACTTGTTGAAGAGCAGATCCCTTGCGGTCCAAGGAAGAATAAGGTAAGAGTTATCCATGTCTGAATATCACCAACTACAGAACCAAACTGAACACAAGAAATCTTATCATATAATGATATTCAGACAAATGCAAATAGGGGAAATATTGACACTGTTAGTCATTTTGATGGTGACTCTAAAAACTCAACGGAAGCCATAAAGATTGCCAAAGATTTGAAACTTACACTTATTATTATTATGATTTTTCTCTTTTGCTATTAAACAATTACAACACGCTATACAACCGTAAAGAAGAATTAATATAATTATCACCATTATCAAAATTAAGACATTTTTATCAGAAATAAAATAGTCTTTTAGTTCTAGAAACAAGGGGGAATTCATAATTAAACCACAAGTGTTGTCCACGAGCTGCGAGAGAAAACTGGCATCCAAACTTTAGTTTCAGGTAACCAGATTCAAAAATATAGACAAACTTGACTGTTCTGGCAGATAAGATAGGGATTCATCCTTATATTTTTGGTTGTGGTTAAGCAAAACCGGGTTAGACAGTCAAGCACATCACAAGCAATAATGAGGATTAAGCCAAATAAACAGTGTTCCCTACTCGTTGATTAAGATAGTTAAGGCAATAATTTCCTTGTGAAAATACCTCACTCTCACTGATATATGGAAGGTCATATTTAATGCATACCTTTATCCTTTCGGCACTTGCAACACTTCCAAAAACACACAACACAAATCCAAAGAATGGCAAATGCAATTATAACAGCCTTGTAGGTCCTATATGGTATATGGTATCCAATGGCATCCGGATCCCTTTCGTCGAAATTGTAAGGCATGTTGAAAATTATATATACTAAAATACGTTTCACCGCAACGAGCTCAGAAAATAAACTGATCAGCAATTTTGTAAGCGAGAGAATCGACAGCTCAGCAGCAGATCTCCAACAAGTCTACGTTTCTGTTTGCGGGAAAACCCCAAGCTTGCTGCTGTGAATGAAATGGAATTCCCAATGCTGAGTTACTCATTTTACTCACATGAATATCTCACTCGCTTTATGACGTACTTGATGGCCATGCAGCACCGGAGGACCAGGCCCAGAGCTAGAATACTCATCATAATGATCAAGAATATTGGAAATATAAACTCCTCAAAACCCATTGAATATTTTATATTTCTTTACAAGAAAGAAAGAAATTTCCCCGCTCGACTGCTCGACTTGAGGCCACAAACACTAATGAAAGGCTCTGGCAACTAAAAATAAAGTTGGTACTTGCTTAGGCCAAAACTTTGAAACACATGTTGATTTCAAGCGAGATATCAAGTTAAAACCATCACATTTGCCTCAAAGATACTCCCAAGTGTGTTCTTTGTTTTAGAACTTTAGTCAATAAACTTAAAAAGCATTAACAGTGACTTAGCCAAAGGTGGCAGAAAAAAAAATACCCCTCACAGTGTGGTCGAAAATGAAAAATAAATATGTTTTGTGTTGTCTGTATAAATAAATAACAAACAAGCACAACAAGACAATTAAAAACTATTCTTTTATTTCTGCAGCCTGCTTTTAGGCTCTTGGGAAAATAGAAATTATCTTTCACAGCAAACGGAAGGTAGAAATCTCAGCTAAAATATGTTTTGTTTTCAACAGAACTCAATTCAATTAAATTAACATTGGTTTAAATGTTAGACAAGTAAATTCATTTACATAAAAATAAAAATAAATAACAAAAAAACAACAAATCAAAGTTAAGCATATAGGTTTTACAAATACATATATATTAGGACTCTTATTATCAACGTAGTACAAAAAGTGTGGCTTTAGACAAACAAAACGCACAGGAACTTGATATACTTTAAACACAGGATACTTGAAACACCGTAAACTTAAAACACAGAAAACTTAAGACACAGGAACTTGATACACAGTAGCTTAAACACAAGACAGGAACGAATCTGAGGACTAGGACTTCTCCAGTTTGATCTAGAGATACTAACTTGCTTCGATGACGCCTTTGTCCGCCAGCCGTTGATTCCTTTTACGGATCGCCGAACGGATTATGAGCACCAGGACGGCGCAAAGGACCACAACGAATATGGAGCACAGGACAATAGTGGAGATCTCCAGGTCCTTCTCTTCCGGTACGTGCGGCATTGTTCCGATTTACAACTAATTTAATTACAATAAACTAACTAACAGATTCGATTTGGCAGACAGTCTTCTTTGTGGATGTTTCGACGAAAGTTTGGAGCTACGCCGATGCGTTCCTCGTGTTCATTGCGCAGACGTTGGACGATGATTGCGAACTGGAGGAGACTCCTCGCCGACTTTTGTAAGTCCGCAGACTACAGGCACTCTTCGGATCCCTCACAGACCCAGCCCGAAGGCATTGGGTTGAAATACCGATAAGATTAGCTCCCCTTCTTTCCGTGACGCGCTGCCCCATTTAATCGGCTTAAAGACGCCATATAGTCCTGATACCGGAGCCAAAAGCTAGCACAGAATCGGGGGAACCATAAAAGTTCTCAAGTGGACATTATATTTACAGCTTGAAACCTGCGTCAATAGTCCGCATCAATCAAAAGAGAAATTAGGTTTCGATTTCCCTCCGAAATTTTGACTTTTGGGGGATCCTCATCAGCTCTTGTCGAGGCATGCGATTACCCTTGACATTATTCCCACAAATCTGCGATTCGTACGTACGTCAGCAGTAATCAAATAATTTAATTACACCTTATCGGCCCTAGCCGCTACCCAGGCTAAACAAATGAAAGACGAGAAGGAAAAACACCGGCCAACATCGGTCTTCCTCCTGCCAATAATGACTTTTCAGCAGAATCGTAGGAAATAAAAACCTGTCAGTCTGAAGTACTCAGCCAACAGTAGCCCATTGTTTACAATCCGTCGAGGAAAGCGTCTCATATATCGCAACAAGGCAATAAACCTATAAGTATATATGGACTGCTTCAAGTATAAAAACAATACAACTAAAAAATTACACAAATGCAGGCTTACTAAGAGATAGCATTAAGCCAAGTGTAGAAGTCCTCGATACATCAAGAGGTCACATATTCTATTCTTTTTCAATATATTACCTTTTCAGTTCCAAACAAAAACAAAAACAAACTTTTGTGCGGTTACCTAATGGAAAAACCTCTTGGAAACCGGGTTTTCCGCCTGTACCTTGTTCGAAATTATTTTCGGGGCATCTAATCAATGCCATATCGCCTAATTTGAACACCAGTAAATATAATTTAATATCATACCGGTTAAAAGAAGAACAACCCACTGGGTCTTGACGTCAAACATTTGCTAAAAAAACACAGATTGCCGAGAATGGAATGAAAACATTAAAGATTTGTAAATTAAGGCGATAATCAGGAACAAGAGGCGCCCAATGCAAATGGCGACTTAGATTTTGGGTACTTAAAGACGCCGTGATTAGATTTCGATAGCCTGAGCTGTCTGAAGTGATTATTCCCAGAATCGCAGATACGACCTCCGATTACCATATCGTGATGGTTATTTAACGACTTGCTCTCACCATCTCTGATCACAGTAGCGGTGGCCACCCGAAGGCGACGTGCTCGACGGATCCGCAACAGAACCAGGATTAAGACCACTATAAAGAACACCATCGTAATGGGGAACCACACATCAAAGTAGATGTAAACCATTTTGAAAAACTTCTTTTTTTCTGTTGGGTGAGCGAAGTGATCGGTTTAGAGTTCCGGTGAATACTGCAGAACGCACATTTTATATGCCCTGGATACAATTGTCAATTGCCTTATCTCTATAAAAATAAATAAATCACACTGTTATCGAAGAAAAGCTACCGAAAATGAGTCACTAGGCAACATTTAAATTCCTAAATCTAGAAGGGAGCAAAGTAATGGTATGATTATTGTTAATAATAGGGAATTCCCTGGCCAGAAAAGAATTACATGAAGGTATTTGTAAATATTTTTTGATATTTTAATAAAGTTGCTGACAAGATTCATGGTGAAAATAAACATTGATAAGGAAATCAAATTCTATATAAAAATAAGATACTAATTTCTATTGAAAAACTTTAGAAAATGATTTTTTTTTAGTTACTATGTGGGAACACTAGAATACAGAAAAGCATATTTTCTAATGATATTTCTAATGATAAATTAAATAATTAATAGTAAATCTTGGTTAAAAACTGTAGGTGCATGTGATTTTACAATAGGGAAATTATATGTATCTAAGTAAAAGGCTGGCTTATGGTTGCTTTATATGGTAGGCATAGATAACTCTATCTCCTATCAAAATTAGATTGCTGCCTATTAACTATACCCTATTTTAATATAGATAACTATGATAAATATGATAATTGTGAAAATCCCAGTTGGAAAAATGCACTAAAAATGAGAAATTATACAGAAACTTTAGGGAACCTTTAATAACCCATTTTTATATCAATACTCAACTGCTATCTACAGTCGCTTTTGTGGAAAAGCCTGTGCAGAAAGCAACGAAACGGATAAGATAAAAGTTCAAATGTGGTAACTCACAAATAAACTTAATTAGATAATTAAACTTTTGTCACATGCTGATAAAAATAATTAAATAAACGAGTGAGCCTAATTGATTTTGTTTACGAATCAAGGGAGAAGCAGAAGCATTAAAAATGGCCAAGAAGCTTGCCGAAAAGCTCTCTGCCTTTCTCTCCGATTTGTGTACACAAATATTAATCACTACTTAGCACGAATATACAAAAATACAAATTATAATCAGTATAATCTCACGCACACTGAAGCGAATGAATATTTGCTCTTCTTCAGTCAGAAAAACTCCTCCCTTTTGGTTTTTTATTTGGCTGGTGAGGTGGAGAAATGACTCATCGCGGGGGTTTCATTTAATATATTGGATGGATAATGGATATTTGTATATTTATTGTCTGTACTCACTGGAGAGAACTGCGCCCTGGCGCCTGCTGGTGCAGCAATATCCGCAACAACTCATGACCAGAAAGGTCAGTACGAAAAAGAAGAAAATACTCCAGAAATCCATGGCGAAGTCGTCCAAATCGTCCAGTTCGAAGTCGTCCACTGCACACAAAGGATTTTGAAATATAGATATTTAGTATTATCAAATCCCACAACAACATTAGAATGCAGTACTCACGTTTGTCCAAAGATTATCCGCTTTTGAGGTATTTGCACCCGAAAAGTCCACTTGTTGCAGTTTGTTGCAACCGTAAACTGCGTTCTTAAACAAAGGAAATTTAGTCTTCCTCCAAAAGCACACGTGGTACTTGGAAGTGTTTCACTTTACTGGTCAGCCGGGACACCTAATTGAAGCCCGATCAAACTTAGCTAACTATATCTTATCAGTGGTTAATCTGCAATAATAAGCAATTTTATTGGGGCTCGACAGGATAGTGTTGATAAATTCAATTAAAAGCGGAGAATTGTACAGCACTGCTAGCTAGTGATGTGTTTTATGGACGCAAAACAGCTGTGCCTAGTATCGATTGTTGTTTGAATTTTTCAATTCCGTGTGTAAGGTATAGGAATCTGGCAGCGACCAAAAATTATGTTGAAAAATAGCTCGGGCTGTTGCTGGGCCACTTACCCATAGTTCAGGATTTTTAGCAATATAAGAGTACAGTCGATATCGAACGGCCGGTGCTATCGATATTTTAAACGATCTGGCAACTCTATAGATAAACGGCGATCAATCTATCTGCCGCCAAGATTTGACATCACTAGGACGCCACCGCCGAAAAAACAAAAATCGAAAAACAAACGCTAGTGGATATTGAGTTAATTTAATTAAAATAAGCAAACGATGGAAGAGACTAAGGACTTCCAGTTCGTGCTGCCGCTCAACGTAACTGACCTGGTGAACAGCTGCGGCGACCAGTACTACGTGAAGGAGATCTTCGGCAACGCCGAAATCTCCCAAAAGCTTTTGGAATGCAAGCGGAAAGCCCGCCTGGATGATCCATTCTACATCTTCGAACACTTCGACACCTATTACTCTATTGTTGAGGCCCCCGGCAACAATGAATCCACCATTCGCAACCTTATGCGGGCCTTCGACCTGCTCTACTTGACCGTGGACAACCTCGGCCAGGCCTTGCAGCCGCTGCTGACCGCCAGCGAACCGATGAGCAACCAGCAACGCACCAGATACCTGAATTTGACCAAGATGACACTCTATCTACAGGTGAATATCGTACGGAAAATCGACAATGGCTTCCAGCAGGCACAGCGCGATGGCCAGCTCAACGCCCAGAAGAAGCGCGGCAAGCAGGCAGAGCAATCGCTGGAAAACTTCCCCGACTGGGACATCAAGCGCGGTAAGTTCCTTGTGCAGCTGTTTAACGTAATGCAGTGTCCGCTCGAGAAACTATGGAGTCCGCCCGTCGCAGAGGAGGACTTTGTTTCAATGGTCTGTGATATTTGCTATCGAACCTTGGAGCTGCTGCCGGTGCGCAGCGACAACCGGCACGTTTTCGACACGATCTTCCAGATCCTGGGTACCGCCATCAAGCGCTTCAATCATGCCATGACCTTTCCGGTCCGTATACTGCAAATTCTGCGCGGCACCGAACATGCAGCCGTCTCTGTGGCCAATGGTATCTTCCTGCTGCACGAAGAGTACGGTATCTCATCCGTCTTCTCGATCCTGATCAAGGGCATTGCAGACGCTCTAATGCTGGACAGTTCCGATTCGGCGGTGTCCAAGCACTTTGCCAACTTCCTAACCGAGTTCTCGAACATAGCGCCGTCACTGATCATACCGCATTTGGCGAAGCTGGCTGATGATCTACTGGACTGCCAGTCGCACACGCTTCGGAACTGTGTGCTGCAAATCATTGGGGACACGGTGATCAGCGAACTGACATCGGAAGGCCTCAGCCAGGAGTTGAAAGAGGTACGTAACGAGTTCCTTGAGCATCTGTTGTCCCATATTTGTGACGTATCGGCACACGTACGCTCCAAAGTGCTTAGCATCTGGCATCATTTGAAGGTGCAGCACGCCATTCCGCTTAACTTCATCATCAACGTGCTAAGCGAGGCCATCGGGCGGCTGGAGGACAAGAGCTCGCTAGTGCGGCGTGCCGCCATGCAACTGATCAAGTCCGCGCTGGAAAGCAATCCCTACTCCAGCAAACTGTCTATTGACGAGCTTCGCGCCAAGCATGCGAAGGAAGTGGAGGCTATGGAGAAGCTCGACGAAGTGCTTAAAGAAGAGCGCCAGCAGCAAGAGCAGTTAAACGAGGAGTGGGGCACCTTGGCACCCGATCTGCTGCCCTTTATCGAGGAGAATCTTACAGAGTTTCCTGACATGCAGTTCGACAAGGAGGAAAGTGACGAGGCCCTGCTGCAAAAGATCGTGCCAATGATGCGCGAGAAGAACTACAAGGAAGTGATTGTATTGGTCCGCAAGGTCGACTACTTGGCAGGTAACCAGACTCTAAGCTCCCAGCTGAAGCACGATGAGCACTGCGTGTACGTTTTGGCCCTGATGAAAACATATCACCTGGTGGCCGCCGGATTAAAGCAGAGCAACGAAGAGATGCTACAGCAGATCGCAACGGTGCAGTTCCTCAAGGACAGCATTGACTTTGCGGTGTTAATGACATCAGCCTTCCCCAAGCTGCACGAGCTGCTCATGTCCAAGACAAACACGGACGTGTTCGAAGCGGTGGACCTGTTCACTACGGGCTACATGTTCGGAATCCACGGTACTGAGTCGGGAATGCAACGAATGCTGCAACTTGTTTGGTCCTCGGACAAGGAAAAGCGCGATGCCGTATCGAATGCATACAAGCGAGTGCTTTTCACCACGGATCATACCGGGCGCGTTCACGCCATACGGGTGGTACAGAATTTGTCGAAATTCCTTTCGGAAATCGAGTACGGACACTACACGGCCATGGAATCGGTGATGGCCGAGTGGATTGCCGCTGGCGACATCGATGCCTCGGTCATTCAGGTGCTCTTCGAGCGCTTCACCCTCAAACTGGAGGGAACCACCGCTGCCGAGTCGCGCCTCGCTCTGCAGCTCCTGATCATGGCCTCGGACTCGAAGGCCGCCATTGCGTCTGCCAACACAGCCATCATCGAGGACATTGCCGTCGGGGCGAGAGTGCGCCGGGATCCACGCATTTTTACCGGCTGTCTTCAGTTGCTGGTCAACTCCGTCAAATCCAACAGCAATGCCAAGTTCTACAAGCGACATGACAGTGAGTCGGAATTTGTGACAAAGATCACCCGGCTATTCCTGGACTTCTTTTTCCACCAGAAGCTGTCGGACTTTGACGGTCTGGCCATGAGTGTATTCGAATACTTCTACAAAATGTGCCAAGCACCGGATGTGATCTCGCAACAGCTGGTGAAAGCGCTGATCAAGCGGTTCAACGAGAGTTGGCTGATCAATGCGGAAGATGTGTCAGCTGTGGCCCCCTCACCGGCGGCAGTGGCGGATAAGGAGAACGATTTGTGCTCGCAGCCGCCGACAGAGATACCCTGTTCGCAGACTCAGCCCTTCACGCAGACTCAGCGCATCACACAGAGTTCAACTCTCCAGCGGGGGAAGATGATGATGCCTGTTTACTTGGTCTCTCGCTTTGTGTTCTGCATTGGGTACATGACCATCAAGGAGATGATCTTCCTGGATATGGACATCTATAACAACATGAAGTACCGCGAGGAGCTGACGGCTCAGGAGGAGCGAAATAATCGAAACAAGCCGCCGCCGCCAATGAGCAATAGGAAGACCCTAAACGTTTCCGCTATGGAGGTGCGCAAGCGGCTATCCGGTGTAACGGCGGAACCGCAGCAGGAGCCGGACGAGGATTTGGTGGGGGCCACGGCCGAGGACAACATTGCCGAGGAAATTCACAGCATTGGCGAGGACATGCTACTGTACAACCCCAAGGCCCTGCTCACCAAGCTGTCCCGATTCGTCAAGACCATCTGCCAAAGACCCGGAGAGTTCCGTGACGCCAAGCTACAGCAAGCAGCAACCTTGACGCTCGCCCGCCTAATGACCGTTTCGTCACGCTTCTGCGAGACCAACATGAGCTTCTTGATGAACATCCTCAGCTTGACCAAGAACATCCGCATCAAGTGTAACACGGTGGTGGGCCTGTCGGATCTCACCTTCCGCTTCCCGAACATCATCGAGCCTTGGACGGGACACTTTTACGCACAGCTGCATGAATCAAACACTGAGCTCCGGCTAACAGCCGTTAAGATGCTGTCCCATCTCATTCTCAACGAGATGATACGCGTCAAGGGTCAGATCGCAGACATGGCGCTCTGCATTGTGGACGAGAACGAGGAGATTCGCAACATCACAAAGCAATTCTTCAAGGAGATCGCCAACAAGTCCAACATTCTGTACAACGTCCTGCCGGACATTATCTCGCGGTTGGGCGACATTAACCTGAACCTGGACGAGGATAAATACCGTACGACCATGTCCTATATTCTGGGTCTTATCCAGAAGGACCGCCAAATCGAAACTCTCGTTGAGAAACTATGCCTGCGCTTCCCGGTGACGCGCGTTGAGCGCCAATGGCGCGATATTGCCTACTGCCTCAGCCTGCTCAGCTACAATGAGCGGTCGGTAAACAAGCTTATTGATAACTTGCAGCACTTCAAGGACAAGGTGCAGGTGGATGAGGTCTATCAGTCCTTTAAGCTCATCATCAGCAACACTAACAAACTAGCCAAACCGGAGCTCAAGGCTGTTGTAACCGAGTTTGAGAATCGACTCAACGAGTGCTTGCAGGTCAACCCGAATCCAAATCCATCGGCGGAGGCCAGTACCTCGGAGGCTGAGTCTCAAAGAGCACGCGGGCCCAAGTCGAAGAAGGGTCGAAAGCCGGCAGCTACCAAGAAGCCACCACCATCAAGGAGACGCGGGCGACGCCAACAGGATACAAGCTCTGATGAGTCTTCAAGCAGCGACTATTAGTCTCTTTTTTCACTATTTACAAACCTTTTATATTTAATATTAAGCTTAAATGTAAAAAGGAAATCTATTCTCTAATTCATGGGTAACTCTAAAATGCTTTTGTAAAGCAAATGAAAGTGTAATCAATTGTAATCTCCGTAGGTTTTACATATTTATACATAAAATGCAATTAATTACAATTAATGTACAATTTTAACAATCCATTAAGAAGGAAAACTTTGGGTACCTTGGGTAGATATTATTTTATAATTAAAACCGTGATACTGGACTTAGTATAAGAATATACTAATCCCATCCTGACCGTTAAGTACCCATTCAAGATCGATTTTAGAAAACTATACCTCACTGTGCATATATATTTCAACGATGGCAATTTTCCGATTCGTAACATTAACAAAGACTATAACTAAGGCTAAAATTCGTTCCGGCATTTACAAATTCAGAGACCGAATCTGAGTTCCGGCTCAAATCCCGACTATGGCTAGTCGCTGACGCGAGCATAGATCACGGCCGTGCGGCTTGGTGTGTAGACCTCAATGAAGTTGCTTCGCCCAGCATAGCCCTCGGGGTTGGAGCGGTGCGTGCAGTTGGCATCGATGCGGTTGTGTCCACCAAAGAGCGGATCGTCGGAGGAGAGCACCGCCTGATATGTACCGGCCCAGTTGGTGCCCACGCGGTAACCGGTGAAACTGCGCTGGGGATGGAAGTTGAAGACGAACACCAGGCCAGCTCGCTCAAAGGCTATGATCTTGTCGCCCTCGTGCTTCCAGCTGACATAGGCGGGTCCGGAATGCAGCCAACCGTACCGTTCCTCCAGCGTGTTCATGGCCCGATCGAACTCGTTGAGGTACTTGTACTTCAGAAGCTCATCGTCGACTAGATTCCACTGCCGGCGGGCATAGTGATACGAGTCATTGTTACCGACGCGCGGAAAATCTAGCCACTCCGGATGACCGAACTCGTTGCCCATGAAGTTCAGGTAGGCCTCTCCGCCCAGCGAGTGCGTTATCAGCCGGATCATCTTGTGCAGCGACAGGCCTCGGTCAATGATCAGCGAGGGATCCGACAGCGTTGACATGTGCGTGTACATTTCCTTGTCCATGAGCCAGAAGGCAATAGTCTTGTCGCCCACAAGAGCCTGGTCGTGTGACTCGGCGTACGCCACCGTGTTCTCCATCCAGCGGCGGTTGGTCAATGTGTGCACCACGTTACCCATGTTCCACTCGTCATCGCTCTGCTCCTTCAGCAACTCAATCCACTTGTCCGGAATGGCCATGCCTAGGCGGTAGTCGAAGCCGATACCACCCTCCGAAACCGGTCGGCACAAGGTGGGCATACCTGAAACATCCTATAAAAATAAGATAATGTGTTATTGTCCAGATCTAGGTTAAATACCCACTCACCTCCGCAATGGTAATAGTCTCCGGGTCCAAGGTGTGCAGCAAGTGATTTGCCAGCCCCAGGTAGTTAAGGGCATCCGTGTCGACATTCAGGCCAAAGTATTCGTTATAGTCTCCACTGAATCCCTCTCCAATGCCCCTCGAATGGTACAGCATGGAAGTAACGCCGTCGAACCGATAACCGTCAAAGTTGTACTCATCATGCCACCAGCGCAGGTTAGACAGAAGAAAGCGCAGTACCTCGTACTCCACGTAGTTAAAGAGACGGCTGTCCCAGAGCGAGTGCTCTCCTCCGGCTCCATCGTGGAAAAAGCAGCTGTTGGTGCCGTCGAACTGGTTCAGACCATCCTGCACGTTCTTAGATGCGTGCGAGTGGACCACGTCCAGGAGCACATACAGACCATGGGAGTGGGCCACGTCGATCATACGCTTCAGCTGCTCCGGATTGCCGTAGCGGCTGGAGGCAGCATAGAAGCTGGTCACCTGGTAACCAAAACTGGCATAGTAGGCATGCTCCATAATAGCCATCACCTGGATACAGTTATATCCTTGGCGCTTGATGCGTGGCACGATCCGGTCGGCAAACTCATCATAACTACCCACTCGAGGCTCCTGGGACGCAATACCCACATGGCACTCGTAGATCCTCAGCGACTTTGGCTTGGCTGGCCGAGGATGCTGACGCTGGTAGCGCTCGTAGGACGGTGGCTCCCATACGTACTGCTTGTAGTTGACGCCCTGATTGGCCGACTTGGGTGGCTGAACCACGTACTTGGCCCATGGCGACAGGCGGTCCAGCAACTGACCGGAATGGTTGCGAATGATCACCTTAATTTCGCTCAAGTGCTTGATGGCTGGACTACCGTCTGCATTGGGGGGCAGGTGAAGCTCCCACTTGCCAAAGTCGAGCTTCTTGAAGGGGTGAGACTCCCAGTGCCAGTTGTCTGTGGGGAGGTAATTATTAGATTAACCCTAATGATCGGCTTCAAAATGGAAGACAACTTACTGAAATCACCAGTGAGGTAGACATCCCTAGCTCCAGGTGCCCATTCACGGGCTATCACCGAATTGTCGGGTTGAAAATGGAGACCATAGTACTTGTAGCCCTGTGAAAACTGTTCCAGTCCACCCTCGCCCTGGTTAATCCTTTTCAACCAGTCCTGAAGCACACCGTGTCTGCGTGTAAAAAAAAAACGTTTATATTTAGGAGTTGTAAGAACTATTAAAGGGAATATTGAAAATAGAGTATTAATATTAAATCATGAACTTTCTGAAACAAGTAAACTGAATCATTCAATCAAACAAAGCTAGTATCTGTTCGAATAAGACAAGACATACTCTTGTCAAAACACTAAATTGGGTTGCACGAAATACTTCAATAATAAATATTTAAAAAAACGTCTCCTACAATAAACAATTACAATATCTCTTGAAATCGGCCACTTACAAATCCAACGAAATCCTGATTTTGTTCTTTAAATTTTCAATCCTTAGCAATCATGACTATAAAAATTATCTTGACTATATAATTACGTTATAAAAAACAAAAAACTAAAAAGGCTAATTTTTCCAGGATTTCTCCATTCTTTAAGATTTTGTTTCCACGAGTAAGAACTTTAGAGGTATCGCTCTCAAATGTGTATTGGTTTATATCAAGTCCAAATTATAAGGGAGAGTATTATAATTTCAGTCAGAACATTGAAACGCAGAGGAGTTATTTCCGACAAATCATATATATTTTTGATCAGCATCAACAGCTTAGTCAAACTTGCCATGTTCGAAAGAATAAAATTTTTTGAAATTTTGTCACATTTTTAAAAGGGGTAAGATCGGTAAAATTATCAAAATTAAAAAAAAAAGTTTCTTGAATTTTTAAATTTTTTAAAACAAGCACAGAAAAGCTTTCCCAATTGAAATTAATGTATTCTTGGTTTAGTTTTGATCTATTGAATATTGGCTAAAAGGTCATAAGTGTTAAGGCTGGTCAAGTACAAATGGGGTCTAATTTTATACTCAACAAGTAAATTAATGTGTAGGTTTTGATTATATGAACCTATTGTTCCGGCAATTCCTTCGATAAGGGGAGATAAGCTCATCTACTAAGAGGATCTGGCACGAATCATCAAAAAATATTAGAAAGAGACTTAAATGATGTTTAATCTTGTAAACTGAAAAGTGTCGAAAAAAAACCAAACGCAAGGAAAAGAAATCAAAACAAATCCGATGAAAACGGAAATACAACCAAGTGTTTAAATTTGCATCGAAGATGTAAAAATAGGAATCGGGTTGACGCACCGCTGACACGATTCGGGCCAACACGGAAAAGGCCACCAAGGCCAAGATCATCCGTGCTCCAAACACGCCGGCAGCACGCAGCAGATACACAAAGAACACGCTTTATAAAATTAGTTTAACAAACACCAGCACGGTGCACACACACACACACTCACACTAACTAAAACACACACTGAGGGCGGCAAACACCAACGACCTTCATTCGACATTGCGAACGCAGTTTTTCCAACCGCAAACTGCATGTCACCCGGCAGCTAGGGCACTCTCCGGCTGATATGGTTTGGTTATGCAGCCGGAGCTGGAGGCCGCGTCAAGTCCGCTTATCACTCGCATCGAGCCGGCATAGCAACCTTGGGGTTTCACGAAGCGCCGCTTTTGGGGCGCCACTGATACTACTCACCTGCGCCGGATCTCATGCTCGTGGGGTCGCAGGTAGCCGTCAGTTTCAAACAGCTTCTCGATGTCCTTTACCTCCGCCATGTCGGAATGGGAGGGGAGCAGCGCCAGAAGATCACGGACCAAAAAACGAAGCGAAGACGCTGCCTGTCCACTCGGAACTGTGACGCCCCATCAGCTGCAGTCCAACTCAAAAGTTCCGACGCGGACATGAGCTTTTGGCACAGCTGTTTTGCAGCTTTTCCTTGCCGGGCTCATTCGCACATGTAAACAACGGGCGCCGGCGATGCATGTTTTCGTCGCCAAATATTGCGTACTCGCACTGATGGCTCCAAAGTACAGTTGTATGTGTGTAAATATATATTAAGTATACGCCCAATTACCGCTGACTGCTGATTGCCGTTCGCCGGTGAGCCGGCATCGAAGCGTTATGTGGAAAACATCATGATTTAGGGTCGTCGTTGTCAAGTTCATTGTAGCAACTTATTGAGATGCCTGATTTTGAATGTCGAAGGGTTACGAATGGGAACGTTGTCTTGGGAATCATTGTAATTTAAATTATTATTGATAAGCTTCATGATTATGAAGCATATACATAGACCCGAGGAACTATAAATTCAATGATTAATCTTGGTTATATGATGGGATTCCGGATTCCACTTATAAAATACAGAAAATCCTATGTAATTTAACTATATATTATAGCACAACTCAACAAAGACCCATGATACAATATAATGGCTCCACGCCGTTGTAGATAATATAGGGCCTTTAAGAAATCCAAAGATAAAATCTACTTATATACTTATGTATATTAGGGACATAAAAAACAAAACCAATAAATGCTTTGATCGCCTTTTCTGCCTGGCTTTAGAACACAGAACATAAAACTACTAAACAAGAGATAGCGACCCATTAAAACTACGGTGGGTTACAATAATAAAACTATTAGTTTTATTTGGCCAGCCCTTATCTGAACCTTGGAACCTTTGCATTTTTTTCTTAGAACTCTAGTGCTTATTAAAATGCCAAACATATGAACAAGATACCAGGTGCAAGGCTAGTAGTAGTTGTGCTCAAATATTGTATACTGAACTGGACGTGAAAAAATATATTTTTAAAGGAAAAATGTCCGCGGACCTTATGGGAAGGCCCTTGTCGGAAGGTTTCCATATTTATACCTATTTATTTAGCGGACTTAAAGCAGAGCACTGGAAACACTCTCAATAGTCTCAAAGGCAGCGTTGATATCCGTCTCCTCCAACAGACGGTTGACAGCGATGCGAATACTGGGACGCACCGGGTGACGCTCCCTATCCTTCAAATAGGCAGCCTGCACAACGGCCACGCCTCGAGCTATGCACTGCAAAAACATAGTAGGAATTAGCTAGGTTTGTAATTAAATTAAATATATTGAAATTACCTTATCAGCCAACTCGGTGAGCAATTGCAACTCCTTATCATAACTCTCAGCTGCCGTAGCTAAATACAAATGCTTTACCGGGGACAATTCGTTGCCGCGGATGGTCAGCTTGCTGAACCGCGAAAACTTGTTGTGCAGCATCTTGGCCTTATCCTGCAACTGTGTAAATATTTGTGGCTCCCGCTCGAAACGATCCAGTGCCGAGATGGCCGCTTGGGTCAGCATGGGAGGCAGCGAGGCCGAGAAGATGTAACCCAGACCAGAGAGCCGCTGGTGTTCGGCTATGAAGTGCGAGCCCACGCAGAAGCCACCAATTGTGGCCATCGAGCCCTCCATTCCGGCAGAGATCAGATCGATTTCATCGCGCTGAAGTTGAACATAAGAGTTAATATAACAATTTAATGTTTTTCGAAGCAATCCAACTTACATCCACATTGAAGTATTCCGTAACTCCACGACCCCCCTTGCCCAAAGTGCCGAAGGAGATGCTCTCATCGATAAACAGACGCAACTTGTACTTCTGACGCAGGGAAACAAGCTCTGGCAGCGGGCAAATTTCGCCAGTGTTCATGTAGATACCTTCAGCGACAAGGAACCGCCGTGTCTTCAATGCCTTTTTGGGGTTTTTCTGATCTCGCTTCTCTTGCTCAATCAGCAGGCGCTCCAGATCCTCTACATTATTGTGCTTGAAGAAGACAATAGTACTGCGTGAGGCATCCAGACCCTTTTGAATGGCAAAGTTTACAGCCTCATCTCTGCGGAGAACAAAACAGGCATTAAGTGTCATATTTCAGTGTAAGGATGACTGTGACGTACACAAAGATAATATCGCCACGCTTGGCGTAGGCGGGAATGGCGCTGGCCACCGTTGAGAAGCCATATGAGTAAACGATAGCCTCCTCCAGGCCCATGAACTTGGCTATGCGATCCTCCAAGTCCAGATGGACGTCCATGGTGCCGTAAAAGCCGCGTGGTCCACACGATCCCACACCATACTTGCGCAGGGTTTTGCAGGACTCCTCCAGAATTTCCTCGTCCTCGAGGAAACCCAGATAGTTGTGGGAGCCCAAGTTTAGGCAGTCGTGTCCATCTACTTTAATGCGTTTGCCCACCTTGGACTGTACGATTCGGGTGCGGAGCAAAGGATGGTTGGGATCGGTGTCCGCCACCAATGGCTCTGGCGTGTAGTTGGCGATTATTTGATCCTCCTCCTCTTGCGTCAGCCGCCGACGACGACCGCTCCCAGCGCCACGCCTATGCAGCAGCAACCAAACTACGGTTATGAGCAGCAGGGTCTCCAAAACAAGAGCATATGTAGGAGTCTGGAAAACAAAACACAGAGAAAACAATTAAGCAAAGGTCAACCATATAAAGAAGCAGTTTCAAACTCACATTGCGAAAGATGCTACCGATCTCGTTAAACAGCTGAATGGCGACCATTTTGTACTGGATTGGGTTCCGTGCCCCTCGGTTCTGTGGAAAAATCAATGGAAACCACCATTAGTGCCTCCAGTGAATGCGTCATGCAGACGACGCTTTCTTATCACAATTGGATGTACATATGTGTGTAATTATATAGCAGTTCAAGATAATTATGATATGAAATTCTTTGGAATTAGTTATGCATATTCGTCCACCTGAATTAAATGTGTAAGTTTTCTAGGTTCTTCATTAACACAAGAAGTAATTGTTGATGCTTGTGAGCATGTCTTACCTGGCCAATTAAAATTAATTAACTAATTTTCGGCTTGTTCCAATTACCACACACCTTCGGTTTTATTGTTTTTTTTATTAGTGAGGCGTGCTCGGATCGAAGCCGATAAAACAGCTGATGTACTAAATGTACTAAAAAATACCGAAATTGAAGTCTGGAAATTATGCATTTTTGATGTAGCTTTTTTAAGGTGGCAGTTAAATTTAAAATATTCTGTTCAGGATCTATCTTGAGATTCAGATTAGATTGATATATTGTATATTAAAGAAAGGAGACAATAATTAAATTATACATATTACGAAGAAATGTATATTGTTAGACATGAAAAACACTCTTTAAGGGTCGTGGTTTATTAAAAATTAAATTAAAAATGTTTATCTAGGAATCACAAATATAAACGGAAGTAATTTTATTTTCTTTAGTTAGTTAAAAACATATTTACACAATGTATGCTCTGTCCATTGAAATCGTATTAAAATCCCAATAAATTTCTATTTGATTCGGTCGAGAAGGGGCTGGGGAAATTACAAATTAATTAATTTTAAACAGTCACTGCAAAAACATACATAAACTAATACATACATTAAAATAATATATGATTATGATTTATTAGATTTATAACCGAATACAAACCCAAAAAGTGTGTTAATCCCTTTCCCACATGTAAAATACTTTAGATCTTATTGTTTTTCAATGTATAGATTTATTTGTTAATGCTTCTTCTCTAATTGTTGCCTTCCAATTGTTTTGCGTTTTTTGTTTGTAAATAATAAAACAATTAATCATAATTAAACGTTAAAACAAATTGTACTGCCTTGATACGCGTAATGCCGAATGATAGACCAAGTTTCATGTTATTGCTTTGTCGAAAGAAAATGCGAAAGATAGAAATATGACAGTCGTCCGCCAGTGGGTGTGGATGCAGTTTCAGTTTATAAAGAAATAGCTCGGCTTCATTGCTGTCTTATGCAGTTTGTTTTGGCGACCCTCGTAGTGTTTTGGATTGGATTGGCCTAAAACTGGCTAAACTAAGTTAATTTTGTTTTTACGTTTTTGTTAATCTTTAAAATCTATTTTTTGAAGTTTAGTTTTTTGTGGTTTGCTCCTCCTTGCTGGAGGATGTTCGGCTGCTGGTTGGTGAAACTGGGGACTTCTCTACTTCTTGTCGCCCGGATTGGACTGTGTGGAGTATGAATATTGAGACCAATAATGATTGGTGGCACCGCCATCATTATTGCCAGCGGCGCCGCCACCTACATGGACGCCGGCTCCACCACTGGCATTATTGGCCGCTGCTCCGCCCGAGCCCTGCTGCTGTTGCTGCTGAAGGAAGAGAATATGAACCTCTTTGCATTGTGAGTTGCTTTCATATCTTACCTGCCACCAGGACATCCATTGCTGTTGCTGCTGCTGCGGATCGGCGGCGCTCTGCCAGGTCTGTTGCTGTTGGTTGCCATAACCAGCTGTGGGCAAAATTTCATTAGGAGTATTCGGAACAGTAAGCACTGTGGCTGCTTACCAGCCATTTGATTGTATCCCCCCAGTATTGTTGTTGCTGGCCTGCGGTCTGCTGCTGATGCTGCTGTTGGTACTGTTGTGACTGCTGCTGCGTCTGCCAGACACCGGTCTGTTGATGCTGCGGCGTCTGCTGCTGGTGCTGCGTGTAGGTGCTCCACTTGCCGCTGAGAGAGGCCTAGAAAAGACAAAAATTAGTAATAATTTTGTAAAATGGGTATTATCTTTATATCTATTACCTTGCCTCCGCCGGGTGCTCCACCCGACTGCTGTTTGTATTGATCGTAGCCACCACCTGCAGCCGAGTTATTTCCGTACTTGGGCAGCGATTGGCCAGCTGACCGCTCATAGCCACCGCGACTATCTTCTTTGGTGTCGCGGTGGCCAGGCCGAAAATCCCGTTGTTGATGAGTTCCGCCACCCGAGCGATAGCTGCTGCTTTGGCTACTGCCCCGATTTCTGTCGTTACTGCCCATTCGACTGCGATCATTGCCGCGGTCTCGATCACGATAGTCTCGGGAACTTCCGTAACTCCGATCGTCATACCCGCTCCTGTTGCGGTTGTTCTGCATCCAGTTTTGCTGGCCACCGCCACCGCTACTGCCACCGTAGCCGCGATTGCGATTATCGTATCCACGATTTCCGCCACCCCCGCTGCCTCCGCCATAGCCACGATCATCATATCCGCTTCTGCGACTGTTCTGCATCCAATTTTGCTGTCCACCGCTGCTTCCGCTGTAGCTTCGACGATTATCGTATCCCCGACTGCCACCTCCGCCAGCACCACTGTTGCTAGAGTAGCTACCGCCACCGCCGCCACCACGCCTAGCATCACTCCACCTGCTCTCGTGCCTCTGGCCACCATAATCACGACGACGGTCATCGTTGTACCGATTCCGGTTTCGATCATCACGTCGATAGTTGTCCCGGCCACCCCGGGATCGCTTGTCCCGAGACCTTTCCGCATCGATGGCCTTCTTGCCCTTCTCGTTGTACTTCTTTACCTCGCTCTTGGCCTCGTCTCCGGTCAGCTCAGTGTAGTTTATGTCATCAAACCAGCCAAACTCCAGCGAGGGCAATGTGAAATTGGCTGGAAAAAGAGTGCGCAAATGCATGGTCAATAGGGGCAGCAGTGCAGAGATGAATCTTTACACATTAGACATTATATAGAGAATAGAGGATTGGGGCAGGCAACTGGGAGCTTGGTTTCGAAATTAATATTATTATTATCATCATTAGTAAAGTCAAAGGACTTCAATAATGCATTCGAATTCAGATTATTAAAGTTAGAAAATGCAAAAGTAGGCTCCAAGTTGCCATAAATGGTGACTCATGGACTCTATTGATAAAGTATTTTAATGGATAATGAAAATAATAATCATAAAATTATGAGATATTATTTAAATGGCTTACAGTTACAATTACGTACAGATACATACATAAAGTGCAGCTGCTTACAAACTAAATATATACTTTACAGAACGTTTTCTAGATTATTTATCTTTCTTTTTTGTTACATTGAATGCCTCCTTATTTTTAGGTAGGTAGAATAGAAAATAAGTTAAACGATCGTACAATATTCTGGTTTTTTGTTCAATTTGCAATATTTCGTTGCGTTTGTTTTGTGTGGTGGACAATATTTACCTCGTAAGTTATTAATTGTTGACTCTTTAACTGTAAAAGCATTTCCCTTTTCCTCTTTATCGGCGATGCGACGTTTTAACTCATCTTCGCTGGGTATGCAAACAACCGCAATGCGCTTAAAGTCGTTGAAACCCTTCATTTTACGTCGCTGGGCCGAGGCATACACATTGGTCTACAAGAATACAGTTGATCGGTTGGTTGGTTGGTTGTTGGGTTGATTTGGTTGAGATTGTTGTAGTCAGCCAGTTGTTGTTTGGTTGGGTTGTTTTGGTTGTTGTAGTTTGGGGATAGTTGTCGGTGATCGGATATAGATAGCAAGCCATTTTGAGAAACACGTTGATGATTCGATTCGGTTTGGTTTGGTTTGGTTTGGTTCTGATGAACGTACTCCGCCCGGGCTCTGGCGCTTACAAGCTAACACATACCTGTTCCACCTTGGTGGCAATCGAACCCCAAGGAAAGGGCGTGTGCACACCACCATCATAATACCTAGCGGCCCGTGGCCACAACTAAACAACAGTTGACTTAATACTTCTTTTTCAACAAGGATATAATAAAGTTATATGTATAGAATGAGTAAAAGAGTAGTCGTGGCTGGCTGTGCCGTTGGCTGTTGGCTGTGGGAAGCATCGCATAGCTCTCTCTGTAGATACACATACACATTATATATGAGATATATATTTGGCACTTAGAGAGAGATAGAGAGGTAGAGATAGTAGGTACTAATACGTAGTATATGTGATTAGATTGTCGATCGGATTGGTTTTTGTTTACTTACAGTGGCTTCCATGCCGCTCGCTCCTTTTCTTCCTCTCTTTCTCCAATGCCATTTTCCATTTCCATTCCCATTCCCCTTACCCAACTTATCTTACACAAATGCCCCCCCTCTTTCAATTGCCCCGTCAACTGTTGCATATCTGCTGCACCCATAGCTTAAGCTAACACATACTTACTGCCTCAAAACTTAAGCACACTAATTATCGGATTAACTTACAGGCTAGGACATACCTGCCTGGCGGTTAAGCGAATAGTTGGCGACCCTCTTAGGGACACTTGGGATCTCTACCGAGTGCGAGCAATGAGCAACAAATTAATGCAGTCTCAAATGTACAAAAAAAAATATATAAAAAAAAAATACATATGTAGAGCAACAGAGTTGCGCCATTACCCCGCGTAGGGATGATGGCCGGACGAAAAAGTCATCATCATCAACGTAAAATTCTCGCTTGTTTCGTTTGGTTATCGTTCGTTCACAGTGTATATTGTGTGTGTGTGTGTGTTTAAGTTGTGTTTTGTGGGTCATTTGCTTATGTTTTACCTGATCGAGTATGAAATTGCGACGACGCTTCATGGCAATGTCTTCCAGAGCTGCTAGACTGTTCAAGCATGTCTCATACACCTTATCCCAACGTCCTTTGTGTACAGTTTTGCGAGATGCACCGTCAATCTGCAAGAGTTATCAAAGATCAAGCAACAGTTCAAGCTACAAGCTAGTTCCTCAACATACCGTCATCTTGGCAATGAACGCATCGGGGCCAATCAAATCGTAGCGCTTGTCCACGTTCTCAGCCACATGCTTGAGTGCCCAGTGGGTCTTTCCAGAGCCAGGCAAGCCGACCAATAGAATGACCTCACACTCTTTGCGCGACCCGGCGCGTTGGGGTCCTGGTCTTAGCTGTTCTATTGACACCAGTCCCACCAGCACATAGCCGTCCAATAATGCAGCAGTTTCCCTTGGCTCGGGCGCAACGTCCTCGTATTCATCTTCATCGGTGTGCGCTTGGGACTTCTCCTTGTCCTTCTCAGATTCACCCTTCTCCGAATCTTCATCGGTTTTGGGACGCTTGTTAGGTGACGGACCATCCTCGTCCTCCTCTTCCTCGTTGGCAGTCGACGGTTTCTGCTCCTCCCTTGCTTTCTCGTCATTCACCTTTTCAGCGGTGGCATTGCCATTGGCAACAGTTTCAGCTTCGCCAGAGGCTTCATCAGTTGCAGACGCTTCAACTAGAATAAACAAGATTTAAAGAATTATAAATATTCAATGGTGGATCTTAAAATTATCCTTACCAGCTTCAGAGGTTTCACTCGGCTTGGCAGCTTCAGCCTCTGCTTTGTCTTCGGCAGCTGTTTCACCACTCTGCTTCTCTGCCTCTTTGGCTGTCTCCGAATTTTCAGCTTCATCGGCCTGTTCAGAGTTTGTTTTGCCATCTTCTTCATCCTTTTTCTCCAACTCGTCGTCGTCGGCGGTAGCCTCGTCCAGAACCTTCCACTTCTCTCCATCGTTGTCGTCCTTGTCATCGTCCTTATCCTCTTCCTTGCGTGGCTTGCGGCGCTTACGGGTCGGCCTCTCGGCATTCACAAGCAATTGCTCGTTATCCGAGAAGTTTACAGAGTACTCGTAGCCCTTGGTCACAATGTGAGGGAAGAGAGCTTCCTCCTCACCCAAGATGCTCTTCTCGAACTCAAACGCAACACCCAGATCCTCACCGTTCAGAGTGTACTTAATAGTGCATGGCTCACTCTCCAAGTCCAGGTAGCAACCGATTACATCATCTAGCTTGTAAGGCTTGCCGTAGTCCGAGAACTCACCTTGGTTAGCCTTACGACCGGTTTCGCAGTAGCCAAAGGAATGTTCTGCCTCACCCAGCAACAGAGTGCTTTGCGGCTTGGAGAAGCCAACACGAAAGCCTCGCACATGCGGTTCATCCCGAAAGTAGTGGGAGTTCTCCGATTGTACCTCCTCTGCCAGGCGAACCTCGTAGCACACTTTGCCCTCTCGAACTCCGAAGTTAGACCGAGCTCCAGACCAAATCAGTGAATAGATCTCAGTGGATAGGGGTTTGGCCGAAGCGAAGGTTGTTGGATCAATACGAAGATGCAAGTCGGAATCCACTGAAAGATTAAAAAATATCCAGAAAATATAGTTTTGTGACCAAACTGATACTATCTTTCAAAAATGATAATTATCTCTCAAGCTGAATTATGGGCTAAGTGATTCTAATTTATTTTAAATCAAATTAAATTAAATGATTACTTACACCAGCTTAGTCCCACTTTGTTCTCCTCAATGGTGGGCTCGTCCTCGGGCACGGTGCGCTCCTCAGCAACTGCCTTGGAGTCGCGCTTGTCGCTCACACTGCTGCGGTGTTTTGGGGAGCGGGAACCGCTACGGGAACGAGAACGACTGTGCGAACGCTTACGTCGCTCCTGATGCTGATCCTCGGACTTGGCTGCAGTGGCCTCGGCATCTTCGGTTGTCTTTTGAACAGTGGACTCGTCGTCAACGTCCATTTTCTGGCTGTCTCCATTTTCCTGGGGCTCTTCCGCCATTTTTACAGCTGTTTCTTCTTCGTTGTGCTCGGCCGGCTTCGCCTCTGCTTCGTCTTCGTTGGCCGCATCCTTGACTTCCTCCATCGGCTCATCGTCATCTTGCTTTATTTCGGCTGCGGCTGGAGCTTCGTCCTTCTCGACGGAATCGATCTTTTCCTCTATTTCTGTTTTTTCGTCAGACTCTTCGGCCTGAGGCTGTGGCTCATCATTTCCAACCTCTGTATCTGATGTGTCTTCCGCCTCCTGCTCTGGTTCCTCTTCAGGTTCAGGTTCCGGCTGTGATTCAGGCTCAGGCTCTGCGTCTGGGGCCAATTGCTCAGTCTGGACCGGCGGCTCCTCTTCTTCTAGAGTGTCGAGTATAGGCTCAACAGCGACCGGAGCAGCTGCTACGGGCGACGGTGAGCGGGACATTGAGCGCGTACGACGCTGGCGTCGGCTTGGTGTGACAGGAGCGCCATCTGCAGGACGGAAGCGGCGATCGGGGAGAACCCAATGCGGGCAATGTAATAACTCGGAATTATATAAGGAAATCTTACAATTAATTTACGCTGAGCCACACGCACACATATGCACTCGTACAAACGCAGCGCAATCGAACGCGGCAAGCCGCACGCACACATCAACGCGCTCGGACACACGCAAACAAATGACGCATACACACAAACTCACCTCCATCGCCGGCTCCACCTTCCACATGGGCCCGCAGGCGCTCGATTAGCACGGCTTTAACTCCCTTGGTGTCCAGACCGCGCGACTGGAGCTCGTTGCGCAAGTCCACCACCTTCATCTTCTCCAGCTTCGCCACATCCATTTTTCTGCTTCAGCTTTGGATTGGCGGCAGAAACACGCACACTTACTCACACCAGTGCACCACAGGAAAGCTGGCGGTGCGAAAAATAAGAATACGGGAAAAATACCAAAGAAGGATGGAACGCAAAAGGCAGACAACAATGTCTGAATGTTGGTTAGCACCGTGCACGCGCAAATTAACCGCACTCTTTAATTTTTCGCAATTTGTTGCGAATAAATAAATGGTTGTTCCTGAAAATTATCCGAACGCGTTGAAGTGAAGTTGGCTGCAAAATAGTGGTGGGCAAAACATCGGAGCAATATCGATAATATCGATGTTTGTTTCTATTAGTACTGGGCTCAAGAACACAAATAATTTCATTCATTTCATTTTGTTTTGTTCTCTATAACATTAACATTGTAAGTAATAAATTTCATTAATTTAATTATTCAAATTAATTTTTGTTTTTATTTAATATTAAGATAATAAATAAAAAAACACATATGTAATGATTTTTTTTTATTTTTAATTTTATTTTTATATTCTCTAATACGAATGAATTAGTATTAATAATTATAGTAATTTTTCAATGTAATATAATACAAATATATGCATGGCATTAAATATCGATACTATCGATGTTTAATTCGTGAAAACATTAATAAAATCGATAGTGGCAGACATTTATTTTTTGTCAACCCTTACTGCCTTGCTTAAATTATTTGCACCATAGCGCCCCTTGTTTTCAAAGTTAAAAGACATGAAAAACGTGGTGTAGAAAATAAAAGAAAATTTTTTACATTGTAAATCGAGGAAATTGTATTATTTTGCCCTAATATTAGAAAAACATGGACCGAAGGAAATAAATAATAATTAACTCTTACAACGTTTATACAAATTATATATCTTAAGTTTAAAAACAACGAACTACTTTCATTACATTCCCTTACTTATTTTTAAAATTTTATCATGTATGCTTATAATAACTTACAAATTTTAATTGCACTTAGCCACTCTATTTCTCAATTCACTCGAACTTTTCTTTTAATCAATCTTAAATTAGTTCCTAGTATTTAATTGTGTATTTTATTTATTATTATTATGATTTTTTCCAAGATTATTAACAGTTAATCTGTTACTTAAGTTCTACTATGACAGCTATTTATGATTAATAATTATTAAAATAGCTCTTCAAACATTTTCCATTTTAGTACCCTGACACCATCGACACCTATATGAAAAAATCGAATGGATTTACGATGAGACTCCGTGGCGCAACGGTAGCGCGTCTGACTCCAGATCAGAAGGTTGCGTGTTCAAATCACGTCGGGGTCAAATAAGAGGATATATATTTTTTATTTTAAATCTTTTTTAATAGAACTTAATTTTTGGTCTTTCGAAATGTAATCATTTAATATTTTTAAGTATCTAATAAACGTAAGCCATTAGCTGAAATTGAAAATCCACCAAATGCATTAAGGGATATTTGGCGTATGTTTAACCATAACGATAGTTAGACGTATACTAATTAAATAAGTTCCGAACTAAAAAATTTCATTTCATATATACCGATGTCGGGTACAAAGTGGTAAAGAAAAAATTATTTTGCATCGGCCGGGAATCGAACCCGGGCCGCCCGCGTGGCAGGCGAGCATTCTACCACTGAACCACCGATGCTATTGAATGAAGGCTTTTTAGAATTTGTGTGTGTTATAAGGTTTTTAAAAAGTTTATTTTAAAAAATTTAGATCAAGTCCTTAAATGTGTTTTCAAAATATTTAACCTACCCCTCACCAAGACTCCGTGGCGCAACGGTAGCGCGTCTGACTCCAGATCAGAAGGTTGCGTGTTCAAATCACGTCGGGGTCAGGAATTATAATTTTTTTTTATTTTTTAAAACATTCTTTCAACATTTGTATTGCTTTCAAAAACAGGGCAAATATTTCATAGCTCTTAAAAAACATATAATTTTAAAAGATATAATATTAATTTATTTCCAACAAAAGACGTTAAAAATTTGGAAAAGTGCGTCGGTTATGATCAATTTCAAAATCAAAACAAAAAAAACTAATTTGCATCGGCCGGGAATCGAACCCGGGCCGCCCGCGTGGCAGGCGAGCATTCTACCACTGAACCACCGATGCTTGTGGTTGCCGTAGGTTTAATTCAGTACTAGTGTTACTGAGCCTTGTTCCAGAAAACGAGAACCTGTTGTGGGAGAGGCAAGTGGAGAAAACAACCTGTTGCCATTGGCGCAGTTTCCGTTTATTTGGCACCCTCCCCCATGTGGACTCCGTGGCGCAACGGTAGCGCGTCCGACTCCAGATCGGAAGGTTGCGTGTTCAAATCACGTCGGGGTCAGAATCTGAAGCAACTTTTTTTTCTTCCCAATTTGTAAATTATAAAATATGATTATTTTCAACAAATATTTATAATAATTTATTGTATAGTTAATAAGCAGCGATCCATTCTCTACAAGCAACAACGTTTACATAGTGATCATTTTATTTTAACATTTAAAATCGCCGAAAAAACCTGCAAGGCGGCTGCGTCTTTCTTCTGAAGCCATTTGAATATATTTTATAAATTTAATAGGTAAACATTTATAAATACAGATACAGTATATTTATTCGATTACACTTTACGAACGGCGTTAATCATGTAAATTCCCTAAACGATTTGCCTTGATGTATTATCAGTTGTTCCCCTATTGCACAATGCATTACTCGATGTAAAAATGATGGTTCAAGTGCCATACAATTGCATATAATATTTTGAACGTAAGACTACCCAACACCAAAATTCAATATAGACTCGCCTGTCTTAATTCTTCGCTATGTAAATGTACTCAGCTAACAGAATTTTTCAACAATTTTTACAGAAATCAACAAGGAAAATGGCTGCAATCATTGCACTAACTAAAGAAAATCAATCCTAAAAACATATGTAACTAATGGTGGACCCTGTGTTTTGTTTCATTTTTGTCTCATTGTATATATGTAAGTATGTAAGCGACTCCAAAAATATTGTACGGGTTTAGTTGGTCTCGGATTTTAATTCCTTCCTCAGTTCCTATTTGCTATTGACTAAGTTGAGGAACTCCTCGCGGGTCTTGGGATCGTCTCGGAACACTCCCAGCATAGTTGAGGTAACAGTTTTGCTATTGATTTTCTGCACGCCTCGCATCACCATGCACATGTGTCTGGAATCGAATAAATAAATGAAGTTAGTGTTAAGAAAACTTGGCAGAGGAACGATCACAAGCATCGGTGGTTCAGTGGTAGAATGCTCGCCTGCCACGCGGGCGGCCCGGGTTCGATTCCCGGCCGATGCAAAATAACTTTTTTTTCTACTTTATTAAATTTTTTACATAAATGAATTTATGTAAATTTATAAATACTTACACTCCTTCAACAACAACAGCCACTCCAGCCGGCTGCACGGCTTGGGTTACGGCCACTGCAATCTGTTTCGTCAAGCGCTCCTGTACTTGCAAGCGACGAGAAAAGATTTCCACGATGCTGTGGGAAGAATAAAATTTACTAACACTTTTGCTGAGCTATTTTGAAGCCAATTTTACCGAGCCAGCTTGCTGAGTCCTAGAATCTTGTTGCAAGGCAAATATCCGATAGATACTTTGCCGTAGAAGGGCACCAAATGATGCTCGCACATGGAAAACATTTCAATATCCTTAACAACCACCATTTCGTCGTGATCCTCATCGAACACGGCTCCATTTAGAACGTCTGTAAAAGAATAAACAATAAAAAGTAAATATTTGTAAATAAATGTTAAAAAGAAAACTTCTTCACGTTGACCCCGACGTGATTTGAACACGCAACCTTCCGATCTGGAGTCGGACGCGCTACCGTTGCGCCACGGAGTCATTGTATACCCACCCGCCCAATGCCCAACAAACACGAAGCCAGTGAAATGCCATGCCCAGTGATTTATGGCGCGCGTAATTCGTGTTAGATTTATTTGCTGCATAACTGAATGTTAAGTTCAGCGAGTGTGAGTGCCAAAGTGGTTACTTGTGGGGGTGGGGGCCATGCGGATGCGGGTAGCTGTCAGAGCTTTCGCCACACTCACTTTAAACGATGGGTTCTTACGATTCAGCGTCAAGCTGCGTGGCTTAGAGTCACACACCCACTCCGCCAATCTCTCTTCCACCCTCCCACTCGCCCACTCTCCCGGTTTTATTGTACAGCCCGGAAAGCTTCAGTGCGTTTCCTGGCAGCCAACAAAGATTGTTAGGACGTTCATGTAGTGCTTCATTTGTGTAATCATTTATATTTTGCCAAACACCATAATTAAATCATAATTCAAACGCCTTTTTTTTAGTTTATAAGCTTCTAAAACATATCAATCATTGAAGACTATGATTCCTTGAGATGTTCTAGGTATTCTAGGCTTATTTGTATTACAGAGAGGAGTTCATGTATTGAGAAATGCTTCAAATTTATCGCATAAGCTTGGTCTATGTCTCCCTCAATGTCAGATTGGCAACAACTCTCGACGTTGTCACGACTTCGGTGGCTTTCGGTTCTTCGAATTCGGGTTAAATACAATCAAACCCATTCTATTTTCGAAGGCTATTCACTTTCGTTTAACTTATTTAGATTTAAAATGGCCAGCACACTTGCGTTGTTTGTTGTTTATATTAAATTTACATGCGATTTTATTTGACAAACTGTAGAACCTGATTTTCATCTCGACCAACCGGTTCGGTGGCCGTATTATTCGCGATTCTGTTTCTGTTATTTTCCTCCAAGCGACTCTCATTGATTACATGACAAGTTCAAATGTGACTGCTATTTGCAGTTCGAGTTCGAAAGCAGGCCAACTATTTTGTGGCTATTAAGGACCAGAGATAAGAAGTAGACCAGCTCCTTCTGATATCCGTCGAAAACAGTTATTTTTTTTCTCTCTACGTTCACACACACTCAAAGCACTCGAGTAGTAATTAGACTAATGCACTGCAACGGACTTAGGAACCCCCGATAAAGTTGGAGCACACCATGAATCACTGCCCGAGAAACTAGTTTCGCTGCGAACTCACTGGGGAAACCCAGGATGAGCCACACACCAATCCCCCGATCACTGACCTGGTGCTAATTGATCGAAGAGAGTTGTGCTTGTGTTAACTTAATGCTTACCCTCGAGACTCTGGTCGTAACCCTTGGTGAAGTACAGCATGGCCTTGGCCGCCCGTTCTGGCGTCTTGATTAGTCCCTGGCGATCGGGATTCTCACCCAGTCCGCCCAGCAGCAGGCGGTACGAGCGGGCCATGTCCGGCAGCAGGGCTTCTCGCGTCGGTGGCTTGTGGTCCAGCTCCAGATCGTGGTGGAAAGTGCATTTCTCGTGACCTGCGAACGGAGGGAATAGAGTCCATTAGAAGCATTATCAACAAACAGCGGGGAGATAGGAAGGCATTGCTCCCCTCGGGTGGCAGTGTGTGGCTGTGACTCTGTGACTGTCTAAATACTATCCCCGAGCGGAGGCGCATCTCTGACCTCTGAACCAAAACAATACGCCACTGATACGCGGCTGGATTATCACCAAAAAGAGTTTGTATGACGGCTCCTGGACTGCTGCTACTCCTACTCCTACTCCTACACATATAGCCTGACCCCCACCACTACCTGGCGTTGTCGATGTACGCGGTGTCATTGGTGTTTTCGGTTGTGTACCATCGCTATCCGGACTGCTGCCGTTGGTCTTCAGAATGAGGCGGGGTCGCTGGTTGCCCGCGGGGGCCACCTCCTCTGCCGGGGTGCCCGGATTTGCGGCCGTCTCCTCCGGCTGGGCCTGGGCCCTGTCCGCCAGCGAGGAGGTGCCCGAGGTGCTACTTGTTGAGCACACGCTGTTGTTGCGACCACGCGACAGGATGTGGGCCTGCGGGAAGTTGGTGTCGTCTATGGCGTCGTTCAGCTCGCTGGCGCTCATCTCGGACAACTGGCGAGTGAAGCTCATGGCGGTATCGGCACTCAGGCTTGTTTGCCTCACGAACGGAACTCAATTTGACGGATCGCTTGCACACACAATCTTCTAACTTGGCTGGCCCCGGAGCTGTTTTCTATATTTTTCGCTGATGTCTCGGTGTCTCGATGTCTTGGCGCGTGTGCTCCCGTGTGCTGTGTTGGCGCCTCGGTTGGCTCTGCTATTCTGACTGGCTGCTGGGGCCAGCCGTGGCAATAAGAACCTCTTGAGCAGAGCTTTGAGCGGAGCAAAGCTCCAACCAGTCCATCCCCCATGCCCGCTCTGCAAGCTCCAGCGGCGGTGTCAAGCTGAGCTGAGCGCAGGCCCACAGTGTATCTGTGCGTTCGTACTTGTTGCTCTGAAAGGAATCGTGCAGCTACAGCTATGGGCATACAAATAGGAAAGACCTGGCTGTAATTTACCACAAGAAAAACTTTGCTAGAGTGGTATTAGATACTTAGGCTTTATCCTTTGTACTTGGTATCCACCATGAGAAATATACAACATTAAGACCTGTAGGTTAATTTATGTTAAGTATTCGATTACAAAGCTGAGGACCTAATGAATGTAAAATATCAATTATACAAAAATCACATTAGATGTTTTCATGCTTCTTATCTTCAATTTCATGGCTAAAACGATTTAGCTACTGATTGTAATCAAGCATATAAGTACCTTAAGTACCTTAAGTACAACTTAAGTTTGGAAATAATATACTAATACTACTACAGAAATACCAGGATTCACTGATGAAATGAAAAAAACTTAATTTTTGACCACAGCTGTGGTCAATTGGTCATCGTGGTCATTGCGACTCCTTTTGTCATCACGGATTGTTTGCTTTATCCTTCAGTGTCGGCGCCCAAACTACTCGACATGGTGTCAGACGTCAAGGGCTATTTAGTTTCAACTTTTAGTTCAAGCAGTCCGGCTCAAGTACAGCTGTGACTTCCAAAATTCTAAACACCACCATCTGTCCCCACTGCTTAGGAAGTCCAGAAGCATGGCACACCGTGTGAAGTTGCGAAGCGATGACTTCGATGTCATCGGAGCCGTGCCGCGTGATCTTTCGGTGATAAAGAACTTCCTGAAACGCGACTGTGCTGTCAAGCGGCTGATCGACATCGAAGAGGAGTTCCTTCAGCAGTGTGTGGAACGGGGCGAGGACCCCACGGTGCCAAGGAAGAAGAAAGATAACGAAGTCGTCCGGCGAGGTAGTTCACAGGGATCCAAGGCACCAGAGCCAACAGATGCAGCGGCGGTCTACTGTGACCCATGTCGGAGGCTCAAAACATCCGTGGGTCTCGAGGAGGTGAGTAAGCTTTACTGAACACTGTTCCGTGTAAACTGGGACTTCCCTGCTCAGGACACCTTACAACATCCTCATTTCTTGTTGAAATTTTCTAAACGAATCCCCATTTTGCAGCTCACTATGCCGGCCACTACAAATCCTGTGTTCAACAAAGCTCTTCCGCCGTATTTTGACGAAGAGACTGTGATGGGCAACTCATTGCCTGTAAAGTTTCGCTTCCGGCGCAAGTTTAATCCCTGCGACCAGGAGAAGCCCAACAATCTTTTGTGCACCACCACTCCGAGCACTAACGTCGTGGTGCTGACCAATTGCTGCGATGTGATGGCGTGGCCCAGCCAGCGTGTGGCACAGATGAACCGTGTGCCTGTGACCATTTTGACGGGTGAAGCCGATCTCACCGAGTACATGTTGGAGGAAGAGACCATTATGTGAGGAGGAATGAGCGCCAAATAAGGACGATGGTTTGAAATAAACTAGAAAAGCATATTCCTCATTCGGTCTTTTTTTCTTTCATTTTTGGAGAGCGAGATGTGAATCCCTACAGAAATTGACTTGTGGGGCTTCCAGTATAATTGACCGTCTCCCAGATGCTCGAATTTGTATTTTTCCTGCATAAATTCCGAATTTAATCAATTTATGCTACTCGTATTCAAAGAGATGCGCATGCAAATTGTTTGGAGTTGAAAATAAATTTCTAACTTTACGGAAAAATTTGAAAAGTTGAAGGTAAAACTGGAATAGTTCCGTAAAACATATATTTGTACATTATAAAGAGATATTCTTATGAGTTTCTAAATATTCCCTTGCCAAAATAAGACTAATCCATTTCCTATATTAATTTGTTTAAAAGTCGGTTATTCAGGGTTATTCCCTCACTGTTTAGAAAGGAATAAATCAATGAGAAATAGCTCGGGTTGGGTTAGTTTACATAAAGCTAAGACAGCTGCAGATGACATAGACTTTGATCGTTCTAACACTTAACACTTAAATGACGCAGTCCAGTCACAGTAAAACCTCTTTAACAGACACAACTCCTTGGTAAAAGCCAACCCTTAAGGAATTTATTCCAAAAAGGGCGCAAGAAACTTTCTTGAAACCAAATCTGGAAAGCAAGGATCAAGATAATCAGCTGGTTTCAGCTAGTCTCTTCACAGGAAGTCGACCTGTTGGAGAAGGCAATTAAGCCAACATTAACATTTTACATAGGGCAGACAGGCAGGTGTTCTCTCTGGGTCTCTCTCTCGGTGTCTCACAATTTCCGGCCCACAATTACGCATTACGGAATCAGGAATGCCATTTAACGATCGGGGATCGGGGACTCCGAGCTGGCAGGGTTGCCACCACCGGTGCTGTTTGCTGCCATTTGCTAGGAGAATTTTTTAAGTGGCTCAATTAGCTGGCAAAGCACCCGCCGAGAGCCGTGAGCCACCGCTCTCAGCGAGCTGTTCAGTCTTTTTTATTGACCGCAATCGCTCAAATGTGAAGTACTGCGTCGGCTAGGCGGCTTATTAGTCACCGCCGGACGACGGACTTCAGCTCAATATGAGGGGCGATCGAAGAAACTGAATCTGAAAACGGCAAAGCCCACGAATCGAAACCGTTTGGAGCGCCGTACTCGCAATTAAACACTTTTTAACCTTCACAAAAGTAGTTCAGGTCTGTGTGCCCGTGCCCTCCCCCTCCATGCCAATGGTTGACCACCGCTGGCCAAATACCGGATCACTAGCCGAGGAGTTTATGGTCTTTGTCTTTCGCTCATGGTCCGCAGATTGCTCCGCTCCCGATGCCGAGTGCCGAGTGCCAAAGCAAAAACTTTCAATGTCAATGTCAATATGCCCAGTCCAGACCCGGCCATAGCTGGTAACTCTCCTAGCACTACATTTTTCTGGTAGTCTATATGTACATATGTTCCTCTCCGATATCCGGCACTGTGTGTGGTTTGCATATGGGACAGAAATCGGAGCTTTCATTCTGCGGTTTATGTGCAAAGAATCGTCGGGGTTTTATGCGGCGCAGCATCGCCGGAAATCGGAGTCGACTCATTATGCGCATCTGATTGAATTTCAATGGCCGCCTCTAACTAATCTAGGTGTGATGCAATATCAGCCAGAGATTGCATCCAGCTGCATGGATGGGGAACTAAATATAGACCAAGATCAGTCCATAAGTTTCGTAATACTGGTCCTCATGAGACCCGCCCGAAAAGCTAACACTAGCTGTACGGATCTATTCTAAGGAAATATCAATGGGTTATTATCTATCCTAAAAAGTAATCAACTGAAATTATTAATTATAATGCAAGGGGTTAAGCTATTTAAAAATACAAATCTTTTCTGTCATTTATATGGGGAGGATGTAATCTATTGCACTTGTAGAATATATAAATACGATTATTGTAAGGGGGATACCCAAAAGTAATCCCTTTACTTAAATATATACATATATTTAAACAAATTTCCAAGTCAGTGACGCATATAAATAGCCCATATAAAAATTTCTACATGATATAGGATATAGGATGGTAAAGTCTCATAGACTGTTAGTAAAATGGGCAGTTTCATTGGAATAAGTTTTCCCTATACAATTCCTAATATAATTTAATTTAATTTAACATATATCACTCATACGCCGTGTTATTTAAGCCAACAAATGACTCAGGGAACAGGAAAATTTTGTGCGTAGGAGCAGGAGCGTTATAATTACTGTTACTCTCGAGATGCCCCATTATGGATCAGGAAAACATGTAGCAGCAGAGCTTGCACTCCACTTCCTTCCAGAGATACCCAAATCACTCACCGCTTCCGTTGCTGGCCAGCTCCATGTTAAGCATTTCCAGTTTCAGCTGCTGACTGTTTTTGGAGACCGCAACAGCGGTGCTGGCGACGTCGGTTGGGGTAGAGGCGGCTCCGCCTGTCGGGATCGTGGCGGCAGCTTCCACGGCAACGGAAGCAGCGTCCGCGGGGGCGTCGCCATTTTGCGAGTTGCCATTTTGTTCGCTGGTCTGGGGCTTCATTTTGAATTAACTATTATTTTTAACCGAATTGAGTAAGGGTAAGAGGACCTTCAATCGAGGATACACGGATTACTTTCGATCGCGGTACGTATGACGGGGTATTTGGCACTTGGCTTTGGCTACGTTTGGCGCGCTCGCTCCGAATTTATCTGCCGACTAAACCGCCCGAGATTTAGTTGTAACCTTTTTATTATGAAAAATCGAAAGTTCTGCCGAGAGAGCGAGCGTCGCTCGACAGTGTTTTTTATATATGTATTTTTTTTATTTTATCTCGCTCCGGCGGCGCTTCGTTCCGCTGAGTGGCCAAAGCTTTTGGCTTAGCTCTCCGCCTCGCTTCGCGCTCTCTCGCTGCCACAACCCGAGGACTCCAGGAAACCGAGCAGCACTTTTGTTGTTTTTTTCTTCCTTTAAGCCAAGCCACTTGTTTGTCGGACGAAAGTTTCCGAATTTCCAAAATTACGAATTTTGTTTCATTTCAAAAACCTGCTGGCAGAGTAAACATTTGCGCCATTAATGGCCATTAAGCAAACGTTGGCGCCTGGCCTAAGGCACCCGATCCCGATGCAATAATTTCGCTTTGATAACCCGGCTGCGACTGCATCGTTAACGTGTCATTGGCAATTATGGGCCGTTGATAACGTTCGATCTGCAATAACAAATCCATTTTCAGGCCAAATCGTGCATGCCGAGAATTTGTTCGGTCATCTCGGTTCATTTGCCGGCTGATTACGAGCCCCTGAAAATGAATTACGGCGGGACAGGCGACAGGAAGAGATGAATAATTATGATTTCATTAGCATCTATTAGTTATTAAAATATTAATATTCACACACTTAATAGGCATTAACCCGCGAGTCTACCTAGGTATTTTAGGAGCCAAACACGCTCTTTTCCGTAACCAAGTCAAATTCTATAGTCTACAGTTCATAGCTCTTCATAAAATGTGCACTAAATATTGTAACAGAGGACTTAAGAAAAAAGAAATATATATAATGCTAATGCCTCATTTCTCCTCACAATAAACTGTATGAAAATGAATATATAAAATAATAAGCAGCTAAATGTAGGCAACGATCTTTGCTAAATGATTGCAGCTTTGCTTACATTTCTTCCTACTACACCCAGGCGATCATTAAGTATTGGAGTATTTAAAAAAGTCCTTTGACCCATCTTTTTGTTTTCCATAGAAATAGAATAACTACTGTTTATGTACCACAATAAGTAGGAAAAGCAAAATGGTTCAAAAGTTGATTTCACTTGATAGTAATAAGCTTTTGAAATAAGTCAGTTTGTACATCAACTTTTTAAAAACATGAAACATTTTCAGGCAAACTGTTAAATTTCTTTAAGGGAAAGAAAATTATTTATAAAATAATCTTAATTTTCGAATTTATTTATCCTACACACTGTTCCTAATACTTTGTGGCCAATCAACTTTGAAGTTCAATAAAAAACGCAACTAACAAGTATAGATATATAGTTACAAACACAAGTGCAAGAGCAAAGCTCGAGCTACGCTGCGCTTGCGCCCTTTCGCCGCCTTGAGCAGCCCCGTTAGTCATGCCTGCGAAATTATAAATAATATTAATTAGCCATTAATTGGACATTTACGTCCGATTTGCATGGCAGCCAACACAAACAAAAAAGATTTAACTTTTAAATTTTCCAGCATCAACGCTGCGCGCTTCGCTTTTAATGGCATTCAATGTCATTAGCTGACGGCTCACCGACTTGAGTTATTCCCGGAAGGCGGTGGTCGGACAAAGAGCCGGTTGGCTGAGCGAGTAAGCGAGCACTTCCCACGTTTTACAGCTCCTGCACCTCACCACCCACGCCCTGTTTGCCCTGCGCCTGGCGCTCGAGCTTCTCCTGCTCCATGTTCTCCAGCTGGGCCAGGGTCAGCAGGGAGATACCCAGCTGGTCCTCCCGTGTGAAAGGCTGCGCCATGCGTCGCAGCCATCGTCGAGCCAGCTGCACGGCCTCCTCTGTGCTTAAATTGCAGAAGCTGTCCACGAGATGCTCCTGAATCCACTTGGGTAGACGTGACCGCTTGTCCTGCCGCGAGAAACGCTTGTCCGCGAAGATCATAATACCATAGTCTGTCTTACCGCGCAGCGCCCGGCCCACACATTGCGCCGCATGCCGCATGGCATCGAAGGTCAGAAAGTCATTCTCACGTATCTGAAACTGATCGCGGAGGTAGTCAAGCCGTGCCTTGAGAATGCGCGACTGCGTGTACACGTAGGGGATGCCGAACATGAGCACCGCGCGACCATAGTGATGGTCGAAATCCACACCCTCCGAGACCTTGCCACGCGCCACAGCCAGCAGCACCGCTCCGCGACCACAATCGCAGGCCTGCAAGTTGAAAAAGGTTTAAGTCAAGTTTGATTGTAATCGCTGTACACTCTTGCAGAAGCTTCTAACGATCATAATCAGAATGTTATTGTTTATAGGTAAATAAGTAAGAATAAGTATTTTTTATCTCTTGTAAAAAGAAAGGTTGCATGATTTAGAGATTAACTATTCTCTTTACAGATAAGCAACAGAATTTGTAACACGTTCCTTCTTTTCGAAAAGTATAATTGCAACTAGATATAATCTTATTATATTCTCTATAAGTCAAAGTCGGTTATCAAACGACATAACCAGCGCTCTGACGGAATCGAAATGCTCCATTCTAAAAAAATGTGGCTAAAAGTGTGTGGACGCTAACTAGGCCAAGCTCATTCGGAGAGAAGCCTTAGCAGTCACAAGTGTTTGAATAGCTCACCTTAACATAGTTCATCAAGGCGTAGCTCGTCTCGGCATTGTCCTGGGTTTCAATGAACAGCAGCTTGTAGCGCAGCAAGGTGTCAACAATGCCCTGATCATACCAGGAGGCCACCACAGACTCCAAGTACAAGTAGGATGTGAAAAAACAAACAATGCCGTCAGGCACTGTCTTGGCCACCTCCACTAGCAATTGGCCATAGTTACGAATCACAGCGGTGTCCTCCCTCGTCTCGAACTTGGAGGATATAGCCACCTGGTCGTTGCCCTTGGACACGATCTGCTCAGGAAATATTATTATACTAATCGGTGGCATAAATGGTAAAATTTAGTACCATGGGCAGTAGACACGGACGGGCCAGCGTCATGGTAAAGCTACTCATGACCACAGGATCAAAGTCGAGAATCTTCGGGTACATGTCCATGGGCGACAATGTGCCCGAGGTGATAACAACCGTCTGAAAACGCCCGAATACTGGAGCCATGGCTATGGAGGAGTCCAGACAGCTAAAGTGCAATATGGGATTCGATACCGTAGGCGTTTTATCGTCAAAGGGTTCGATGATAATGGTAAAACCTTTTGTATAGGTGGATACCAAAGTGGCAAAGTGTGTGATCTAAAGTAAGGAGAGATATATATGGTTTTACTTCCCAATATAGTTATAAAAGTGCGGCATAAAACCCACCAGAGTGAGAGCTCCGAACTCTGTCAAATCAGTGATCTCAAGGGTGCGCAGCAAGCTAGACAAACGTTCAGCACAGAACCGTAGCGGTTTTCTTTCAATGCAAATCTTGGAGGAAATATCCTTGAGGAACCCCGCAGGCGACTCCTGAACCACATGATGGACTCGTAGCCTGGTCTTAATATATTCTATAAAGCGGCGCAGAAAACTGAGAAAGTGGTCGGCGTTGCGAATGTTTCCCGGCACCACCTCTGTCAGCACATCATTGGGCAGAACAGGATTGGCCAGAATCATGTCAGTGTCCCGCTGCACACTGGCATCTTTCAAGCCCTGAACCATGCGCTGGTACTCCTCGTTTAGGCGATTTGTGTCCTCTTCACGAATGCTGTAAGCATGAGAAAAGACATTGAAATCGCTTGCATAAATAGGCTTGAGGATAGATTCTTACTCCTGAACCAGTTTGGTCAGCTGGTTTAAAGCATTTGTGCTTCGCTCCACGGTCCGTCTGTTGATTTTAACACTCATCGAGTCTATGCACACGTTGTCGATGTTGTGCGCCTCGTCGAAAACCACGCAAGACTCGCGGCTCATCTCCTTGGATACCACCTGGGCTATCTTCGGATCCAGCAGGTAATGGTAGCTGTATACCACAATGTGGGCATGGGCAATCTGGAGGGGGACAACACTACACTATGTAAACAGTCCCAGGGATTGGGCATCGATGCTTACTGCATAGCGGGCCAGAAAGTAGGGACACCAGTTCCGTGATCGACCGTACTCCTTGAGATCATCGATGCTATACACTCCCACCGGCAGTGTGGACTCCTTGCCCTCCAAGCTGAATCCCTCAAAGTACTGACCTGCAAAAGACAATATATTAAGTGCTGGAAACCGGAAATCGGCAATACACCCTTACAGATAGGCGTCTCTGTGTCCATCTCGTGCCGGTCGCGAATGTAGCTGGCCGTTAGGCCATAGCACTTGCCGTCCACCGCCTTGCCCTCGCGCTCTTTGCTCACCTCGGGGTGGATGCACATGTTCTTACGGGAGCTGAGCACCAGACCGGTCAAGGGCGGCGGATTCGGACAATTGCGCTCGTAATAGACCATCAGGTTCTGCAGCTCGGCAATTACTTTCTCAATCTCCGGCACCGTGCGGGAGCAGTAGATAAGCTTGCGCACAGTCTCCGGGTGCTCCACCATGTAGGCAACGATTAGCGAGAGTAGCGTGGCCGTCTTGCCGGTCCCCGAAGGCATCTCCAGCAGGCAGTGGCCTTTGGCGTCCAGGCTCCGCTTCAGTTCCAGCATGTAAGCATACTGCTCAGGGTAGATGTACTCGTACGGGAAGTAGACGAGCAGGCCGTCTACGCTGAGCCTATTGGGGAGACATTAACGAGGTCCTTTCATTGATCCGACCCTGAAACTCACTTCATTTTACGTATATTTCGTGATATTTCTTGTTATTCCTGCAATGTTGTTTCTAAACCAGAGTGACCGTAGCATGGACCGCTTAAAAATACCACCGGGATCTTCAAAATACCACAAAGCTTGCCATGGATTTCTGAATTGTGTCGTATTTTTTAGGCAGTCTGGCATCGTCTTGAACTCTTCTTCGTTCATGAGCCATGATTGATCGAAAGCATCGATAGCACTATCATCGATAACAGCATTTGTTTTTTTTAAGGAAAAGTCTAAACTTTAGCCCTAAATTATTCGCGTAAATCTACCTCTACCTCCTCATGGACGATCTTAATCCCCTCGCCGGCACAGCTCATCTTCTGGAAGAGGTTGACAGTGAGTAGACGCGGCTGATTTAGCGAATTACATTGAACAGAGTCCTAAAACCGGCACTTTACAGAGAAGCTAATGGTTCTGTTGCGGGACGGACGGACGCTGATTGGATATCTGCGCTCGGTGGACCAGTTCGCCAACCTGGTGCTGCAGCGCACCATCGAGAGGATACATGTGGGCAACGAGTACGGCGACATTCCACGTGGAGTCTTCATCATTCGTGGCGAGAATGTGGTGTTGCTGGGCGAAATTGTAAGTGGAACCAGATACCCTGAGTATTCAGCTAGGTTTAAAAAGCCCTAATACTATTTGCGCTCACTCGACAGGATCGTGAGAAGGAGCAAAAACTCCCACTCAAAGAAATATCCGTCGACGAAATCCTGGACGCCCAGCGTCGGGAGCAGGAGCAGCGACAGGAGAAACACCGTCTGGTATCCAAGGCGCTCAAAGAGCGAGGGCTGGCCGTTGACGCCAATATAATCAACGAGGACTTTTGTTAAGAGCAGGACGCTCTATTACTATTCAGAGATAGATTAAGCTCAAAGATTTGTCTAACTTTGTAAGAGCAGGTAGCTCTATTACTCTTCACAGATAGATTAAGCTCAAAGATTTTCGTCACTTTGTATATTTGTACTGCATTAAAAAACTATATATTAAAATCTATGTACATAAGTAGCTATGTAACCGCTTCAGCCAGTACCCGACCGCGATGCACCGCCAGGACCCGCACCTGCCCTGGTCCCGCTCTCCTCCAGTAGTATATACTTCTCTAGTATCTGGTACATCTCCACCTTTGCCTTGATCTTGTGCACGCGCGAGAGCTGACGCAGATAGGCGGCGATCGACTTGCAGAAGAAGTCGTCCTCCGTTTCCGAGGTATTCGGGGTGACTATCTCTGCGGCACATTGCTCCCGCTCCTGGCTCGTATTGGCCACGCAGACTACGTAGTCGCTTACGTTCTCTTGGCTGGGATCGACGGATTCGGCAGGCGGCACGACGCTTGCCTTGGCAGTGGTATCCTGCGGATGGAGTGTGACCACCGTACTGGATAGGGGCTTATTGTCGCCCTCCGGATCGAACTCTTCAAAACTCTCGTGATCGTTCTCCTCCTGTCCTTCGTCCGCCTCCACGAGCACTGAATAGGTCTCCGAATGCGTTGTCTGCACCTCCAGCTTGGTCTGATAGGACTGCTCCTCGCCTTCCTCATATTCCGGCGAGCCATGGTCCTCGATCAAAGTGTCGTTGTCCAGAGGCAGCCGGATTCGCCGCCGACGCATGTCCACCTTGAGCCAACCTGCGGGCTTCTGGTCCCTGTCCCGGTCGCGTCCCCGCCGCTCGCGCCGCTTTCGCACAAAGTCCCGCAGAAAGTCCATCTTTCGGAAGAAGTCATTGTGCCCGAACTCGCCGGTCGGATGCAGGCGCTTCTGTTTGAGCTCACGGGAGTAGCGGTCACGGAGGCACGTCCATCGACGCCGTGCGTCCGTAGTAGAGATGTTGAGGACGTCCGCAACTTTAGCCCAATCCTCCTCCTTCCGCTGCGAAAGTCGGAAGGATGGTAGTTGAGGATCGTAGAGTGACGGGGTCTCACGAATGGTGCGAATTAGAAGGATGTCAGATTCGTCCAGGGGGCGGTGGTTGGAGCTCATGTTGATTATTTATTCTTTTTAATTATTATTTACGCTGGAGTCCTTTACAACACTTTTGGCTTGACACAGACTTATGTGCTGTGCAACACTGGCTGAATTTACCACAGTGTTTACCACAGTTTTCACTCAGTCTGGCAACGCAAGTTGAGGCTGCCATACCTTTTAGTCTTAGGTTGTCTCGATACTATCGATACTTAACCTGTAATATCGATAGTAAGTGTAAAGATAACAGGTGTGGCAACGCTCTGGGCAATAAGGCAGCCATTTTTTTCACGCTTTGTAAAAATCTTTTTAAAAGTCGTGAAAAACGCTGAAAAGTTTACGAAATAGCGATCGGCGTGTTGTAAAAGTTTGTGGATACCAATCAAAGCATGCAAATCTGAAGTTCGTGAGTGTCCGCCGTGAGTGAAACGAATAATTGAATATGGAAACTGTCGTGGCTTTCAACAATGAGGTAAGTTGGATGGATGCTGGAAAATAACGCCGGATGGAATGTCGGACGGTGTCCGAAGGGGCTGCAAAGCGTGCGGCTTGAGTCTGGAGGCGGTTACACAATATCCGGCCAGATTTTGGCTGGGTGGTGGGCACCGCAAATAGAGATCTCTCCAGGCAGGGCCCAGAATTTTTCCGACAAGCGCCGCCCAGGGTTGCTTTGCGCGGTGGCGCAGCACCCGATAACGATAATTGCCAGTCCCGGATCCCCTTACCCGTGCCGTGCCGTGCCGTGCCGTGCACCATGCCCCATCCCATGCTCATGCCAATGCCATTCGTTTTCGTTGCAGCTCTCTGGACTCTATGATAGCCGGCCGCCAATTTCTAAGGCTAAGATGGCCGCAATCACCCGGTCGGCGATGAGAGCCATTAAATTCTACAAGCACGTCGTGCAGAGCGTGGAAAAGTTCATTCTCAAGTGCAAGCCGGAGTACAAGGTGCCAGGCCTCTATGTGATCGACTCAATAGTGCGCCAGTCACGGCATCAGTATGGCACCGATAAGGACGTCTTCGCGCCCCGCTTCCAACGCAACCTGACGGAGACGTTCGCCAATCTGTTTCGGTGCGCGCCTGAGGACAAGAGCCGAATTATCCGGGTGCTGAACCTGTGGCAAAAAACAACGTCTTCAAGTCGGAGGTCATCCAGCCGATCTTCGACCTCGCCGACCCCAATCATCCCATCTATCACCAGATGCCGCCGATCGGCCCTGGCGGTGGCTCCGGCGGCGGCGTGGGTCCCGGTCCTAGCAGTAGCAGTAATGCCCTCAGCTTGGCGGACATCTCAAGCGGCCCAAACGGGTTGCTTAACACCTCGGGCATGAGTGGCATGGAGATCAGCATGAGCAGTGCCATCGGAGACGACAAAATGGGAGGAGCCATGCCGGACTTGTCGGTGAGTGAAATCCTTCATTAGGATTGGAGGATTGGAGTCTGCCTACTAACACAACCACCCACACACACACACAACATCTCTACTGTCTGCTGCTTGTATATTTCTCTCACTCATGTCTTGCTAACTCTAACAACACCTTTCGTCCTCGCTCAAACTCGTTAGCTGGGTCATGAGAAGTTCGGTGGTGGCGGCAGCGGCAGCTCCAAGCGCCACTACTCGGAGCAACATTACTCCAAGCGTCAGTCCGGGGCTTCTTGCTCAAGCAAATCCAGCAAGTCGCACCACCACAAGAGGGAGCACAGCAAGAGCACGCACGACCTCGATTACCGGGTGCGGGAGATTATCGAGGATGAGGATGATGGCATGCTGATGGCCGATGACCACCACTGCATGGGCGACGACTCGCCGCCCACTTCCTCCAAGCTATTAGACGTATGAGCCATTAACTTCTTGCATTTACATTTTTTTTTCATTCACCATTATTCGTTTCCCTATAGTTTGGTAGTTTTGCTTAGTTTTACGCATATTATTTACCGACTTTTTATTGACAATTTGTGTAACGTCTCCATTGGCAATTTCCGATTGCAGAACAACAATCTCAAGCAGCTACTCAACGATCCCAACGTACTGCGGCAGCTGCAGACGCTGCAGAACTTTCAGAAGTTTAAGCAGCAGGAGGAGAACCAAAAGCACCGGTATCCGGACGAGGCTTTACAGCAGCATTTTCAAAATGTTATGAAGGTATGTAAGAGTCGTCAGCGTTCTTAGACATCCAATATCAATTATATCTATTGTTTTAGGGCACTGCCGGCATGCCGCCTGGCATGGGGATGGGCATGGGAATGAATATGGGTATGAACCTCAATGACGGCATGGACCTCAACAAGGATGTGGAGTTCATATCAGAGCAGCAGACCATTGAGGTATACCTTTTAAATCTTTTCTCCTTTATCTATCTTAAAGCTGTGGTGTATGCTCTTGGCCATGCGATCGGATTGGAATTACTGTCCAAAAGCATAAACATAGCTCAGTATTATATCATTAGTTTATAATTGGAAGTCGCAACCAGATGCCACTGGTGCCTTGTGCTGACGTGCAGTTGAGCCGTAGAATATGTGCCATAAATGTTGTTATAACCGATGCAATTTCGGCGTGTTCAGAAGACCAAATCGATTCAGTTAACTTGACTATAATAATATAATTTTTTTTGTAATATGCCTTTACAATTTCATTTTAAATATCATTCGCCTTAAACTAAATCCTAAATCCCTTTTGGAAGCCTACAAAAACCTCGTTTACACCATCCCTTATCCGCGCCTAAAAGTTAACTGAATGCTGCCCCTAAAGTATTTTTGAATGCCTATAATGGCAATTGCCAATATCTGAATATTAAGTCAATCATAAAGAATAGATGGTTTTATATAAAATACGTTAATGAGAAGCTAAAGGTAAGGTTTTGAAAGACCAGTTATGTCCGGCGGAACAACCCGTGTTGCCTGATGCTATAACAACGTTTGGTAAGTTCCTTAATATGTAAATTCAAGAATTCAAATCTTGCTCGAAAACGAAAAATGAAAAATGCCTAAAAAAAGACTCCACGGAATAGAATTCGTCGAAAGTGAAAGATAAAACAGAACCACACGTCAACACACGCCAAAGAAAGCTGTCTTTGTTCAGTCTAGTATGTCCCATCTGCCACTAATCCTATCCCAATCTCAATCCCAATTCCATTTCCGCTCCCGGACCCACTCAAATTTTTTAAGCTTATCGAAATGTTAACGTTTTTATCACGTATCCACTTCTCTCAAATTTTCTTGCAAACACTACCATCGACTCCAATAGGTGATCAACCTGGATGGTGCCGATTCGCGCAGTCCGACCCCGGACCGTGATCGATACAAGCGGAGCCGCCGGAGCAGTCGCAGCCGTTCTAGGTCGCCGCGCGGACGAGGCGCTGGCGGAGGCGGAGGAGGAGGCGGCCCGGGAAACGATCGGCGGCGACGCAGCTCCCGTTCAAGATCCCGCACTCGGTCGCCACGCTCCAGTCGGCGACGAGGATCACGGGACAGGGATCGCATGGAACGCAGCAACCGGGACAAGGAGCGAGACCGAGAGCACGAACGGGAGCGCCGCAAAAAGGGTCTGCCGGATATTAAAAAGGAGCACCTCAGTGGTAACTATGATTCGCGATCGGAAAATGACTCTCAAAGAGCGCTCAAGCAGCTGGGCTCATTGAGATCCATTGTTTCCATCGAACTTTTTTTCTCCTAATCCGAAAGAAAATCCTTTTTTTTCTCTGCAGGCAGCTCCTTGGCTCAGTTGACGTGTGTGTTTGTGTGTTTTAGCTTTAGTGGTTCTTGAGCATATATAATGTGGCAAATTTGTAAATCTATGTACCCAATCCCCATGATAATGCGTTTTCGAGCAAGGTTTTTAATCGAACATTTATATAAGGAACACAAAATACTCCATGTACCATAAATAGGGTACCAATTTTGTATCATATGATTCGGTGCATGACTTTGTTTTAAGAACTTTAAGCGTTTCTCAGTAAAACGATTAAATTTGATAGTCTTTCAAATAAGCCTACACTAAATAGCATATTTCTTATAGTGCAAACTGGCTGAATATTAAAAGGCCTATCTAGTCCTGTACGTTTGTCCATTTCTACGTTAAGTTTTGAAGCTATCCCGATAGCTTAACATTTCAAATATTTGTGTTGTATTTCAACATAAGTTCATCTTCTAGATATATAAATTTTTGTATGATTTGAGAATTAAAGTTTAATTTTATAATAATCAAATGATAATATAATATAACTACCCTATGAAACATAAAAAAAATAAATTGTCAGTTACTTAGTTCTTAAAACAACCTTCAACTGCAACATGCACACAGGTCAGCGAGTCAAAGGAACTTCCAGACTAGGGTTGTATGTCATTCGATATATCAAGCAAAATATCGAGTTATCTCACTTACATTAATTGCTATTTATATATGAATCTTGGCGTCAAATATCGATACTGTCTTGCATATCTACGTCCAAAGCATTTACATAAAACCCCTTCTAATCTTTGTTGTTTATTTTTTTCTGTAATCTACAGTGTGCAGTACTACGTTGTGGGTAGGACACCTGTCGAAGCTTGTTTACCAAGAGGAGCTATCCGACACCTTTGGCGAATATGGCGATATAGTTAGCATCGATCAGATTGTGCCGCGAGGATGCGCTTTCATAGTAATGAATCGTCGCCAGGATGCCCACAAAGCAATGCAGGCGCTGAAAAATCACAAGCTCCAGGGACGTGCCATCACCATCTCTTGGGCGGCCGGCAAGGGAGTGAAGAGCAAGGAGTGGAAGGACTTCTGGGACCTGGAACTGGGAGTCACTTACATTCCATGGTCTAAGCTCAGCACTGATACAGACTTTGACAGCCTGGAGGAGGGTGGCATGTTCGACGAGGACACCATGCCTGGATGGATGAAGCAGAAAATTAACCAAGTAAAAAATGTCGGAAAGGACAATAAGAGTACGCCCGTCGCGGATGCGGTACCCGTTGGTGTTGCGCCACCTGGCATGATCTTTGGCATTGATACGACTCAACCGCCCCCGGTGGGGCCCGTGGGACCAGTGGGAGGGCCTGTAGGTCCGCCACCAGGACCAGGAGCGCCGCCACCTCCATCGCTCATGGGGATAGTTGGCAGGGGTCAATTCCCGATGGGCCCGCCTATGGGCATTAATATGCCACCACCAATGATGATGCCGCCAACCAACATGCCACCTCCGATGATGATGCCAACTACCAATATGCCCCCGCCGATGATGATGCCACCGGCGATGATGCCTCCCGGATTTCCAGGTAGCTACTACTTCTGCAACAGGGTTTCAGAACTGAAATAACCCCGTATTTATATGTACAAACTATTGTAGGCATTGGTGGACCTCCGCATCCCATGGGCTTGCCTCCAGGAAATCCGTTCCCACCACCAGGTGCCACCTTGCCGCTACCCATATCCAGCGGAGGACCGCCATCGTCTGCAAATAGTGGCAACGTGAGCGACGATCAAATGGACATCGAAATGGACCTTGAGGAAGCTCCGCCTCCATTGCCGTCCCAACAGCAGGCAGCCGCCTTCAACCCATCGCCCAATAGTGTCGATGTGGCAGTTGCTGCTGTGGCAAACGAGATGTTCCAACAACGGGAACGGGAGCGGGATAGGGACCGCTCTCGAGGGCAAGCCAACTCGCGTTGGGGCGGACGGGATGAAGTGGTTGAGCAGTCGGATCGTTGGCGCCCCGAGAATGGCGGCGGTAATGGTGGACCGGGACCGGGACCTGGTCCAGGACCTGGACCGAACGCGGCATTTAATGAGGCCCGGGCGCGTCTAAATCTAAATCCTATTGATCACGGAATGCCCCGGCCAGACTTCTTGGGTAAGCTCAGATTACAAAAGTAAACCAATTTTGACAATTCATAAATATACCCTTTTCAACTTGCAGACTTTGATAATCGCGGTGGACCAGGGGGTCCGCGGGGCATGGTGGGACCGCGTGGGAGCCACAATGGCGGACCAGGTGGTGACTTTTTCCCGCCCAACATGAATCACAATCGATTCAATCAGCCCACCAGCCTAATGCAGATGCGGATTCCGCCGCCGGCTGCCTTTAACCAGCAGCGTATGGGCGGACCACCTGGAAATGGTGGTGGCAACGGTGTCGGACCCATGTTCATGCGGAATCAAGGGGGCGGTGGACCAGGTGGTCCTCCAGGAGGTGGACGACAACAGGGACCAGGTGAGAAAAAAGGCATAGGTTGTTTAACCGATTAAGAAGGTGTATTATTTTTTCTTTAGATTCAAAAAATTCTGGTTTCTGAAATAAAAATGTTATTTTTTTAAACTATCTTTGCGAAAAATCAAATACCCATTATTTACACTTAGTCACATATATAAAGAGGATATATTTGTATATCGCCAAAAATATCGCGTTAATTATCACATTAAAAAAAATTATAAAGTTCGAAACATTGTAATTAAAAATATTAAAAAAAACAACACGTATTTTGTGTCCAAATATCCCTACATCGATATTTTCTGGCCTACTATGATCTTACTTAAAACTATTTGTATTTGCAGGTTTCTTTAATCCGCGAAACCCCTTTAATGACAACCAACAACGTGGACGAGGAGGTCCGGGAGGAGGAGGCCCAGGAGGACGAGGCATGGGCGGCGGCGGAGGAGGGCCTGGCCCCGGCGGTCGAGGTCGTTGGAGTGACGATGAAGACGAGGCCGGAAACAATTTCAAGCGCCGGGGCGGACCAGGAGGTGGTCCTGGTCCAGGCGGAAATAGGTTCCGTAGTGAACGCGGTGGAGAAATGGCTGATGATCGTCGTGCCATGAACTCACGAGGTGGTGGACGCGGGGGACCACGAGAGGATCGTGAGCGTCCAGGCTTTGGCAACAGACGAGGCTCGAGGGACGACAACAGCCGTCATTCGATTGGCTCCATGGAAGATGGTAGTAATAAGATGGCTCCGGAGTCAGAGCTGAAACCCAAGAATGCAGATAACGAAGATTTAGCAAACGCCGATAAAAGCGCACCACCGGCTTCCTCGGAGGCGGCTGAAGACACCGAGGAAGATTGGGATCGAGAACTCCAGGACTACGAAGCGAGAATGGAGGCGCAGAAACCAGCGGAAGGTTCTGCTCATCATTCCTCGAGCGGCGAGCCCATTCAGGAGATTACGCAGACAGCGGCGGAGGAAGATTTTGCAAAGCCAGCTGATGTGGCGAGTGATTCATCAGTCCCGAAACCACAAGCAGATGCATCTCCCGCCTGTACGCCGCTTTACGATGAGTTGCCACCTCCCACGGTCTCGGACCCATCGTTTCAAGCTCAGTCTTCGAGAGCAGATGAAGAAGTAGCAGATGCTGCTCCTGCTGCTTCTGCCCCATCGGTTCCGGAACCGGAGACTATTCACATAGAGGCTGCGCCCAAAGAAGAATCGACTCCAACACCTTCGGCTGCTGAGATCCAAGCGGAGGAGCCATCAGCGGATGCATCAGCAGCTACTGATGCCAATGCATAGGCGACAGACAGATCAAGTGAAGAACAAACGCATATTTGAGTAATTTCAAAAAGTGTAATTTATGATTTTCCTTACCAAGTAACTTAAATGTAATACATGCGAACGAAATTTTACCATTTTTATCCTGAGATTACGCAGCATTTGTTGACGAGGTTGGGTCGCGGTCGCTTTTAAAATCAGAACCAGTTTATTTCGCGTAACACAACTATAGATACACGTACGTACAATAGGAAACACAGAGAACTAGATATGTGGAGCAACAGATTTACAGACAGATATAGAAAATAATTAGCAAAGGAAACGAATTGTATGGACAGGAAATTGACAGGGGAGCATCGTCAGTAGACGTATTAGAAGCCCAAGAAGAAACAAATCAGCAATCGCAAGGCAACACTTGAAATGTTTATTATTTTGTTATGTATTTAGTTTTAAGAGTCTATTTAACACTCAGATTGTTTATAATGCGAAGATATTAGGTACACGCATAATAATGTACAATTCAAATATACCTATACTATATCGGATACTATAAAATAAAAAGTAAAAACATCAATCGTAAGTTGTATTATTAAACTTAACTATTTAATATGAATTTCCATCCTATTGGGATCTTCACCCTTTGTCAATAGGGCTTTTCTATGCATTTTTATATCTAAATATAAATTTAAAATATTTTTGTTTGGGCTCTACAGTTGTTTAAGATTTAAATTCCTCACAAGAGTTTTCTTTCTTAAGCGTACATTTTTTCCAATTTATTTTCGCCTGGACCTCAGTATCACGGTATCAGAACATTTAAGTGGTAAGGAGGAATCGAAATTGTTTGGCTAATTAATAATTAATTCCTCTTTCGCCTTGACGTTTGCATATTTTTTTAAATTTAAGCGGCAAACAGCTGTGAAACGTTCGCTAAATTCAAAAATTCAGCTGATAGGGAATACCCTCGTCACAAAACGATTCGTTCTCAAGATACCGATAAAGACATTCGATAGCTATCACGAGAGAACCAGCTCTCTCGGTAGAAATAAGAGCTGGCAAAAAATCTATGTTTTCCACTATCGATTTTTTCTATGTTTTTCGAATTAGACATCGATACTATCGATTTCTTAAGCCGTGTAAATATTTTATCTACATTATATTAATAATTATTATTATTACTATGGTTAATGTTTAATTACGAATTTAATTAGTCTTCTTTACTTATTTAATAATCTTAAAGAGTGTAAATATGAATTGAAAAGTAACAAATCATGTATAAATATTTGTATTAAAAACAATCACTTTTCATTTGTTTTTAATTAACTATCTTAATATTTGAAACCAAAAACTTTAATTTAAGAGTGCAAATAGTATATTATCGTTATTATAGCTTAAAAACCAAAAGCGAAATCAAATGAATGTATAAAATCGTTGTTTATACCCTTACAGGGTATTATAATTTCAGTCAGAAGTTTGCAACGCAGTGAAAGAGGCACCTCCGACTCTATAAAGTATATATATTCTTGATCAGGATCAACAGTCGAGTCGATCTAGCCATGTCCGTCTGTCCGTCTGTCCGTTTCTACGCAAACTAGTCTCTCAGTTTAGAAGCTATCTGAATGAAACTTTGTAGTTAGTCTTCTATATACTCTCACTTGTATATATATCGGAACGGGCTGGATCGGACGACTATATCATATAGCTGCCATAGGAATGATCCGAAAATTTTTCCAAAAAAAATTATAACATTTTCAGTTTTCAACTGTTTTCAAATAGCCATATATAGCCATTTTATATTATTCTTCAATTTTGTGTAAAATTTTATGAAAATCGGACTTCTATATCATATAGCTCCCATAGGAGCGATCGAGAAATTAATTCAACTAAATTTTCAGTTTTCAAATGATTTTCATCAAATTAGAGATATAGCCATTTTATATTATTCTACAACTTTGTGCAAAATTTTATGAAAATCGGACTACTATATCATATAGCTCCCATGGGAAAGATCGAGAAATTAATACAATTAAAAATTATAACGTTTTCAGTTTTTAGCAGATTTTCATCAAATTTGAGATATAGCCATTTTATATTAGTCTTAAATTTTGTGTCAAATTTTATGAAAATCGGATGACTATATCATATAGGTGTCATACAAACGATCGTTAGATATGGAGGAAAAATGCAAATCTGTGAATGTAAAACTGCAAATATAATATGTATAGGTGAATGAAATGAAAGCAGGTATTACTTCATTGTTTTTTAACATAAATATATATAATTTATATTGTATGGATTCCTAGTCATCGAAGTTCTGTCTGCAAGAGTATCTAAACTTCGGCGTGCCGAAGTTAGCTTCCTTTCTTGTTAGTATTAATAAAAAAATTATTTCTAAGTATCGATAGTGCAAAAGAATCGATGTCTTGAAAACTTTATCTAAACATCGATAGTATCGATAGTGCTCCGACGTTTTGCCAGCACTAGTAGAAATACAAATTTCGGTAGAAATACAAACTTAAATCAATACAGTTCCCCGGAATAAATGCACAACGGTCACGGTTACGCCGAGAGAAAATGCAGTGCTAATTTAGCGTAAGCGTCACAGCAACGCAGTTAATAAAGTGCAAAGAAAAATTTTCGGGTGCCAAAGAATCTACACACACCAGCGCACACACACGTAAGCAGTGCACATATACATACATGCACACAGACTGGCACAGCGCAGTTGTGGGAAATGTGCAAATTGTATCAAAATCCGCTTGAAAATAAATAAATTGGGCACCGAAACGTGTGAAGAGTCAAGTGAAATAATCAGACGCGGGTCGTGTGCGGCTGAATACGTCAAAAGCGAGCGCTAAATACTGAAAAACGTGTGCAATTTTGCAATGCTTCGACTGAGTGTTATTGTGTTAGTGTAGGTGAGGAGTGTGAAAAATACACATAGGTGTCCCTGTCCGTGTGTCAGCCGCCAACAACTAACACCAACGGCAGCGTTCCGCACACACACACACGCGCACAGGGGCAAACGTAACCGCAGTCGGCGCTGGCAGCGGAGAGCAAGGATGCTTTCCTTCCTGGCAGATGTGGATGCTGTTCGAAAGCTCACCTCTTACCCTCACCCCACTCGACCCCACCAAAGGCACTCGCGGCACATCGAACAACTTTTCACTTTTCGCCCGCTTCAGATGTTGTTATTGCTGCTCTCCGCCTGCACGAACATGCATACCCATACACAGGCACACCGATGTTTTGTTTTATTCTAGCTATTTTCGGAAATCGAAGGTGATCGAGACCGGCATCAATGAGTGTTACTCAGTTTTTTTTTTGTTTGCTTTATTTACATTGCTCGATTCCCGTATTAAGTCATTATTCCATCAGATAACGTAATGTGTGTGTGTGTGTGCGTCTGTGTTTCGGACGATAAACCAGAGCCCGAAATGTGGAGTGGTGGTTATCGCCAGATCCGTACGTTATGCAAAAAACCAGAAATCGGCCACCGAATTTATATGTATAGCGAGAACGGCATTTTATCAAAGTTCTTTAGCCTTTCGGTGCGAGTCGAATCTTGTCGCTCTCCTCTTGTTGTTTTTGTTGTTTCTAAATGCAAGGCGCGCGACCAAACAGCTGTAAATGTGTATGTGTGAGCACAGCAACAACGGCATGTGAGTGGGAGTGTGTCAGTGCGATCTCATTTTGGCCACCAAAGTGCAATTGGGAAAGTGTGAAAGAAACGAACAGAGTGGAAAGAGAGGGAGAGAAATCGAACGAGGAATATCCAGCAATTAATTCAACACGTAGTTGGCATTAAAAACAAGCTGTTCCTTTAATCAATTTTGTCCTCAAATCTGTGGTGTCATAGATGATGGGGCGGGCTGATATTGTTTACAACGCAAAAAAAACTTTAAAACCTATGCAAAATATTGTCATTTCTCGCGTTAGTTGGAACTGCGTGCTATTGTTTCTAGAATATTTTCTACTCGTGGCCTTTAACCAAGTTTGTGGTATGAATTTCACAAATATCACACAATTACACAGTTTTAATGGAGTCAAGATGGCAGAAAGTTTTGTTTATTTCATAAATTCCGCGACTTGTAAACACAGGGAGTTGAACTTAAATATTTAAACTTCTTACAAGTTTACAAATATTTTTGATTTAATATTTGTATTACTGGCTACTGATGTCCTTATTGTGGGCTATTTCTTTAAAACTAATGACAATGATTTTATTTATCACAAAGCATAGCATACCCCCTTTTTGACAATTATACTTTCGAGTTCTTTTGGTAGCAGACAGGACTACAAAATGGCGGATGAAAATAGAAACATACAGATGAATGTAGATTATGCATATGTATGTTTGTACGTAAACCAGCAAGCATTCAGTTGTCCATTTGTGGTCCATCACGGGAAGGGGAATATGACCGGGAACAGAACAAGGATAATCGAGCAACAGCGCCAGACGCGTCATTGACAAGCGAAGCTTCCTCTTGTGATGGATGCGCTCCACTTTTGGATGCTATTTATAAACGTTTTCGCCCGTATACATACACACAATCGCTGACCGAGGACGATGATGATAATGATGGTGATGATGATGATGATGATGGCCAGGCCACTGATTCTGCTCTGCTTCCTTGAAATCTGCATAGTTCCGCTTCCGATTGAGTTGGCGCAGTCGCAATGGTAGCTTCATCCATTTCCCTTCACTTGTGCTGGCGCAACAGAGCGTGTGTGTGTGTGTGTGTGAGTGTGTGTGTGTGAGTGTGTCTACTCCACGGTCCACGTTCCACGTTCCACCGAATTTACCGGGCAGCATCCACATCCACATGTTGAGAAGAGCGCCCAGCACATATCCTTTTCGTCTTCTCCTCCCTAGACTCATCCTCTTCACCGATTCCCGGATACGCCGTTACGCGCACAGCTCCCGCACTTTTCCACTCGTCGTTGCATTGATTTGTTTGTGTACGTGGGCAAGTGTGTGTGTGTTTCCGTCTGCACTTGTGATTTTCAAGCCATTTCCTCGAAATTATCGCCATCGATTACTGAGGATTTAAATGAATGCTCCTCGCTTTTAAAGGGATTAATTTTGGATTTGGTTTTAAGGGCGGCTAAAGGATTATTAATGATTATTTTAAAGTTATTTCATTAAAAAATTAAGAATTTCCTCATACTCTCTGAATACTTTTGCGTGTACATATATTTTATAGAGTGCTGAAGGTACATATGTATGTACATATGTATGTAGTTTGCATGCGATTGAGTATCCCTAATCAGTCGCTGCACACCTTACTGTCACGTATTTGAGCTAGTTTTCTATTGCCCACAGGTGTGCTTTCAAGGAATTGTGCATTTCTGCATGAATTATTAAGACTTGCAGTCGACATTGCACTTCCACAAATCATATCTTTCAACATTAGTCGATAATCCTTAGAACGATTTCGGTAATGCAATTTCGAGGTCTTTTGAGCACTAAACCTAATACATATTGGTCGGACAAAGCGAAAGTGTAGGCTAGAGAGCAGAGCAGGCCTAAAAATAACCCTTTTGTCTTTAACGGTCTATAAATGGCGGTTGAGTGTAAATAAAAATGCTGTCGAGATTTGGACAATATCCCGAGCGAATTCAATGTTAGGAGGCGCGAGAGTGAGCGCACTTTCTCACGCTCTTGCCGCCGTTCTCCTTGTGTCACTGCATCTCTCACAACCGACCTCCTCTCTCTTGTCGTTTCCCATATGCTTGCAGTGTTAAATCCTAAAAAGCCGGCTCAGCAGGAGGCGAGAAACGTTTTCCAAACGCATCACATGTAAATGAGATGCCGTCGCATCGGCAGCAGCAGCAAGCAAAACCACGCCGACATCGTCATCGATGCCACCAGGAACATCAGGAGCGCCAGCATCTGATTATTGAGTGAAAAGAGTGCAGTGTGTAGTGTAGAGAGTGGAGAGTAGTGCGCCAAGAGTGGAAAATCGGTCCGTTCGAGAATTGATAAGTTGATTAGAGGAAAGTAGCAGCAACACAGGAGACAACGCACTGATCTAGCGGAGGCGGGAGGCGAGGCACACGCCGGGTATCCAAGATGAAGCGACGCAACGCGGACTGTGGCAAGCTGCGACGGCCGATGAAGCGCAACAAAATCACAGAGGGCATGTACGGCAGGTGAGTGATAAGACAACTTTAATTATAATCTGTCCAGAAACCTAAATATGAAAATAATACAAGGAGCTCTACTACTTTGTGTACAAAAATATGTTTGGAAATCTTTAAAGAAAACTAATTTGCCAGAAATTTACAAGCTAAAATTTGTTTCAAATTATTAATTTGTGTGTTTTAGGGACTTATTCATAATAAATTATTTAATGATTTAAAAATGCCACCATGTAAAGAAGGTCCATAGTCGGCTCTGAGTGCGTGCAGAAGTTAATTACTCATGTTAATTACTCTTTGGTTCTACAAATGCCTTGAAAATTTTAAAATATTTTTATATTTTCCAATAATTTAATCGAGCCACATCTTAATTGAGATAAACAGTCACATTTCGATTTATTGGCATGCGAACTGCCCCCCAAGTCAGAGCTCTTGTTGATTATCTGATTTTCTGAGGCGCAAGAGAACAGGCACGAAATTCCTAGAGTGCGTAGCTCATGTGAACTCGTTCTCTCTTCTCGCATTTTTATTATTTATACGTTTGTTTACTTTTTGATTGCGCCTCATAGTTGTTGTTTTATGATGTTATGCATGTTTTTATTTGGACGCTACTCGTTTTTGGCATTTGCTCTTCCCGACCGCTTCTTCGTTTCGTCACTTCTACTTAATCTTTGACATAGCCAGATGATAATCTTATTAAGCATTTTAAACAGCCTGGGTGGTTGTTGGTGACTTCTGTATATTATTAAGTTTTTGTCTGTTATCGGTTTACTCAAGGAGAGCAATGGAGGATTGAAAGTTTGATTTGGGAATTTAATAAAAGTGTATTAGCTTATCGTAATTAATCAAATTATGAGTTAAGTAATTATAAAACTAAAATGTTATCCCTTCCCTTGTTTAATTGCAGCACAACTGTCCTGTACATGAAGTTTTTGATACTTTGGGCCATTGTAATGGTTGCCGATTTCATGTTCATGTTCCGCTTTGAGTTCTTGTGGCCATTCTGGCTACTCCTCCGCTCCGTGCACGATTCCTTCAAGTACAAGGGCCTGGTGAGTGGGACACCGATCCGGCTTCACTCCAACCGAAACTCTAATTGGGGTCACTTACTTTTGCAGGCATTTTCCGTGCTGTTCGTGTGCATAGCGATAACGTCGGATCTGGTCTGTTTGTTCTTCATACCCGTTCACTGGCTGCTCTTCGTGGCCAGCACCTATGTCTGGGTGCAATACGTCTGGCATACAGGTGCGTCAGCCACTAAGACCATTGTGGAGTTGAAGTCACCGGACGTCTTCATATTTAACCATCCATGTTCTATTTCAGATAAGGGCATCTGTTTGCCGACCATAATACTCTGGATGTTGTTTGTCTATCTCGAGGTTGGCATTCGATGGAAGGACAGTCGCCACATGCCGCACTTGGATCTCTGCCGGCCGTTCGCAGCGCATTGGTAAGAATTTCATGCCTCGTTAACTAATGAAACTCCTTCTAATCCTCTGCTTCTTTTACCAGCATTGGCTATCCGGTTGTCACACTCGGATTTGGCTTCAAAAGCTATGTGGGCTACCGCATGCGTCAACGCAAGCAGCGAGAGGTGGCCAAGGACAACGAGTTTTACATGCAGTTATTGCAGCAGGCGCTTCCCGCCGAAGAGGCCACTGAGGAGGCGACAACAGCGGGAGCGCCAACACCATCCAGCACCGTCGTGGTGGCCAACGGTTCGGCCACGACGCCGGCTTTGGTCGCAACCGCAGCATCTGCGGCGGCGAACGGCATTCTGGCCACTGCCACGCAAGCACAAAACCATCATGAGCATCATCACAGCGGCGGCGCCGGCGCCAGCAGCAGCTCGAGCAATAGTAATCATCATCATCACCACCATCATAGTAACAGCAGTGGCAGCAGCAACCACAACAATAATAACGGCAGCGCAGGAGGAAAGGACAACAGTACGAATGACAGCGCAACGGCCGCGTCGTCAGCGACGTCTTCCGCTGCAGGGCCAGCGTCAGGTGCGTCAGTGACTGCGTCCACGGGCTATGTCTCCCCGGCGTCGTCAGCGGGCAAACAGTCGTCGGCATCAGCAGCCAGCGCGGCCACAACAGGTGCACCAATCACTACTTGTTCTACTTCCGTCTCAGCTCTTTCCGCTGCTATGACTGCGAATTTGGCGACACAGCACCATCAACAACAACAGCAGTCGGGGGCGGCAGCATTCCCTTCTTCTTCTTCTGCTTCTTACTCTTCTTCCGCCTCCTCTTCTTCTGATGGTGTCGATGCTGACGGTTGTTGTGGTGGTAATAATGTCCATAAGCTGTTTCATGCTGCTGCCCCTCACAACAGCAACACCAAAGAACCCACTAATTCGTACTACTTACCAGCCGCCACATATGTATGTTTCTGTATGCGCATGTAACCCACGAAAACCAAGACTTGAAGGCACAATATCTAACCCACAGCAACCACAGTCGGCAATCGAAACCTTCATTTCATTATCTTCCTGCTGCAAAGCAAACCTAACTCTGGGTGCCAGCAAGAGAGAGGCTCTCCTAACAACTAATACGTCCCAACCCCCCCAAGTACATTTCCCCGTGAAATCAATAAAACACAATTATTTTTTCCCTATAAATAAACATGCACTTAACGCGCTCTATTTATATATCCCTTTGCAGCCACCTCCAATGGTCACGCTGGTGGTTCAAGGAACCATCGACGCAGCATGGACAAGGATAACAAGCATCGCAACAACAAGGGCGACGCCGCTGCTGATAATGAGCACAACAATGGGTCGCGGCATGGGGGTAAAAATAGCAGTTCCCAGGCCGATGGAGGCGCTGCCACAGCAACCACAAGCGCCACATTAACTAATAGTAAGGATAAGGATAAGGAGAAGTCAGACTGGGATAGTAGTGGCAGCAACTATCCACAACAGCAGCAGGGCGGGAAGGAAAACAAGCACGGTGAGTGGATGGGCATGCTTTGATTCTATTAACTTAGCAAGGTGCAATCTCTGATTAATAATCTTATCGTTCAAATGTGTTTATTACTTCAAGTCATTAAGTTATTTAATCGATTTGGGTTCTTCTGGTTTCATTACCCTGTGATTTAATCGAAGAATAACCCTATTGAGATATTTAATCAAACATTTGAAGACCGACAAATAACTAAGGTTCATATCTATATTTACAGATAAAAAGGCGGGTTATGCGACAGTACCCAATGGAAGTGCTAATCATCTAGAAGCCGACGAAACGGGCAGTGCGGAGCCAGCACCTCCGGCTGAAAAAGCGCCCAAAGGTATGTTGAGAAGCCAAGGTCAAAATAAAGGTCCCCTAATAAGTTATACTTTTTGCAGGGCGACGCAATCGCGGCAAAAAGGACAACAACGCAGCCAAGGACAATCACAGCCATCAGCATCAGCTGGCTCAACAGCAGCAAAAGGATAAGGACAAGGAGAACACAGCCAATAACAACAACAACGATGCCAGCTCTGTATCTTCATCGGCCAGTTCCACCTCGAGCAACAACGCTATCGCGCACATTGCCAGCAAGGTTGTATCCAAGATTTGTGAAACATGCATCAAACTGGAAGCCGATGTGAAGAAGTATCGCGCCGAAATCAGCCATATGAAGCAAATCGAAAACGAGCTGCGCCAGAAGCTGGACGCCAATTTGACCAGTAAGTCAACGCTGCAGGCCAAACAGAAGGAGTGCGACGAATTGGAAAAACGTATCCAGGAGCTGAACAATGCCCGTCACTCGGACATGCTGAACTTGCAGACGGTGGAGAGGCGACTCAACGAGGAACGCCGCCAGAAGCAATCACTGGACGCTCAACTGGCGAACGAGAAAAAGGCGCGCAAGGTGGCCGAGGAGAAGGCAGCACGCCCCGAGTGCAGCACTCAATGCAAGCAACGGCGTCAACAGATGGACGATGAACAGAAGCGGCTGCGTGGAGAGCTCAAGCAGACGGAGGAAGCCAAACAGTTGGCTGTGGAACACGGACGGAAATATGAACAAGAGGTATGAATGCAAATAAATTCTTTAATATAATATTGGGAGTAAGTGACTTGACTTTTCTCAGTACCGCATGCTGGAGGCGAAGCTACGAAGCCGCGAATCCTCTCAAACCGATTCAGAAATGTTGCTGAGTGCCATTGCCGCCATGCAGGACAAGAATGCAACGCTCGAGAAGAATCTATCCGCAGAGACGAGAGTCAAGCTGGACTTGTTCTCGGCTCTGGGCGCTGCCAAGCGCCAGATCGAAATATCTGACAGTGAGTATAAGCGGCACCTGGGTCAAAAATGCAATTCTAACCGATCGATTGCATTACTTCAGACCATCGTCGCTCCAAAGAGGATGAGGTCATTGATCTCAAGGCCAAGATTGCCCAACTGCTGGCCGTGATGCCGGACAATTTGTGTATGAACACTGGCCCACATGGACCGGCCAGTAGCATTCTACGCATGAATGACACGCCACCACTGCAGTCGGGTCCCGGACCGTCCTCGCCTATGCTCAGCCTGAGCGCTGCCGCCCAGGAGTATCATCAGCAGCAACAACAGCAGCAGCATCAACAGCAGCAGCATCAACAGCAGCAGCATCAACAGCAGCAGCATCAACAACAGCAGCATCAACAACAGCAGCACCAACAGCAGCAACATCAACAACAACAGCATCAACATCATTTTGCCGTCTCCCAACAGCAGCAGCAGATGGTGCCAGTTAGTGTGGCGGCCGCATTTCAGGTGGCTGCGGCAAATGCTGCCGCTGCTGCTGCAAACGGAAACAACGGCTCCACTCTGGACCCCAATGCAAGTGTGTACACGCCCAAGACGGGCAATATGATGGTGGTGTCGCCGGTGGGCATGAACCCAAATGGAACGGATGCCTGACGCCAACAGCAGACGCAGTCCTCGTCGTCGTCGTCGTCGTCGTCCTCGCACCTGCATCTGAGACGACAAGTTTGAGATTATTATACTTTATATTAATTAGGGAAAACAACAACCACAAACAGCCGTCGCCACAGCAAACGATGAGCAGCAGAAACAGCAGTTTGCTTACAATATCTGAATGTCCGTAATATAAATAAGCAGTCTCCTCCTTTCAAATTTCAACAGCACTGAAATGCAGGCCCCACAAAAATTTCTAAACAATTCCCTTCGTATGTTTTACGTTCGATGTCCTACGTCCTACGTATTACGTTTCACAAGTTTCCTAATCCTCATTTCCGCATCAAATTTGGCATTCCAATAGAAGTATATCTTGAAGAAGGCCTTCCGCTACGATTGTTTTGAGTGAGCTGACCAGCCACCACTCGATAACACACCATACCACCCCACACCACACACATTCAGTATCTCTCCCTTCTATCACGAAAAGTAAAAGATTACTTTAACAAGATGATTTGAAAACTTGAATCACGAAACACAAATTTCTAAAAATAATAACAAATTGAAAATGGCGATTCGTATTTTTAATTGAATAAGTTAGAGAGGAACCTTCCGAAATCCCATGTTTTTCATTTTTACCAAACGCTGTGAGAGAGTTGGACCAACCTTAGTGATGGCCTTTGATCTGGGGGGATGCCCCCGATTCAATGGAATATATATTTTTGAAGTCTGCGCCCTTGATTTATTATCTCATTAAATTATTTTTGTTATAAAACCTTAAATGTATGCTATAATTTAGAACCTATCACTTTTGAAAAACAAACAAGCTGCAAACGAAACGAGTTTCTTTTTAAGTTTTAATTTATTTTTGTTTAGTTTTGCTGTTCCTAAGAAAAAAAGAAAATATCGAAAAGAAGTAAGAGAAGAAAGCTTAAGTTTATTTACGAAAAGCGAGAAGCGACGACTATTTTGTTTAATAATAAAAAGAACAACAACTTTTGGCTGCGCGAAGCAAGCACCTTTAATTTGTTTATCTTTATTTTACGATTTTGTTAATTGGCCCCCACAAGCAACCCTTTCCCTAAGTGTTACGTGTGTCGGAATTGTCGGACTTGTCCGTTCCCCAAACCGATCATCCCATATCTCGTGCTGTTTATTTTTGTCCACGAGGAAAATCGAGAACTAAGAAAATCAATCACACAATGTTTGTTAACGCTATATACAGTGTGCTGGAGGCTATCTCCTATGGCGTCTATACATTTGTGGCCACAATTTGGCACGTAGAAGGTAGGTCACCATTAACCAAAACCATGTAGTCCAATCTTATTTACCCTGGTCCACAGAGGCATTGATTAACCTTATGATGTCCACGTTTCTTCTGGTGCTGAGTCTGGCGTGCCACCCGATTATGATCATTCCCATGCTCTTGTTTTGCGTCTATGTTTTGCGCAACTTTTGGTACCGCCGCGCCACGAAATTTAAGATCGATGAAAAGGAGGCCGATGGTGGAGTGATGGCTGGCATCCGGAATACGCCTCGTACCCCCCGAATTCCGTCCTTTCGCAGCTTTGCGGCAAAACTAGGCGATGCTGGCGCCAATGACACGCCCGTGCAAAATTAAATCAGCGCGTAGCGGCCAAAATTTGGATGTCTTCATATATTATTAAAACATTCACATGTCTGGACTGTTATCTTAAGCTTATGTTTTGTGTTTAAATAGTACGCAGTCTTGATTGGAATTAGCAGGACCTAAGGTTAAGACTTGACCAGAAGGCTGGCGGCGTCCACCTTTCGCAGGGCTTCCCGGGCTTTGGCTAGCATGGCGTTGGCCGTCGGCTGGGCAATGAGGCCAGCAAGGTGCCGTAGGTACTTGTCAATGTTGTCCACATTGGGAGGAGCGGCAGACTCCAGTGGCGGCAGTTGGATTCCACCGAGCGCAGACACCAGTCTCTGACGCAGTCCTTTCACATAGCTCTCAAGACGCGCGTTCTCGACCATCATCGCGGATACCTCGCCCATGACCTTGGCGTAGCCGGCTTTCGTGTTGTCGACATGCTGCTCGAGCACAGCGTTTTGCTGCTCCAGATCCGTCTTGGCCTTGCGCAGCGTCCTTAACTCGTTCTCCGTGCTGCGATTATGCTCGATGAACTCGTTGGTGTAAATGGGGATTTCGCCAGCCTGAAGAAGACGAAGCGTTGCGGGTATGGGTGTCATGTGGCTGGTGGGAACGGGCTGGGCCGGCACAGGTGCAGGTACTGCACTAGGCGGCGGCGGTGGAGGTGGAGGTGTCGGCATTCGTTTCACTTGCGCTAGCGGAACGTCGTCTGGGTCTTCTTCGCTCTGCCTCTTCGCTGCTATTGGCTTCGCCCTGGCTTTTTTCCCCTTGCCCAGACTGGTATCGGCGTTGCCGCCGCTCTTTGGGGTCTTCTCCTTTGGAGAACCCTCTAGTTTGGTAGCCTTTTTGGCCTTCGCCAGTTCCCTGGCCACAATCTCGGGGTGTTCTTTAAGAAAAAGTTGAAGCTGCTCCTGATATCTATTAAATATTGAAAAATCTAAGTGTCAAAAGGGGAATGAGCAACGTAACCTGGGTCTTACACGGCCTTATCCTTGGCGGCTGCTTCCATATAAGGAACCTTGCGCTCCTCCGGCAGCTGGTGCCATTCCTCGCCAATGATTTTTGTGTGCTCCAGAGCCGTGCGGTGGGGTTGTTCGCGTCGCAGCTCTTCGCGCCTGTCGTTCATGAAACGGACGTAGCCATTGAGTGGCATTTTAGGGGCTCCTGCCACGTTAATACGACGTTGCGCAAGCTTCTTCAGCTCGCTTTCCAGGTCGGATTCAGAGTGGCGACTGGCCTTCTGGCCCTTCGGTTTCTTGGGTGCCTTGGCCGGTGACGGTTTGTCCTCGTCAAACTCCTCTGGCCTGGCCTCATCAAGAGATTTGGAGGCGATTGGGGTTGAGGCGTGGGCAGCCTCTGCCACCACATGTGAGGTCTCCTTCGATGGTTCCGTCATGTGGCTGCCGTCCTAAATTTTTTTTTTTTCAGAATTGTTTTGGTTTGGCTTTTACCAATGTGCCCAGACCGATCCCAAGAGCTCTAGACTTGCTGGTGGCGAGCACGTTGCGTTGCCGGACCGTGCGACCTCGAGCGCTTTAGAGTGCCCAGCTGCCGTGAAGGCATTTCAAAGATTTCAGCGCCCTCCATGAAGGAAAAAAAAAAAATAAAACTGAATTGATTACGAGAAAATAAACCTCACGCACTTCAAGCATTTCGCCAAGCCCCACCTTCGGCACAAGGTCAGCACCTGAATTTAAGCAAATTGTTCCTCAACTTAAGGTTTGAAATATGTGCGCAAACTTGACCCATTTTCGGAACACTTTTATTTGTTATTAATTATACTATACCATACCATATTATTACAAATACCGCTAAATTTGTCCAAAATCGATTTCTTATATCATTTGTGTATATTATAATATATTTTTAGAATCTTATTTAATTTATATAAAGTTGGACTCTGCCCTTCGCAATAATCTGTGAGCCCCTTCATATGAATTTAAAGCATTATAACATTTCCAAGTATGATGATGACTCATGTTTGTTTGGTCTTTAACCCGTCACATTATCTACGTCGCAATTTCGTCAGAATATGTGGCGTGATCCACAGGCCTAGGGGAAGGTGGCGTGACGAGGATAAAACAAAGTAAATATGCATTAAGACTGTGGTGTGGTTTGGTTTATATTCTGAATATATAATTTTTTCCAATTGGTTTCACAAATTCTTTGAGCACATTACAAGTAACAGTAGCCTACATATGTGGTTAGTGTTTAATTTAAATGGAAACCTACAACTAATCTTGGCGCTCTACGTCCACGATAAATATCATATATATAAAGCCTTATTTGCGACGACGAAATTCTGTACAGCCTATCATCTAAAACAAACTTAAACATAAACGGCGGCCAGCCGAACTTAAGAGTAGAACAGAGAGAAACAAAGGCTTAGATCAAGCTGGGGAACAGCTCGTCAAAGTTGCTCTGCCAGGGGAAATCTTCCTCGTCGATGGGCAGAGTCAGGGCCGTGGATGTCGGAGAGCCCAGTATGGACTCGTACCCGTGATCCGAGGTGGCCGAGTGGAGAGACAATGCGGGGGATTTGGCCAGCGGGGAGATCGCCTTGACTCGCGGACAGAGAAAGCGCTGGATGGGATCGAAGCTGCTCTCGTCGTCCGAGTCGTCCTCGGTGGCGTTCACCACGTTGAGGTAGACCTGCGACGGTGACGTCGCTGGTGGAGGACACTTCATGATCACGTCAGTCGTATCCTCATCGCCAGCGGTGACGCCGTCGCAGTAGATCTCCTCGACGGCCTCGTTAACCGGCACCGCATCACCGTCCATTACGATGGTGATTGAGTTCGTCTTGGCATCGTAGGTGCCGTACACTGTGTCCGGTGTGGCTTGCAGAAGTGAGGCGGCCGCTGTTGCAGTGATTGTGGCTGTTGTCGTCGTCGAGGCTGGCGCTGTAGATGCTTGCTGGGGGTTTCCATTTACCTCCAACACCTGCACATTCAGGCTGACACTGTGCTCCAGAGGTGCCTTTGCATTACTCAGGCCATCAGCTCTATGCCCGCCGGATTCCAGGCGCTCTGTTGCGGACCCCACCACTGGTCCAGGCAGTCGCTCTGCTTCGCCTGTATCTTGGGCAGCATCTGGGCTGCTCTCTCCAGTGCCTGTCTCCAGGTCTGCTGTGATATCTGCGAGCAGACTTTCGGCCAGCTCTTCGAGCCGCTTGACGTCGAATTCTTCGTCGTCGCCAAGCATGTCTTGTAGAGTAGGCAGAGCGCCACAACCTTCCAGAGTGATGCCATGCTCCGGCTGCTCTTCAGCTGCTCCGTCAGCAGACGCGCTAACGACTGTGTGTCCACTTGTTGTGTACCCTGCGGCAGAGGGTCAGCATTGGATGCTGCAGATCCAAGGATTGTGGACGCACAGCCCTCAGCGCCTGCGCTGGCGTTGGATTGGCTGGTGCTCTTGTTGTTTGTGGCGGAGATGTATCTGTACTGCTGCTGCTGCTTCAGCTCGGCGAGTTCCTGGCGCATGACCTCCAGTTCCGAGTCGAGCTTGTGGTTCTTGGCCAACAGCGACTCGTTGATGGCTTGCAGACTGTCGCACTTGTTCTGTAATATTTCCGTCTTGTCTGTGAGTTCTTTGATTTCGTACTCCATTTCCTCCATGCGAGCCTTCTTCCGGTCGCGTGATGTTTGGGCGGCCACTCGGTTCTTTAACTTCCTGCGAGGAAGACAAAGGAAACAATTAACTAAAGGTTCAACTAACGCAGGGGGTGATGCGCTCATACTTTCTCTGCACCTTCTCCTCCCATGTGAGGTGGTCCAGACGGCGCTTCTTGGCCTTGGGCGCCACCGCCGACATGGCCTCTTCATCCATGTTAGAAGAGGAAGCGTAGCCTGAACTCGAGGGCGTGGGCGAGGAGGCCTTGAGCAGGGCTGCCGTCAGGGGGGCGGGGCGCAACTTGGGTAGCGTATTCGATGTGATGGCTGACCGCGGCACGGTTATCAGCACTGCGTTCGCGGTGAGGGCCATTGCTAACTCAGGTATTGTGATAAACTGCTGTGTGGGCTGGGTTCCAACTTAGATTTGCATCGTTTCCGTGTGCTGGCCACGGGCACTAAACTTTATCTGACTGTCGATTTACTTAGGTTGTCTCATTGGCTTCGACTGCGCTTCTCGGACGCTCTGCTGGTTTGGACCTCTTCATTGCCTCCTCTTCGGGCTTTTCTGGCTTTCTCACGCAATTTTCTCATCCACCTTTGCAATGCGGAACGACTGGTTTTTCTTTGGGCTGACGTGGTTTTTCTGAAAGCTGACGTGGTGTTCCGTCCATATATAAAGAAAATATATGTATAGAGAATATGGGAAATGCAACTCTGAAAAAGGTGCATAACTTAGATGAAAACGAAGAGGAACTTAGCTTAAAAATAATCAGATTAAGTGTGACCAGATGTATAAAACAATTTATTTGAAATGGTTTGCTACCTTACAAAACAATTTTAAATTCACGCACAATTTGGTAAACGAAATCAACTTTTTTATCCTTCGTATTTAAGGCGCTGTTGGCGGGGGCTTTTTACCCTTCTCCTTTTCGGCCTGGGCTAATTCTTCCTTCACCGCATCAGCGACTTCGTAGATTTTGGTCTTGTGCTGCAGATCGAAACATTAAATAAGAACATTTGTTGCAGTTATGCCTTGCCTTTAGTTGGTTCAGGTAGAAAATGAAGGGAATGTTTCCGGTAATCGGATCTATTGCCACCGGCCACATCTCCTCCAGCTCCTCCTCCGTGAAGGGCTCCCCTTCCTCGGCCATCAGTTTGCCGAAGTACTCCTTGGTCAAGTACTTCTTGTTCTCCGGGTCCAGGACTTCAAAGGCCTCCATTATCTTTACAGCCGATGCCGGTTCCATTCTGTGGAACAGTAAAAATGAAAATCATATGACGCATTTACCCGAAGTAATCTAACTTGTGATCCATGAGCAGAACGGAGACGTGGGCCATGAATTTGGATATGTGAGCCTCACCAGGGTAATCCGTAGATTCGGTGGCTTTAATGACCTCAAGAACCTCCTTTTCGGTGGGTGCACATCCCAGAAAGCGGAGGACGTTGCCCACATTGCGGGTGTCAATGTACTTATCGCCATGCGTGTCGAAGATGCAAAAGGCTTCCGCAATCTGAACCTCAAGTTCGTTGCTTAGGGTAACTGCCAAGAGCAGACGGCTTTAGGAGGGTGAGGGCATAATAGCATACGATCCCATGCTTACCGCCAACTTCCATGCCAAAGGAGTTTTTTTTACAATTTTTTTTTTTAATTTTAGATCTGTTTTACTAAAAAAATTTCATCAGTTTGCTCCGTGGTTTACAGACACTTTGAAAGCGATCTAAACGGTTACTGTTTTAAATATAAATTTTAAAACTTACCTATATGGCGCCAAAATCGATAGCTATCGATAACTTCATTCTCCTTATATATAATTTGGATTTTATCTTATAGCCTCTTGTCATATTGTTGTTTAATTTTATTCCTATGATAGTATTAAGTTGTTTAAATAAATACGTATTTTTACGGAGGAGAGGCATCTCTCTCGATCTCTCTCTTTCTCTTTCTTGGTGGGAGAAAATATCGATGTATCGCATTCCTTCAAAATATCGTTAATATCGGAAGTGACATCTCTAGTTAAGCGTCGCGTTATTTTGTTTTCTGTTTTGTTTTTCGTTTCGGTTAATTTTCGTCCGTTTTTTAAGTGTTTTTTGTTGATAAAGTTGAAGAAGAACGTTAAACTTTTGACAATTTTGTTAATATTAGCGTCTGCTTGTAACTTTTGTGAGTGGAAACCCAGTGCATTCGGTTATTGTCGGTGTGCATTCGCCTTGCGCCCGTGTGTGTGTGTGCGTGCGCTACCAGCAACAGGTTTTCGAACTCAATTCAGCGGAGCACCTCAATTCTCATTTGTTTTTGGAATTCCGTCGAGTTCGGTTCGTTCGGTTCGCGTCGCTCGCTTTCCTCGGTGCACTTTTCCAGCGGGAAAATCGAATTGCAATTGAATGCGACTTTGATGGAAAACGAGCGTGGCCTGAGCAACCCGTTTTAGCTCTTCTACCGCAGGCTTGCAGGTGTGTAACGTCGTCGCCCGTCGTCCAGCCAATAACAAGTTCAAACCTGGCCATATTATCACAGTTAACAAGTGCGAGTGTGTTTGTGTGTGAGTGCGCGCAAGGGAGGAAAACGCGTTGGCAGTTTTCATCGCCTCAAAACCAAAAAGCCGCCATAAAAATGGAAAGTGTTCGACGCTGATGATCATTGATCGATCCCTCGCCTTGGTTCATCTTGTTTTCGTGCCGAATAAGCAAACAAACACAGTAAAAAGGTGCGAATTTTGAAAGCGGCTGCTGTCTACTTCATAAGTGGCTGAAAAGCGTCTATCTCTCGTTGACATTTTTCCAATATTTGCCCATGGCAATGACCACCAATTGATAGAAAGTTTATCTATGATTGATGATAATTAGGGAGGTGTGCTTGAAAAAGATAAAGTCCCACGAAAGTATCTACCATTTGAGTATTGTTTGGCACTAATTGAATCTTTAAATTTTTACGACAAAGCTATAAAACTACATATGAGAAAATATTATGAAAACTACAACTGAGATAAAGGCATTAATTGAATATTTATGAAATAAGTATATATAATTTAAAAATAGACATGAGGCAGATCCGCTGCTCTTTGGATTATCATAAGATTATGAGATTATTAGTTGCAAGTTCTAGTGTTTTTTCTCTCCCAAGCATAGTAATCATAATACAGATAAATACTTAAAATATTATAAAGAAATCTCTCTTAGGTTCAAGTCATGAGGGACGTCTTAAACTATTGCCATGTAACAAGTTAGCTCGTTTTCTTGACAACGTGCCACAAGCACATCTCCATCTGCATCTGCATCTTTATCTCCATCTTCATCCCCGCCTCCATCTGCTCGACGCGGCGCTCTATTCGCAGAAAACCTTAGGCAGCCATAAACGCCAATGATGAATTTCACCCATGAAGTGAAATTGTTGGCTTTGGTTTGGCTTTTCACTCGTTTTGCAGTTTGTGGTTGCCGCGCCCCTCGTTGACTTTTCTGGTCGTGCGCCGCCTGATGGCAGTCGAAAGTGGCTCCGGCGAAACGCTACCCTTCACGCTCCTGTCGCGGTCTTCCTCTAATGCTACCATACAATTTGTGCCTGTCCACCAAACGACGACAGGTGGCTGGCTAAATTTGCGGTTCCGCAAAGGTCTCGGTTTTGGGTCTGTTTTTGTGAGGCAAGTGTAACCACCACTAACGCTAGCAGATCGCTCCTGTTGTGCAGAGAGAAAAAGTGCCTGGAAATAGTATAATTATTAACCTTCTTCTAATTAAAATGCAGAAAAACCTTTAAAAAAGGGACATTTAAGTTGTTACGTTTCTAGTGCAAATTGTACTAAGAAGGAAGATCTTGTCAATTAAATATTGTTCCAATGTACATATATAAATTTCAATAGAATCTGCTTTACTTATAGTTTTTTGGATTACTTTCCTTTCTATACATAAATGTCGCTTGTACCAGGACAATATGTTTTTTTCCCTGTGTAATTTGTGGGGGTTGCCTTTCAGTTTTTCAGTTTTCGGTTTCTGGCGATCTGCTGGCACGGTCTGAAAAACTTGTTTCTTGCATTTGTTGTTGCTGTTGTTCTGCTGGCTGTTGCTGGAATTCTTTGTGGCGGTGCCCGTAGCTCCCTTTGTGCCACTCAGTGTTCTCCTTCCTAGTCTTCATCGAGCAGCGTCGTCTTCCGTTTTTTTTTTTCTCATTGGAGTACATTTTTCGCTTGAGGAATTTTATGTGGCTGTCGTGTTTGATGCCCCTTTTTTTCGCACAGTTAATTTTTGTTTTTTCCCCTGGATCATAATTGTGTGCCGTGAGTCAACCTCTTTGTATTTCTCTCAGGGGAAACCATCGTTCCATTTAACTATCTATAAACTTAAAAATTTAAATTTGCCAGAAGCGAGAGTTACAACATTTGATCAGTGACTAAACCAGTTTTTTTTAAAGTTGTTTAGTGCAAATTAAACGAAGAAAGTTTTTGTATTAAAACGAAATATGAAATGCTTGGCACTTTTGCTGTATAAAAATCATTAAAAAACATTTTCATGACGGACTGCAATGCTGCAAAAAATGTTAAATTATTTCAATTGCCTTAACTGGCGAAAATTTGAGAAAAAAAGCTCACCATGGAATGTGCAAGAAATATAATTATAATTACACACGTCGTCTGCCATGGGAAAGTCCAGAGTAAAGTTTTTTTTAAGTGCAATGTCAACAACAATGAGACTGGCGGCTGGCGGAGTTCCTCAAGTAGCCCAACTGAACAATCTGTCGATGGCCACCACTTGGTTGTGCAGTCTGCAGTTGATCGTGTCTGGCCTGGAGCTGTCTAACTGGATAGTTGGCTCTGCACTTTGGCTCAGAGTAGCCGTAGATCAGGCCCCAACAATGTTAGACAATCAAAATATTTAACTATAAGCTCTGAAGCATCTTACACTCAGTCGGTGTTGATCTGAGGGAATGGATAGTTCTTTAAGGATACAAACTGCACTAATTAATTTATTTAGATGTAGATTTTGGTCAAAGTTCTTATTAAGACAAACTCCAAATAAATAGAAGACTCGGTACCCGATTTTTATGGACAGTTTAGAAATTGGAGTAATCGTTTTTCAGAGTCTTAGAAAGACTTTATTTAAAACAAATGGGGTACCAGGTATCCCGATTGTGTATTTCTTACTTGTTTCATTGATATAAGGTGATTTAGCCAAATTAAAAGGTTTAACAAGGTTGAAAGCTTCAATGCTTCAATTTCAATGTTGCATGCCTCAATTAGACTTATTTCGTTATAAATCAAATAATCCTGTTGGGTTCTGCTTTTCCCCTTTTTTTTGATGACATTATTCAGTGGGTTCGCATTAGAATTCGAGTTATTAAAGTTTATTTGTGTGTTCGTGTTGTATATTTATAAAAAAAAGTGTTGCTGATGAAGACTTATTCAAGTTTATAAATGCAAAACAAACAACAGCGTAATTTATTATAGCTTCCTCCTCGCCATGATTATCATTTTCAGTATTGTCATAACCATTTGTTTGTTTATATACGCGGTAATTGTTTATATTACTTTGCATATTGCTAATTAATGGCATTTCGTTTGATTATTTTGTTTTGCAGCTTCTCCGAAACCGCCTTGGAAGCTCAATGACGAATGAATTAATAAAAAGACCCAAGTGAAGAAGCACTCAAAGGTTAGCTAATAATTCCCGCGAAAAAGCGAAGCAGAAACAATTGGATACTGGATAAAGAATCTCAAATGCAATGGCAAGACTAATCGTCAGTGGTTAAGGCTGCTCGGGAACGATTCGTGAGTGTGAGAGCGTGATAGAAGCTAAGATAACCGGCACAGAATGCCAATAATCACGGCCACAACAACGTCGACAGCCGGCGGAGGAGCAGGTGTGGCGACCAGGGGCGTGACTGCCGCCAAGTCTCCCACCGATTACCTATTGCTCCAGCAACAGCCGGTGTCGCACCAGCAGCAGCAGCACCAGCAGCAGCAGCAGCAACAGCAACAGCAGCCACAGCCGCAGCACTTTAGCAATCACTTCTATCAACAGCCGCAGCCGCAGCAGCAGCAGCACCAGCAGCAGTTGGCGCCTCCAAATGCTTCCCACCAACACCAGCACTCCCATCTACATCCACATCCACATGCACATCCTGTTGCTGCTCCGACCAGTTTTGCAACATTTAACGGAAACTCGAATCTAAATGCTAGCCTTGCCAACGGAAGCAGCAGAAAATTCAATTGCAGCCGCGACAACGTGGACGAAGCCGCCGACGTTGCCGCCGTTTCCCAGACACTGGCCGCCGGCACCGATGTGGTTGGTAACGGTAATGGGGATAAGCTTGCCGGTCTACCACCACCAGGTGGCCACCATCTTCGCCCGCCGCCACCGCCGGCTGTCAAGAAGTCCGTCGTATCTGGCTCAGCAGCTGGGAACTCTGCCTCTCGCGAGGATGTCACCTCGCTTAGCGGCACTTCCTCACTGAACAGCCAGATGTCAGCGCCCAATCACTTCATCCCCGGATTGCCAAGCAATGGGATTGGTGGCAATGGGGCCACAGCACCCGGACGAGGCGGTCCACCCAGCAGTATTTTAAAAGGGAGCAAGGGTAAGTGAAAGAAAGCTATAGTAATGCCTAATTAAAGCTCTATAAATAGTTTGCAACATTTACAGAGACTTCTTGTGAAGAGTTTCTTTCTATATTTATTGTGTTTAAACCTGTTTCTAAACAAGACTTGCCAAATCCCTGTAACTTGAACCCATTAATTATGTAGTATGTTCATTGAGTGGCCTGTTCCAAAGCGAGTTTCCATTTTCTGTTGGACTCATAAAGTATTCAAATTAATTAGTACTGACCCAGCTCTTAGAATTCAATTAAGGGCGTGCATCTCAAGTGACTCATTTCCGCCCTCACATGGTCGAACGACTCACTCCCACTCCCCCACGCTGCTTCAGTTTTCAGTATCAATAACAATTTCGGTTTCAATTTCAACTTGAAATGCACTTGCAGGGCGATGAAAGTAGTTAACTCGCAGCGGGAACTTATGGAACAAATATAAACACAAGTACTGAAAACAGCGGGTGGAAGTTTGTGTGGCATGGCAAAGGTTTTTGTTTCTGTTTGGGTTTCTTTCTTGTTATTTTTTATTGTCTTCTGATAGACACGTGCCGAGGCAGAACTGCTACAAATGTTTCCATGTAAACCAAAACCCACTTTACACTTCAGACTTTTGGTTTCTTGTTAACCTTCTTCTTCTTTGGCCAACCGACTGGTTGTGGGTCTTCGCTCTTAGCCAGTTCTTAGAGGACTAAGCACTACACTTTCAATATTACAGCTGGTTTCACCTTCTTGGTGTTACTCTACTCCCATTTCTGTTAATCCGCTCGTCATCACTTTCTCACAGCTGCTCGGAGTCATTGAAGCCCCTGAACTTAGTCGATCCACTTGTCATCTAATTCGTGTGAGCTGCATTGTTTCCCGCACAGCTCGTAGACTGAATTATCGTAACACGGCATTCATGAATGAGCTGCTGGTTCACCCAATTGGGTAACCTCGATATTGTCGCTGATTGGCTTTACCTGTGAGCTGGCGGAGGCGTAGGTAATTGCTGCTCTAGATGATGTGGGAACTTAATATTCATAGAGCGAGGAAACGTCTAAATTATAGGCAAAAGTCCAAAGACTAAGCGACACTAAACTTGTAGGTGTGGATGTGGCTATTAAGTTTTAACTTAACTATTGGTAGATCATTAAAAACATGGCATTCCCATAACTGCTAATGGATTGGTAAGATTGGAGACGAATATTAAGAATTTCATAACCTTATTAGACCGCAACTCGCCGTCTAATATTAACTTGTTGGTGTTTGTAAACACTCTTCAGTTTCACATCATCTTCCTGAAGCTAAAACAAAACCCACTCAGTCTCGTGCTCATTTCGGTATATATTTCGAACAACACCATTTAGGTGTGGATGGGAAATCGCTTTCGGAAGTTGGGCAAGACTGCTTGCTGGTTAGTATGTATCTGAATCATCTGTTAAGCGTTTGCCGCTTGGCTTAATTTCCCTTCCATTCTGTCCCATTGTTAAGCGGTCGCTGAATTTGGTAACTGGGCACTTGGAGGCCAAGCTTTTTTTGACTTGAGAAACTCAGTTAGAGGACTGTGATTGCATAAATGCAAAATCCTTACTCACTAAGGGAGTGTTGATTCTGGTCGAAGTGTCTCCGGTGTCTCAAGTGGTGGCAATGAACTCATCGTGGCCTCCAACTCACCTACGTAGGGAACGCGTTCACCTTTCCCCAGCTTGCTTGGTATCTGCCTTATCATTCACGCCTCACGTCAGAGGCAATTAGCAGTGGAGAGCCTTCGCCGGCGACGGAGTTGAAGTTGAAGTTGCTCCACAATGTCCCCATCTAGCTGCCCTGCATCGCACTCTCTCGTCTGCTGCGATTATTAATTTCTTGATTACGACAGCAGAGGGTAACTCTGGTTTATGGCGTGCCATGTAAGCCAAGTTAACGAAGCAGCAAAGCCAATTAGATGCAATCATTAGGCGGGGCGGCGCAGGGAGTCGTCACAAATGACATAGGGAATGGGTTTGCCTCCCCCCGATTTTCTTTCCATCTTCTTTCCTGCGGGAACAAACAAAGACGTTGACTTTGCTCCACTTCCTTATGCTCCGCATCATCCATGGATGGCCTGCACATGTGGCCTGGTCTTGGTCCGACTCGTGCATGGGGCGACGCATTCCAATGCGGGCGGAGTAATTGCCGGGGGAGCATTCAATGGACCCGCTACATGCCAGGTCCGAGACCAAGTAAATTGCAAGTTCTGTTGCAGTGTGCTGCCCGCTAATTGAGCACCGACATGGAGTCATCCGAAGTGGCCATTGCGTAACTCGGCACTCCAGCGGACCAGACAGGATAGAGGCGATGGCGATGCAACAAGCATCCCATTACCAGTTAATTTATGTTGACGTTACTCAAGAATTATACAAATTAAAGTGGAACTGGCGTTTGTTCTCCAAAGAGTAAAGGAAAATAGGGAAAAGACTGAAATCAACTGAAACTAATGTGAATGTATTTAACTTAAGATTCAAGGGTTCAAAATAGAGAAATTAAGCTTCGCAGTATAATATCTCAAGTTACAGATACTCTTAGGGTATTATAATAAAAATATATAAGTATTTGTCGGAGGAAAACATATCAGATCAATTTCTCTTTAAGCCTAATTAGAAAAGGTCACCATAAATCCTCAATGCGCCTTTTCAAAAAACGATTTCGCTTTCCAGATTACATTTCTATCATTGATTCATAGGTCTTGATATCCGTAACGGTTTTCCCCATTAAATTGCGTTAATTACAACCGATTCCCTTGAATTTTCGCCTGGTCTTGTCCATCAACTTGTCACAAGATCGTGCTGGAAGCCACGATCCTAGTGACAACTTCAAAGTGTCGGGCTGAACGTGCCCAAGAATTAGCTCACGAATTAAAGTATATCAAATCTAAAAACAACTTTCGGTGATCAGGCAAAGCGTGTGCCATAAATGTGACTAAAACTCAAGTGGATAACACCGTCCATTAGATAATGGTACTTTTAACCGCACTTATATGAGCAAGTTTAGCAAAGGCGAAAAAGCAACCGAGGTCGCAACTCTGTTGCGGTCACGCCCCCTGACCCTGTACTCACTTCACTCATGACCTGACACGCCTCTCGCCGGCCCTTTTCATTTGCCTAAGACTTTTGTTTTCCAAAGTCAATGAACTGACGCTCAGAGACTTTACGTAATTTGTGGGCAGCACGTTCGGAAATTTGTTTGTGTCTGCCTCAATTCTACCACATGTTCGGGTACTTGCTCTTTGCTGTATTTTCTTTTTATTATTTTTAGACATTTAACTCAGGCATAATGCATTCCGCCGATCGAGCGATAAGATTGAACTGGCCTGATGTGATCTCTGGCGAACGGTTCCTCGGATTACTCTTTGAATCTCAGGTGCAATTAGCCGCAATCTGTGGAAATAATCGTTTGTCAATCATCTTCGCAGGCACCGGCTACGGCGATCCCTGTAATTATGAGTAATGGATATTCTTTGTGTGGCAAAGAATTCGATTCGCTTTTTCCTCTCGGTCTCTTTTGTTTTTGTGATCCATTCGAGTATTCGGCATTGCCAGCAGATGAGTCACTTTGTGAGCTGGCTTGCCAGTTATGGGATATACTGGACCCGGTCGGCAACTTCTTCAAGTTGGTTTACATTGTAGGAGCCTTGGCAAGAAAAGATGTTTCCACAAAACCAAGGAAATTTAAAGGGATGGAACATGGAACGTGATAATCTTTAATTAAAAGCTTTAGTTTAGTTGGAGGAGGTAAATCAATAAAAATAGTATAAATAAATAGTAGTTTATCAAATAGCTAAGAAACTAGGATATTAATTGCAGAGGCATTTTTCAGTTTCTCTTCTATAGTAGACTTTACCTGTAGTTACTTTCGTAAAATCTACCATAACACCACCAATGGTTTTTCATTGCCATTAAAGTCTTAAAGCTATAGTTTTTGGCCGCCTTATTAAATCTTTGTTATTTTGCGTGTATTATCTATGCTGATTCATTAGAAAAGTAAACATTTGCATTGCTTATCAGGCACGAGAGACAAGAGGAGCGATAAGAAAACAGCGGGCAATAAATTTTCAGCATATGCAGATATATACATAAATATGTACATATATGTATGTATCTTTGAAAATGTGTGCCGCCTATTTGTTATTTTCTTATTTGTCAAACGCAAGCGATAAGTGTAGATACATAGGTACTTATGTATATTGTACGTAAGCCGTAGTGCGATGGCCAGTGTAAACAGCGTTTAGTCCAGATTCCAGTGTGTGTGTTGCATCCCTGGTTCATGCCACATACAGCTGTGAGCATTATTTGTGTGCTACATCTGGTGATCAAATACACCCTCCCGCTCCATCCCCCTCCCTACCCCTCTCGGGAGAAAAACAAATATTTACAAGATGCAAGCAAGTGAAGCTGCGAACGAAGTATGTAGCAAAAGGAAAATCAAGGGAAAGATGGGGCAAGGCAAACTGTGCCGCCAACAACTTCCGTGCTGGGAGCACTCCCCGCTCCGCTCTCTCGTTCGTTAACACTTTCTGGATTATACAGACTCCCACCAACCCAAACACAATTTCCACCGTGGACTGCAGTTATTCAAATGAGCTTGTGGGGGAACCCCAGAACTCACTTCCACCTCTCCCCCCCTGAAATCAAACACGATGCGATGGCGCTTTTACCGTTCACAGATGTGTCATCTTTCCAGCCTCGTTCCATGCTCCATTCGCAAGTGTCTGGCATAAATATTCATCTTTCTATGCAAATCATTCGCTCGCAATATGTTTTGAATGATGCTCAGGTGGGTCTGTCGGTCTCGTCATTCGATTAGCCCAGCCCACTTCGCATCTTTGATGTTTGAGCAGGGGGCATGCACCTCGAAAGGGGTTAACGACAAGTCGTCCGGTCCAGAAAATCCAGTCCGCGTTTTACTTCCATTTTCTAACGAACGTCGATGCATATTTTAGCATAATTACAATCTGGTAACTGGTAAAGATTTTCTTAGAAAGACTTTCTGTTGCAAAATAATGGTGTAAAAGTTCTTTAGTCTGAATTTTAGATCAAAAACAACTAAAAGCTTTAAAACATTGTCCTAGGAAGACTTTTACGTTGAAAAAAAAACATGATTTAATACTTTAAGGAAGGTGTTAAGCCACACCACACTATTGTCATAAAATGTACATGTAAAATGATCCACAGTTTGCTTAAAAACATACTCATTACTTTTGCTTTAAGATACAACAATTTGAATAAATTCGCAGTCTGGTTATGGAAAGCGGCTTGGATCTTTGCTTTTCAGTTCCTGAAGCGATTTCAAAGAAACCTGACTCATTCTTAGGGCTTATCTGACGATCATCCCATAGCGGTTGTGCCAAGCGAAATCGCGACTGGCCTTGGTTAATTGCATAGGCCATTCATTCATTCACTTCTTTCACTTGGCCGTAATTAAAATTCCCCATTACTCATCCGACTTGAGTGGGGAGTTCGTTTTAAGCGCTTTGTGGCACCCAGACCCATTAGCTCCGTGGGCCAGGAAAGTAGGTCACAGCCTGGCCAGAGCCTGGTTAGCAGTTGCTAGCAACTGCTAATAATAATTATTATTCCGGCTTGCCCCAATCGAAAGCGCTTCACGCTTCAGCGAAGCCAACGGGAGCAGGTGAAGCCAGCGGGGATTGGTCAATGGCAGGAGATGAGCCGATGGAGCTATGGGACATTGGCGCTGCCCCTTTGTTGCGGATGTGGTTCGATTTCAAGAGAGACAGCACACCAAACTATTTTCGGCTGGCTGAGCATAAGCTTCATCAGAACCGACAACTTGTTTTGGCCAATTCCTGCCTGCAGTTGAGTGTTTAGGTTCATTGAACAATTTGGGGCTGGGTTTCTTTGTACTGACTGCAAACAATGATTAACGGAGTTACCTTTTAATTCACAGAGAACCTCCTGCAGAACACATACTACAATGGCGAGACCGGTGACAGCAGTCTGGGCAGCGAGTGCGGTGTCGGGGATGTTCAGAATCAGCACCACGAGAACCATGACGACCCGGGCGATGGACTGGGACCCCTGCCCCCTAAATGGGAGACCGCCTACACGGATCGCGGCGAGCTCTACTTCATTGAGTGAGTTACATATAGTGCGTTTTTTAGACCTGGACTAACCATTAATATGTTCTGTTTCAGTCACAATACCGGGACCTCCCACTGGCTGGACCCGCGGCTTTCCAAGTATCAGAAAAAATCACTGGAGGATTGCTGCGAGGATGAACTTCCCTACGGCTGGGAAAAGATCGAGGACTCCATGTATGGCATGTACTTTATAGATCATGTGAACCGCAGGACGCAGTACGAAAACCCAGTGTTGGAGGCTAAGCGTAGGGCTGCTGAACAGCGCCAGCAACAACAACAGCAGCAGCAGCAGCAACAACAGCTGGTGCAAGAACAGCGCTCAAAGACACCCATTATACTGCCAGAAACCATAGCCTCGGAGGCAGCTGTGGATCATGAGGAGGATGATGCTGGGGTGGTCCCTGTAAAGCTGCCCTACAAGTTCACCCGAAACCCAGCCGAGCTGCAAGGTCAGCGCATTAACACAACGCTGGTAAAGTCATCCCGTGGCCTAGGCTTCACCATCGTCGGCAGTGACGGCACCTCTGGCGGGGATGTGGAGGAGTTTCTGCAGATCAAGACCGTGGTTCCCAATGGTCCGGCCTGGCTCGATGGACAGCTGCAGACGGGCGATGTCCTGGTCTATGTCAATGACACCTGTGTGCTCGGATACACGCACCACGACATGGTCAACATTTTTCAGTCAATTATGCCCGGGGAAAGGGCAGCTCTCGAGGTGTGTCGTGGCTACCCATTGCCATTTGATCCAAATGATCCCAACAACGAGGTGGTGACCACCATGGCTGTGGACGGGCGTGAGTCGGATAAGCAGCGACGTCTCAATATGGATGGCAACTACAACTTCCTCGACTTGTCCGGCGACAAGGCCAGTGGTGCTGGCAGCGGCTTCATTCTGATGAAGAAGCCCGAGCTGTATACATTCTCCATTATGAAGGGAGCCATGGGCTTTGGGTTTACCATCGCAGACTCCGCCTGCGGTCAAATAGTGAAGAAGATCCTGGACCGCAATTGCTGCACCCAACTGATGGAGGGCGATGTTCTTCTAGAGATCAATGGCTTGAATGTTCGTAGCAAGCCCCATTTCTACGTCGTGGAGCTTCTTAAGGAGTGCAGCCTTACGACGCCCACAGTTGTGAAGATTCAGCGCACTCCGCCCGATCAGCAGACCACAAATACGCTCAACCAACTCAGCCAGGTGGGCAATGTGGCCAAGCTGCGCAAGAACTTCGTGGGCAGCGGTCTATTTCGCAGTAAGACGCCCACTGCGGACTTGTACAGTACCCAGGTGAAGGAGGTGCTGCCTATGCGCCCGAAAACTCCACTGGTGGACACTAGGAGGGCACGAGTGCAGACGCCTAGCAATGAGGTGGACAGCGAAGCTGGAGGTGACTCTGCAAACAGGAGCGAAACGGAGGCGCGAAAACCGTTGCAGCTGCATTCACAGGCCAAGTCAAACAACAGTCTGCAGGAGCTGGACGATATACCCTACATGGACCCCTATCCCAAGATGGTAAGCCGTCTCAGCGAGCGTCTGGCGGAGGCCACGCTGCAGGGAGATGTTAATGGTGGCATATACGGACTGCCACCCAGCATGCAGCCACTTCCCTTGCCGCTGGTGCACCACGAGTCTTGCTACTGCTACGACTGCCAGGCGCAGCGCTATCGCCCTGGCTACTTCGTTCAAGCGCAGCAGGCCGGGATGTCGGGCACCGGCAACGGTCAATATTCTCCGCTGCAAACGGCTCACCTCCAGAACGAACGCATCCAGCGAAGGGTTAATGAGCTGCTCAGTGATCGAAGGCGTGTTGGATTTGCGAATCTCGATCCTCCACACCAACAGCAGCCCCAGATTCAGCATTCGCCAAGCTGGCGCAACGGAGCCCTGCTAGATGCCTCCGAGGATGCGGACCGGTGTGAGCTAACCGAGGTGACGCTCGAGCGCCAGGCGTTAGGCTTTGGCTTTCGCATCGTTGGCGGGACTGAGGAAGGCTCCCAGGTCACTGTGGGCCACATAGTGCCCGGCGGGGCTGCAGATCAGGACCAGCGCATAGCCACTGGCGACGAGATTCTCAGTATCGACGGCATTAATGTGGTAAGTAAAGCTTTCCATATCGCATATTTCCGAGCTTAATCGTTTTCTTCTTTCAGCTCAACTCTTCGCATCACAAAGTTGTTTCTTTGGTGGGTGAATCTGCCTTACGCGGCCAGGTTACCATGATACTGCGACGGCGTCGTCCTTCGCTTCTGCAGCAAGCTCTGCCTCTGAGCTCCCAGCAGCGGCCTTATCCTTACGATGTAATTGTAAGTCGGCATGAAAATGAGGGATTCGGATTTGTTATAATTTCGTCATCGAACCATTATTACGGCTCGACTATAGGTGAGGAGGGAATATAAGCTCCTGTATCCCTAATACTGAACTTCAATGTTTTTTCTTTTCAGGAAAACTAATACCTGGCAGTCCGGCGGATCGCTGTGGGGAGCTGAAGGTGGGCGATCGGATTGTGGCAGTCAACCGAATCGAGATTGCTGGAATGACGCATGGCGATGTGGTGAATCTTATTAAGGAGTCCGGTCTCCATGTACGCCTCACCATTGGATGTCCGCTTAAAGAGGGCGGTCCTAGTCCCGGTGGCAGTAGCGCCGGTCTGGGCAGCAACACTCCTCTCCAGCCATCGCCCAGTCTAATGAAGGCACCACCACCGGCTCTTTCCCTTCAACAGCAACCGCTCTCCCAACAATCACAACTTCACCACCACCATCAACAGCAATTGGAGATGCCGATGTCCATGCCCATGCCTGGTCATGGCAGCTACTTGGAGCGACCCAGCAACAATATCGCGGCCACTCTGGCACTGCACCAGCAGCAGCCACAGTTATGACTCTGAGACCTACGGATTCGGCTCTACAAGAGCTTTCTTTAGTGTTAAATCGATCGTAGGCCGCATGGTTTAGTTAAGTTCTAGTTAAGTAACCCCAAAGACTGAATTTAGTAGCATTTGTAGGTGGATAATGCGAGTCTCGAACGTTTCGTGCGTGCGCCTTTAAAACCAGTTTTATTAGAACCCATTTAGTGGCATAGGCTTGGTATGTTATAAGCTCAACAGTAAGATAATTCCGCCAGTTTTTGTAAAATACGGACTAAATTATAATGTACAAATGTAAAGGACTTCAATATTTTACCACGCTTTTTTGTATGTTACCCAAATTAGATCTTATATTTTACCCTTAAAATATACGCAATACAAAGTCAACCAGTTAAGCTTCAACTGCGTTGGCAAAATAATAATAATAATAAGTTTTGAATCGTTTCCTTCAATTTATTAAATTTTTGATACAAACACCTTTGAATTTGCAAATTGCAAATGTGAAACGAATTAAGGACAATCAGCCATCAAGTTGCATATCCCATATCATCAAATCACTTTGATTGATATCTATGGTTGATGTTGATGTAATTATAAGTGACAGTGTTCGGTTGGCCATTGCTGGACAGCGCACGAGTAATCTGCTGGACCTCAGCAGCAGCCATGCGATTGTTGGCCTGGATTTGGCGAGAAGTCACCTTGCTCGGCTTGGAACATTCGTTCGAATAGGTTGTCTGTCGGTACTCGTACTGGTGGTTTGAACCTCCGTTCCAATTATCCAGTTGACGGCCACTCATGGTGAAGGTGCTAAAGGCAAATAAAACTTAATTTCAACACAATTTGAAAATAATTTATTATTCCCACCAAGGTTTAGTTTTTCGGAACAAGCGTCTGTACTCTTTCAGTTGCCTTTAGCTACTGAATCTTATTTCTTTGAGTACCAACGATCCTTGCCTTGCCTTCTTCGACTTGCAGCATCAGCAGCTTGTGGTTCTATATACAGATTCTGGATATATACACAAAAACTTGACTGAAAACGACGCAGTATATTTGTACACGCGATTCGGGCTATGTGTTACTAAGCGGACTCAAAATATAGCTTTTCTGCTTGGATCAGCTTACACAAATGGTTAAAGCGAAGAACGGCTCAAACTTTATTAGTCTGCGATCTCTGCGCAATTTTTTTATTTCCTTCTTATATAGGAAACTAGCGATTGCTATAATCAACTATGAAATACCCTAAAATATATAAATGATTATGAATATATAAATTTAAGTTAATGTATATTTAGATAATATATATCAACTTGGAAAGGTATCCTTCCAACATGTGTATATAAATATGAAGAGAAAAACAAGTAGTCAGCTTTAAAATATAGCTCTTTTATAAATATATATCTCTGAATATAAGCTTAAAAGAATCGAACAGTGTTAATATTGACTGCTGATTTATAAAAAGAAAATGTTCTTCGGGGAGCCGAAGATGATATAGTCTTGTAGATTGCAAATGGAGTGTCTAAATTTATAATTGATCATAACTAAGCCAAAAATTAATTAATTTCAATTCGGAAAGCCTTTCTGTGCTAGTTTGTTCTTAGGTTATCAAACAGTAAACATGGCTAGACTGATTCGGCTGTCGATACTGATCAAGAATATATATGATTTGTAAAGTCGGAAATGATTCATCACTTCGTTGTAAGCTGTTGACTGACAATTGAATAGCTGGAAGGGTATAATAAATTTTAAAATAAAGTAGAAATACTGTTCACAAACTTTGAAAAATGTTTATTTTAGTAAGTAATTAAGTCAGATTAATATTTATGGTTTATATTTATGACATTTACAACGATATTACCACCAGATGGGGCCATTTTCGAAATGGTTGATTTTGATGGAATCGCTGAACTCGAGGAAGGTACCACTTCTAAAAACCCAATGTGACCCACAGTCGGTTCATCATTTAAAGCCTGGCTCTGTTGACCAAGCAGAGAAACAGATTGTTGGTCATTTCTGCGTCCAGCATTAGATTTACGCCCTGTTCCATTGGAACTGTTGTATGAAGACTGGTAACGGCCTCCGTTATTGCGATATGAGTTAGAATGGTAGTGGTGATCCGGACAATCGTATTGGTCCTGGTCGTAATGGTACTGATCCTGATAATCGTACTGGTCATCATCCTCATAATCCCAATGACTAAGCTCCTGGCGATTCATGATCTGTAGAGGGAGTTGGATTGTGTTTCAATAAGTTTTGAATTCTGAAAAGAGAAACTTACTTTCAAGCTAAGGTTTTACTGCTGTGTCCGTTTGTCTTCAACTTCTTCTGCAGACTAACATCAGATTTTTACTCAGACTTCTTTGAACCTATTAAGTGTGGGCTCAGCGAGTGTATAATGAATCCTTCTCACACATATGGATATATATCCGAGTACATAAGTATATATGTTAGCGTATACATGAGAATGTAGAGCTCCTAACACTAACAACACCATTCAATAATCTCGTAGGCATGTACATGATCATAGTAATAGGAACAGACATGTTCTGGGAATTAAAAATAATAAAAAAAGGTTTCATCCAGTAATTTACCCTTTGTATTATAAATTAAGTGAGAAGTTGGCAATCTAGCGAATTTAATAAAATTGGAATTATAATTTCGAATGCGAAACTATTGATATGATCATATGTGTGTACAAAATATGGGCAAATGTCTGAAACTCGATCGAAGCATCCACATAAATAAAACTCAGTTCCAAAACATTACCATTGCAGTATTTTAGCTGAGCATACAAAAAAGTCTTCTGAGGAACGAACATAAAAACGTACAGAACTTATTGGTTCTGATCCAGATTTGATATATAGAAGCATAAGATACATATGCCCCGATCTCGCGAGTATAGGATAAACATTCACATAGTACACCCAGCGACTGTCTTATTCAGAAGCTCTCCCCACCTGCAGTTCCGCCAATTTTTGTTTAACCTAAAGTTTTAAATAAATTTAATTGAATTTCTAACGAATTATGCCATTTGCTCTAATAAAATTATCAAAGCAACGTTAAAGTGTAATAGTTGTAAGTAATTAATACTTATCAGTGTCCCGTTTACACATTTAAGTTTTCTTTTCATGCAAGTTTCCAGTTTTTCCTGTAAATCGCCACATTGAAACGTAAATGATCATACTTCATTGTCGGTATTTATTCATTTTGTTGAATTCTTTCACTTATCCAGACTTCTCAAACTGTACACAAGAGTATGATGTCATTATAGCTAATACGGGTACAAGTATTTGTAGAGGATCATTACCAAAAATAATGCGTCTGTTAAATAGGCTTAGGCTTACAATCGAATGTATCGCTTATATGGGCTTGATCTTGAAGTGCAGGCCGATGAGTGAGAAGACCAGGCACTTGAGATCCTGCACTAGGTAGTAGAAGCAGCGCAGTCCCTCGGGGTCCTTCGATCGGTTCACGTCAACCAACGAGCCGGTCTTCGAGGTTGTGAACGAGATGTGTTCATCGCCGATGACGATCTCCAGTTCCTGAAACACACCTGGTTAGTACAGCCTCTCACATGCGGTCGTTCAAAGACAACTTACCTGGCGGCCAACGCGGTCTGGTGGCGGCCATGGCAGATCGTCCTCCTGCATAATCTCCGAGTCGATAATGATGCGCTTCAGCTCCTCCATCACGGACTGATGCACGAAGGCCTCTTTGCGGATCATGGTGTCGTTTTTGTAGTTGGAATTGTTGGCATAGCGCAGCTTGCCGTCCGGCCGGAACTCGAACTCCAAGAACTCGTGGCCGAACTTGCCCTTGTGGCCCACGTAATAGCGCAAGTAGAAGTCCTCTGTAGGCATGATGCTGCTAGATATTCCTCTGTGATGTTTTATTTAAAATCCGGCGAACAATGCTTTTTATTTTCTCCACTTTTACCGAAAACGCGCTAGAGATGAACGTCACTCGATATACCTATCGGCAACCATTGGTCTTAAAGACGGGAGCCGGTATTTCTCTTGTGTCACGACACGAAACTCAAAATGGAACAGCATGAAACATCTGAGTATAACTATTTTTCTTCATTTAAATAAACTCACTTATCTGTATACATTTTTAATAGTTTTTCAAGCTTATAACCATGGCCCGGAAATATTTTGAGTCAAGTTAAATAGCACGCTCTTCGTGTCACGGCCGGAGCACGCGCTCAACTCCATCCGATTGTTCGCGAAGAGGAAGCAGCCTACAGTCGTTTATCGATAACACAATAACAATCCATCCCAAGTCGCTCTGATTTGTTAAAATGTAACTTAATTTCGTGGCCATGGATCTACCTCAACAAGTACTTCGCTCCCGCTCCACGGTAAGTAGCTCCCGCTGCCCATTTTAACGACATGAGTAGTGCGCTTTCTGGCAACATTGTAATTAGTGCAGAATTGCAACAAAGTTGTAAATTCGGATTGTTTGCCCCTTGTGACTGTGTGGGTGTGTGTGTTTGTGGCCACTGCCGTTGTAATGGCGTCTATGCTAAAATGGGAGAGGACGCACGGCTAGCTCTCCGGCTCCGACTCGGACTCCGGCTGGAGCTCCACCTCCACGTTCAGCGCCATGTTCACGTCGTATCTCGGTCAAAGTAATTTTACAAAAACACAAACGTCCATTAATTTTCACCGAGAGAGCGCGAGAGCGTTGAGCGGATAGAGAGGCGACCAAGTGAAAGTGCAAGGACTCGCGGGCTCATGCGCCGGACTTGGCGGGAAAACGGAAAACGGAGCACGTGCGACCCCGGTCGTCCTTCGGGAAATGTCGGTCGTGCAACAAAGTTGCGCTCAGCTGCGACTCCGGCTCCCAGTCCAAACTGCTTCGCTCCGGTCCGACTCCAACTCGGTGCGTGCGCTCTTTACGAGCGGTTACTTGGTGGTGGTTTGTTTTGACTGTCCGCCCGGAAAATCGATGACATTGAGTGCAACAAAGTTGCCGCCCGCCGCGCTGCATCCTCCTGCTTCGCCTATGTGCCCCGCCTAGTAATGCTCGAGTCGCGTTGCTCGAGTGGCTTCTCCTCCAAGTCCCACAATATTTACAGCAGTTTATGCAAACAAATCGCACTCGCTCTCGCTCTGCCCCGCTCGGGGCTGCAGTTTCTCGCCGCTCTCCGTCCGGACTCCGGATCCTAAGGCCGGAGCTCTGTCGGGCCGCAGTTTACAACTTTGTTAACTTCGGGCCTTTGTGTGAGCAGTCTGTATCCAGGACAGTAACCGGGACGGAGTTACTTTGTTGCGCATTAATTGATTTTTTCCGCAATCAGTTTTTGTGTCTTTGTAGAAGTTCAAGTTGTAATAAAAACGGTGCAAACTTTGTCATTATTAAGAATCCTTTGAGCAGCTGGGCAAATCGGTGAGTGCATTACAACAAAAGTAAGATTATGAAGGGGAGGCGGCTTTTCCGAAAGTAAAGTTAGTTGTGTGTATCCAAAAATATGGGAATGGGGCGTATATATACATTGTATATATAAATGTATGTTATTGCAGTTAGCTTTGGGGAATCCCCACAATCTGCAATCTGCTTTGCCGTTGTAAATATATAGCATACATTTTAGGGCTCCCTTTTTAGTAACTCCTAGCGTTTCTCTAAGAAAAGCTAGTAAGTCAAGCAAGCACGAAACAATTTGCTATCTAGATTTGCAGTCAGCACGACAGGCTAATAATAGTTTATGGTTTTCCCATTTGGACATTTATTTCAGACCATCTAGGGAATACCCTCCCATCCGTTGCTAGCGAAAAACCTGCATGCAACATTTCACTACCGCTGACGGAGCAATTATGGATACATGAAACGATTCACGAAGTAACGCGAAGCCAACATGTCAACGAACCCCAGCCCCGGAACCAGTATGCACCCCCAACACAATGAGCGGGATCGGGAAGTCAGGACAACGAGCTCCTCCTCGCAACGCAACCTGCTCGAGTTCCTGTGCATCTGCGTGGCCTGCATAGCCTGCTACTACAACAGCACTCAGTGCGGCTTAGTCTTCGATGACATTAGTGCGATAAGGGATAACAAGGACTTGCGACCCCACACACCGCTGCGCAACGTCTTTCTCAACGACTTTTGGGGCACGCCGATGCGCAAGGAGCAGTCCCACAAATCCTATCGGCCGCTCACCGTGCTGACGTTCCGGTTCAACTACTTGCTGCATGCGCTGGAGCCGTTTGGCTACCACTTCGTTAACCTGCTGCTGCACTTATCGGTCTGCCTGCTGTGGCGTCGGGTTTGCCGGCTCCTGCTGCGCCAATGTGCATCGCGGGGCAGTAATGCGACCTCGGCTGCATCTGCCTCGCTCAACACATGCGCCTTCGTGGCCTCGCTGCTCTTCGCCACTCACCCGGTGCACACGGAGGCCGTTACTGGCGTCGTTGGTCGCGCTGAATTGCTCTCTTCCATCTGCTTTCTGGCCGCCTTTCTCAGCTATGCAAAGTCCGTTGGCGATTCGGGTTCGGGCAGTTCGCCTCGCACCCATTGGCTAACACTGTTTTCCTGCTTTGGCAGTTGCCTGCTAGCCTCCATGCTGTGCAAGGAGCAGGGCATCACCATTGCCGGGATATGTGTGGTCTACGAGCTGTTCGTCGTGCAGCAGCTTCGGTCGCTACATCTTTGCCACTTGGTGCTACGTCTCTTCGAGGAGCAGCAGCCCGAGCAACAGTCGCCCAAGCTGTCGAAGTCATCTGGCATCCGGCGGTGGTCTTCCTCAGCGTTGTGGAAACGCTTGTGCTTCCTGACTGGCATAACGCTGGCTCTATTGGCGGGTCGGGTCTATGTGATGGGCTCCCAGCTGCCTATTTTCACGCGCTTTGACAATCCGGCCTCTGCGGCAGAGACGCCCGAGCGGCAACTAACTTACGGCTACCTCATTTACCTGAACTGCTGGTTACTACTCTGCCCCGCGCAGCTCTGCTGCGACTGGACCATGGGTGAGAGCTTCATAAAGTGAAAGTTGAAACCTGTTTTATTCCCAAATATCTTTCAGGCACTGTCCCACTGCTGGAGGGATTTGGGGATGCACGCAACGTGACCACACTGCTAACTTTTGCGGCACTGGCAGCTTTGGTTCTCAAGGCCTGCTTCTCAAGAAATCTGGCCCAATCACGAACCCTGATTATGTGTCTTGGCTGGATGGTGTTGCCATTCCTTCCTGCATCAAATTTGTTTTTCCCAGTTGGCTTTGTGGTGGCCGAACGCATTTTGTACATGCCATCGATGGGCTACTGCCTGCTAGTGGCCTACGGCTTTGAGCAGTTGCAGAGACGCGTCGGAGGGCGGCGATTGGGGCAGGTTGCTCTGGCCGTCCTCTTGCTCTCTCATGCACTGAAGACACATCAACGCAATTGGGATTGGCGCACGGAGTACTCGCTGTTCATGTCTGGCGTGCATGTGAATCAGCGCAACGCCAAGTTGTACAACAACGTGGGACATGCTCTGGAGAACGATGGCAGATTCGAGGAGGCATTGCTGTACTTCCAGCAGGCCGTGCGCATACAAACGGATGATATAGGGGCCCACATAAATGTGGGGCGGACCCTTAACCATCTGAAGAGGTATGCGGAGGCCGAGCAGGCCTATGTACATGCCAAGGCTCTGTTTCCCCAGGCAAAGCCTGGCGTTAGTTACCATGCGCGCATAGCTCCCAATCACCTGAACGTGTTCATCAACCTGGCGAATCTCATAGCCAAGAATCAAACTCGATTAGAGGAGGCTGACCACCTGTATCGGCAGGCAATTAGCATGCGAAGCGACTATGTCCAGGCCTATATAAACCGTGGCGACATCCTGATGAAGCTGAACCGCACGGCCCAGGCTCAGGAGGTCTATGAGCAGGCCTTGCTTTACGACAGCGAGAATGCGGACATCTATTACAACCTGGGTGTAGTCTTTTTGGAGCAGGGCAAGAGCCAGCAGGCCCAGGTATACTTCAACAAAGCCATCGAACTCTATCCTGAGCACGAGCAGGCGCTGCTCAACTCAGCCATTCTGCTGCAGGAACTGGGCGGAGAGGAGGCCCGCCAGCTGTCACGGTCTCGCCTATACAAAGTTTTGGCCAAGGACGACAAGAACGAGAAGGTATACTTTAACCTGGGCATGCTAGCCATGGACGAGTCGAGCTTTGATGAAGCCGAGCAGTTTTTCAAGCGGGCTATCCATTTAAAGTCGGACTTTCGCAGCGCTCTGTTTAATCTGGCGTTGCTGCTGGCGGACACCAAGAGGCCCCTTGATGCGGTGCCGTTCCTCAACCAACTGATCCGCCATCATGCCTCACATGTAAAGGGATTGATCCTGTTGGGCGACATCTACATCAACCACATGAAGGATCTGGACGCAGCAGAGACGTGCTATCGTAGTATCCTTCGATACGATCCGCACAACACCCAGGGCCTGCACAATCTGTGCGTGGTCTTCGTGGAGCGCAAGAGGCTGGCTAAGGCGGCGGCCTGCCTGCAGTATGCACAGCGCCTGGCCCCAGCCGAGGACTATATTGGACGGCACCTGCAAATAGTCCACGCTCGACTGCAGAAAATCAACAAGTTACCTGATACGGCGCCAGAGCGACAGCTCGCGTACGAGGACTATGATCCGCTTGAGTTCAAGCTGCCCCAGGAGAGGCCCACGCATAAGCCGCGTAAGCGATCGTAGCAAAAGTTGGCATTGGCCTGAATCGAATAGGCGTGTATAAAGACATAATTTGAGTGTTTATGGAAAGAAATTTCCGAATTCTGTGAATAGTGCAGAGTCTGACTATGATAACACACAAAAAACCGTGGGGAGTGCTCCACCCAATGTAATTTCATTGTACTTATTAGTTATTATAGTAATTCTAAGATATACAACTTATTTTGAAAAATGTTTATACAAATTTATTTGTATGGTAAAGCTAAAAGAAACGAAGACAACTTATTAATTTGTTGTAAACTGAAAATATCAATTCGTATTGAGATAATTTTTATACATAAATGGTTTGAAAATGGTTTAAGAAACAGGTTTTTTTTCGATATTGGAATCGATATTTTCCCAACTCTATAATACGGATTTAATGTCAGATCTGCAGACTTCACCTAACAATTGTTTTGTACATACATTTTGTAATTAACTCGTAAAGGGCCAGCAGTCTTGCATTTACCAAAATACCGTAATGACATGTACTTAAGAAAAAGAATAAAAAATAATGGTACACCATAATTAAAACAAACATTTTGACGATCGTACTCTGTTTATTATTATCTTCCGTTTGCATTTGTGTGATATTGACTCTTAAATACGTAAATAGACGAATCCTTACAATGAAAAATAAATCTTTGATCGATAGCCGCTTAAAGTTAAATGTTTAGAGCTCAGCAGAAATTAGTAATGCTCTTTTTAACGACTTATAGTAATCGCTTTTGATATAGTTTACATAATATATTCGTTCTCCAGTTGTTGCTATATGCGGACTATAAAATTGATATTTCTTTTGATGACATTTACCTCGATTTGTGAACTTATCGCTAGAGGGGGGCACATTAAGATTTAGAAAATAATTTCTTATAAAATCGGTGAGCACATTCTGAATAAATGTCGTAAATAATGGGAGCTACCTCAATAGTATCTACTTATATATCAACCGATTTCGTGTTCTGCGAGTGACTAGATTTCCAAGACTTTTCTCAAACTATGCCTCCAGATAGCTTTACATAAGGCAGCGGGTGACCCGACTATCCAGGCAGGGATAGACTCACTCACAGGCTATTTTGCCGTCAAAACTGCTAAGGGCTATGGCAAAGGCCTGCATCGCACACAGGGGATAGCGAAAGTCCATGGTGAACACATCCTCTGAGGTGCGACCGAATTGCATGACTATGTACTCGGGATCGGAGTCGTGGACCAGCTGAAAGTTCTTCACCGACGCCTGGGTGACGCGTCCGTGAAAGTTCAGTACATAGGACTGGGTCTCATCGTTCCACACCGGCGTCTTGTTGTGCAACTCCACAATGTTGTCCATGTTCTGAAGATGAGAAAATAAATTAGTAAGTAATAAGAGAATACTCTTGACGTTAATTAAGGCTCACCTTCATCTTCCACAGATCGAGAATGCCCTGCTGCTTGGGATCCGCCGAACTGATCTTGACACGCTGATCATCCTCAGTCATGCCAGGCAGTATCACAGTCATGTTGCGGGGTCCCTTGAAGCCCAGAATGTTGGTGTCCTGTGAAAATTGTGAAAAACATAAAGTGATATTTTAAGAAATTAATCATTTCAGGACTTTACAACGCACAAGGTCCATTAACGTTTCTGATTATAACTTACATAAATTATGACAGCCAGGTCCAGTCTAGGACTTTCCGAGCTCTCCTTGTTGCCATTGTCAAAGACCGTAAAGGATGTACCAAAGACATTGGAGCGAAGCTTGCCACAGAAGCCATCGGCGTTGCGGGACAGATCCGTGGGATCACAACTGACTATGTAGTTCGAGGTCTTGCTCTTCTTACGTTTGCGGCCTTCAGAAGGAATCAAGTGCGTGATAAGTGTAAACTGGAGGATAATATCGTAACTCACCTCCAAGCAGGAATATCTTCTTGCCGTAGTCCCGCTCCAGATGAAGATAATAGATAGGAAATAGACCTCGATCCATGCCCTTGCGATCGCGTGTGATGCGACACTTGTAGAGGACGCCCTGCGGCGCTGGCTGCATCACGAACTGGTCAATGTTACCGATGACATCACCCTCGGACTCCCCGCCAGCACCGTTTCCCGTTCCATTGCTGCTGCCGTCCATCGCTGTGGCATCCTTGAAGGGTGACGAGGCCAGGCCGGCGGGACGCACTGGCGCAGCACCCGCCACATTGCGATTGGTATAATCATCTTCGTCAAGGGTGTCGCTGAAGGAGTGCTGGCGGGCACGCGGTCGCTGTGATTGTGTCGAGTTGGCGCTATGCGGGGCTGTCTGCTGGTGCTGCTCGATCACCGTCACCGGACTGCTCTCGTCGTCCTCCAGCTCGTGTGACGATATCTCCTCGATCAGATCAGCTATAAGATCAATTAAATGGAAACTTTGCAGTTCTTATCACAATTTTTCAAAGTGTAGGAGAACTTACCCTCCTGGTTGATGGTGCTTAAGCTGCGCATGTTGTTCGAGTGGTTGCGACTCGTGTTCATGGCAACTGGAGCGCCGCCTCCGGGACTGCCGTTGGCCAGTATCTGGTCCGGATTCTGGGGCGAGCTGATGAACTGCATGGGTCCGTCGTAGGCGTGTAGCTCCCGGCTGTTGCTACGCATCCCGGACATCGGGCGGTTGATTTGAAGATCACTGGCCTGGACCATGCCCGGCGAGGCCCGCTTTTGGCGGATGTAGGCCTCCATCAGCTGGCGCTGCAAGCAGATAAAACAAAAACATTGTTTACTTCGCACTATAATCAGTGGCCACTCGAGGAATGCAAACCATATAAATTTCTTTGATTAGATTGGGAACCACCTTAGCGGTGGTAATGAGACAGTAAATCAAATAATTGTGATTGCTGTGGTGCACGTCCAGGATAGCTGATGGCACCGTAACCGTAATTATTTTTGATTTACCAAGCCACTACAATTCGCTGGTAAAATTTTTCCGTATCCAATTAGGCGGCCCAGTTTCGAGTTGCTGCAACAAATTGCAACAAAACTGAATTTACACCCACGGAGCAGATAAATAACCGTAATAAATGCCTGAATATTTGCATATGCATGGATACCCCTAATCCCCGCCAGCGGAATGCACAACGAGCTGCAGGTAATTGGCCGCGATGGGGGGAAAAGAGTGCCACGAATCGTGCTGATCCATCAGCATCACCATTGCCATCGCCCCAAGCTCCATCCCATCCTCCACGTTTCCCAATTCCATTCGCCACTCGGGAGCTCTCACTCAATGTTCTGCGACTGGTAACTGGTGGGTGTGGGTGTGGGAATGCGAATGCAAATGGACGCGGGTACGAGCCACCGTCAAATGACATGTGGGACAGCGGTTGATGGCAATGATTTCATTAAAGATTTAAATTTCAAGTTCACGTTCATGTTTGCCAGCGCAAAAACAAGAGCCGTATCTGTCAAAAGTTGCGCTGAAATTGCGCATATAAATCAAAGGGAATTTTCGCTCCCTTTCCTGCTTCTACCCCTCACAGGAGCTATCTACCCAGGCAGGATATAAAATGTGATATTAAGGCACAAGATTGGCTTCCTCACAACACTCGGGAGTTGAAATATTACTGTAGAAAAATGAAAATGAAATATTTGACTTTGAATAGGGCTAAGTTTGTTGTTCTTTCAACAAAGATAAAATGGGATACTAAAACGGAAATGGAAAGTACTAAAAAATTTCAACCGGAAATATAGTTTTCTTTAAATCCTTTTTAATATCTCTTGCACTTTCTTCTTGAACAAAACTTTTCATTATTTTCATCACGTTTATTTGCTTAGCATAGATATTATTTTTTTGTTTAGGTTACAGATCTTTGGTTCTACAGGAGGTTAACGTTACTCAGGATGCTCTCGATGGTGGAGTTCACTTCGCGCTCCTTGGCCACAGGATCGCACTGCAGCTGGAAGTAGCCCGGCAGGTCCTCCTCCGCCTCAAAGGCACTCGTCCGATTGGCGCCTATCCAGAGGTCCAGCCTGTCGTAGATAACACCAGTGGGTCCTTGCTGAAGGAACGAGTCAATGGAGTTCCGATCCTTAAGGTCCGAGCCCCAGAGCAGGACAATGGGAACCTGGGCCCTGCACCGCTGCACCAACAAAGGATCCGTCTTGAAGAAGACTGCATTGGGCGAAACCCCACCCAAATCGAGAGCCTGGGCAAAGTTTACACTTTGCTCCACGTTGCTGGTGCGGGGATCGCTGAAGGCGTTCTCCTTGCTGCTGGAGAGGAAGAGCACAGGATACATGTGCTGCTTGAAGCGGAGCAGGGAGCACAGGTCCGCGTCGAAGCTCTTTATAACGTTGAGCCTTCCGCAGCCGTATCGTCGCACCACCGCCAGGATGCGGTCCGCAAACAGGTTCTTGTCTATCGTCTGCTCGCTCTCGAACTGGCCATCCGCTTTCTGCTGGGGCCACTTGATCTCGATGTCGAAGCCGGTGGTTAGGTTCACGCGTTCAAAGAAGTCCTGCAGTGTGGGAAAGAGACGTTGTTCCGGCGGTTCCACGTTGTTGTGGGCTGGATACTCCACAATTTTGTTGCCCACAATCTGATAGGTCTTAAGCTCCTTCAGCTGCTCATAGGTGATGTCCTTCAGCAGCACTTCGGTCAAGTCATCACGGCTCGTTGGCGTCTTAGAGTCGATGCACACGCGAATAGAGAAGTCATGGGCGATGATGGGCACTAGATCGCTGGTGAGCTGGACATCAAACTCCACAAGGTCCGCTCCCAGCTCGGCGGAAGCCAGCATCGAGGCCACTGTGTTCTCGATCAGGGGAGCCGCATTCGAGGTTACCGTAAGACTCTTGCCCAGTCCCCGGTGGCCGATCTCCAGAGCCGTCCAGTTGCTTCGCCAATAGTTGGCGAAGCTGGTGCGCAGGTCGAAGCCGTCCTGTTCCATGGGTCGGATGAGCAGGTATTCCAGTCTGAGTACGCCCACCACTCGCTGCCAGAGCGGAGAGATCAGGGTGACGGAAACGGTACCCTCGCTGCCGGACAGGGAAGTGGGATGCAAATGAGCGTAGCCCAGCAGACGGACCAGGCTATCCTCGGGCTGCTCGGCATAGACTTCCACCAGATAGGCCACTTGCTCCAGCTGTTCCAGGCCCACGTGAAACATAAGGATATCTGCGGCGGAGAAGGGCACTCCGTACTCTGGCTGGACCCGCAGCTTGCTGTCCCCGTAGGTCATTCGCACGTATTCCACATTGGCGCGAGCCGAGCTCAGGATGGGTGCCAGAGTCTTTGGATCCACGGGTTGCAATCGCAAACGCAGATGGCCGCGTCCCTCCTCCGGCTGCTCCTCCAGAGTCAGCACGTCGCGGAACACCTTCAGTTGAAGGATACTGCCGGAGTCCTGAAGCCAGCCACGCGACAACTGTCGCTCCGTTCCAATGAGTCCGAACTCATCGCTGCGGTTTCCAGGGAACTTGGTGGTGTTGAAGGACCTGGCCATGACATGCGACTCCCAGCGACGCACCTGCACGGCGCCACTCTGACCCACTGCAGCCGCAAAGAATCGGTATTCCACACTGCTGTTCTGGGGGATTTCCACGGATGCGGTCCACACATTATGATTGGCTGTGCGATTGAGGAGCACTGCCTGCCCCGCCTGCCAGGCGCCCAAGACGGGCAGGTTGCCCACCAGTGCTGGGCGCTCGAAGGCCGCCAGCTGGGCTTCCGCTGTATCCGGAAGCGTCAGCGTGAAGTTGAAAAGCAGCGGGGCATTCCGCTTGAGCGGCACGTACCGTCGGGCCGCATAGTACTTCTCGTAGTAGGATGTGTCACAGAAGGTCTCCACCGGGAGCAGGCACAGAGTGCTCAGCCAGGCGACGGTGAATGCCACGAAAGTCTTTGACCAGGACATGGACATATCGGCTGTGTCCGCCCTTGACGGCGATCGCGGTGCTACTGACGAACAGGGGCCGCGTTTTTTGGGGAAACCTGACCAAGCTCTTATCGCTGGATCGGCGGCAGGAGATTTATGGCAGTGGCCACATTTTCGATCAAGTGAGCGACGCGATAAGGTGCCGATGGCTATCGGAGTCTCGACGCGAATTTGAAATTCTCGACTCGTCTGGCCCGTGGTCAAGCCCGTTCTGTGCTCGCACGTGTGGCCTAGACTCGTGCATTTAGCTAGAGATACAACTAATGATACAGAGATGAATACACCTACATATACAAATACATCTAAAGATACAGATACAAATACATAAGCCGCTGCAGATATTCGTACTGCGACGTGCTCATCAAAAGCTTTTGGGGCACAGTGCCTACGTCATCGTCATCCCGGGTGGCCATAGTGGCCGCAGTTTTAAGTGAATTTGATTCCCCGAGTGTTGCGCAAAAGCTTCACCTTCAGGGGCTGCGGGCAGGGGATGCCAGGGAATGACTACATACCATATATAGTATGGCTCTTATAGTACGTCGCGCAGCTCCCCTTATGTGGTGGCTGACCCCCAGTCGGGCAATTTACATGGTGAAAGTTTGTCAGCGGCCGTGTAATTTATCCGCTTCGCTCAATTACGGATTTCGTAACGTTTTGTTCTTTTTTTCTTTCCTTGGGCGTCGCAATAATAATAATAACAGCAGGTACAGTTCCGTTAGAAATGCTCGAAGGGTAATCAGCTGAGAGCGCCCGTAATTACATTGACTCCTCCCGGCGCAGTGCCATCCTTGGAGGTGACTTTGGCCTGGGCTAAAACTAAAACTCGGAGGCACGTTCTTCTTTTTGTCTACTGTTCTTTTTTATGAGAAAAACGCGATTATGTGAAAATTCGAAATCAGTTGGCTGCCAAGAAAAACTCAAGTACTGAGCACGTACGACACACACATGCACAAAGAGGAAATGCAGAGCTCTTGAGAAGGGGAAAAACAAGAGACGTTGCCTCCGGGAGAATCGGAAAAAGCTGTAGAGGCGAAAACTTGCAAAAAGTCAAAGTAGAGCACAACAAAACACACAACTCTTCTGCGTGGCTCGTTTATGGGTTGACATAAATAACGAGTACCGAGAACGGAGAATGCATAAAAGTAAGCTCAGTGCGGCGCTTCTAGCTGATGGAGTAGTCAATGGTGCAAGGCATTAGGGGTAACTTTGTAGCACTGTCATCTGGCGCATCTCTGGCCACCATAAAGAATGTAATTTTATTACTTTCACATAGAAGGGGTGCCAATTTTATGGTACTTGTCCTGTGTTTAACAGGAAAATGTTATAATCAGCGAATAAAGATACAATTTTATTAGACTTGGGAGTTTAAAATCTCAAAATATCTTCCAAGCTTCGATATATATATTTATTACAATGAAATTAAAGACAAAATAACCATAATAACTTATCAATTTAATAATACATCTCCCTTAAGAGCATAAAATTTCCATAAAAAACGTGCTCTTCAGACATAATCCCTCGCTTATTATATACATATAATAATAAGGTTTTATTATTTTTCAATTTCTCACACACAAGTCAAATTAACGAAAATATACGACTGCAGGGGGGGGGGGGGTCAACGGGGTGCGATGTTATTAACGGGTAAATGTGCAAATGTTTCTCAGCAACTTTTTTGGGTTTGGCTCAGCGCATTTATTTTAATTTGGGACCAGACAAATTTGCGTATACGTAACGAAGGGGTCGCCATAAAAGACATAAGCACAGGGCACATGCACACGCACACGTACACACGCAGCTTAGGGAAGGTCAACTGTTGTTCGGTATGTAGCATACTTTCGGGGGTCGCGTAATAAAATGATTACTCATACGCCCCGTGCGCAAAACAAGGAAATTGAGAGCGTCAGCAAGGCAAACAGGCCGAATTGTATGGGATTGTGGCTCTTTTGTTGTAGCCGCCGCCGCCACTTGTTTGTTGTTTGTTATTTGCAAATACGACAACAGCCGGGAAAGGCAAATCAACCCCTTCGTCCTTCCCTTTATCCCCAATCCGCCATCAGCCATCAGCCAGCTCTTGAGCTGGCAAGAACCGGCTGCTGACGGTTGATGTGTTTTGGCATAAGGGATTATATGCACGTATTACAGCGGCTTAAGTGGGCTTCCGCAGGGCCAAAAAATGAGAAAGGCACCCTGAAAAAAAGTTGTAAAAGTTTCTCAATTTAGTAAACAAAGTTACTGAATATATTTAAAGGCATTCTCTCGCTTATATTGCTTCTAGTTTAATAATGTGATTAATTTCCTATTCATTACACACAATTGCTTGAAAGTAAAAAGTACTATGTACGGGCCGGAGTAGATCCTTGTAATATGGAAAAACCTTAATAGAATTCGGTAAAACCTGAAAGCCAAGTGTGTAACTTACACTTACGCACATCCAATAGCCGATGGCCTGGAAAAATGCTCATCAATTTTCAGCCTGGTCAACAGACAAAAGCAAATAGCCTGGGATGTATCCACGATCCGGCCATTAACCCCTGAAGTGTGGGGGGAACTCACGGAACTGGAACTGCGTGAAAACTATTACGAGGGACATCATCATAACAGCTTTTCGCCTTTGCCTTTGCCTTTGGCACCCTCTCTTCCCCCGCTCGTGTTGGTTTTGGCCATATTGACATTCATTTACGTGCTCGCTTCATTAAGCCATAAGCCGGGGTCGTGTTGGGTCGGATGTGTCATGTTCACACAATGGAGACACCAACCCAAACACGAGGATGCTGCGAGCCCAATGTGTTCCCAAAATTGGATAAAGAGCTTGCGGACATTGGCTTATGGCTTTGGCAAACGAAACAAACTGCTCAGTCATTTGCAGCTATAAAAGTTTTTCAGACAAGTCCTTACAAATATTATTTGGCAACAGAGTGAAGCTTCAGCAGGGCATTGCGGTTAGTCAGTTTCCTGAAATAATATATATCACTAGACAAACGGAGAGTTATATGTACAAAATGAATGTGTGGAATAAAATAAACAATGATGACTAGTTGATGCATTTCCAAAAAAATAAGAAAGCTAAAACAAAAGTTTCGAATGCACATAAAATTGTATAAAAAGAACTATTCGATGGCCAGCTTCCGGCGCCGAACAAACTGTTAAACTTTTGATTGGTATTCATGGAACATTCGATATAGTCTTTCCCAACGTTTTACTTCGTGTGTTTGGTTTCTAAATATACAAACACATGACTGCACCGACCATTCAATATTTGCAAGCTTTAAAAATTTAATGAGTCTGCTGTGCTCTATTATTTTTTCCCATGTCAGCCTTGGTCCCTTGTGTTTTTGAGGTCAGGTGAATTCAATTTCCGGCTCGACTGGGAAACAAGTTAATGCTGGGATCCATTGACCGAACTCATTTGGTTTAGGAAACATGACCACAGAGAAAAGCCACATTCAACTAGCCAAGGATGTGAATGCTTACGGACAGATGAACATTAGAGCTGGAAGAACATATATAGTATTGATTGAGTTTAAGGATTTTGCGTATTTTAGGATTATAGGAAGGGTCTTATAGTTTTAGTCAGATATCCTGAAAGCAGAGAAGGAGTCATTTCCGAACCTATAAATAATATATATTATTGATCAGCATTAACTAGCGAATCATTCTAGCCATGTCCGGCTAAATCTAAATAAAAAATTACAAAATTTTGGAAAAAATATTAAAATTTGCAGACTTTTAAAGCTAATAAAAACTAACACAGAAAAGCTTTCCGAATTAAAATTAAATCATTTTTGGCTGAGTTATGATGTCAAAGGATATAACATTTTTCAAAGTAAGATACCTTTCCTGTCTAAGTTTTTATTTATCAAAAATAAATTTTGACTTTTTAATTGTCTGATTTCGATTTATAAAAAACTTTCCACGAAAAAAAAACAAAAGTAATGTTACCAAAACTATAATTTACTATCGGCAGCTGTGCCAATCGATAATATTGATGTTTATTGCACCTATTAGTTGCTATCGTTGACTGTACCAGCTCTATTGTCGCTTCTTCCGCCTTTTGCATAAAGCCAACTGACATGCTGCCTTTTCCTTTATCCGGGTTTGCAGTTGTATGTTGGCCAACCGCAAGGCAAAGCAACAAATGGGAACAAGAAAATTGCTTTGGTTTCCCCGAGCCCCCCGGTTCCCTACATCCTTTCCCCCCAATCGTCCTGGTTTTCCTCCCCATCTTCTTCCGCTGAATGTTTCTTGGCAAGTACTTTGATTTCCGTCTGTGGGGCCGCCTGACAAGTGCAAATTCCTTTGCTCACAGCCCACTGACAAAGTTTTTAAGACTCGACAAAGCCACTTAAGGACACAAAGTCCCGTCACAAAATACATTTGAGACGCGTGAGATCCTCGGGCGCAAATTAGTTACGTTTTTAGTGTAATTCTCCCCCTTTGCAGGCCCCGTTTGTATGCAAATTCCGAACAATAACAAGGATAACAACAAGAGCCAACAAGCAGACAAGAAGCGACATTGACTGCGGCTTTGTGTGTGAGCGTGCGAGCATGCCCCCATGTGTGTGACCCTAGTTCTGTGTGTGTGTGTGCGTGTGAGCCTGAAAGTATGCAGCGAAATGCGACGAGGAGCAAGTGCCTGAAGAAGTGAAAAGGAATAGAAAACAATCGCGATGCCAACGCGGTCACATTGAGTCATGTGTTATGATATTTTTGAAAAATAAAGGCACATGCATGCTCTTGACTTGGGGGTTACATTTTATGTGGACTTTAAGTCTATACAATTCTAAACTTCTTGACTCATCCAACTTTACGGCAAATATATATTTTTAACTCGTTATGGAACTTTATAGGAACAGCTTGAAAAGTCTATAAAGCGAAAGCAAATATGAACTATCTGAAGTTAAACAAGAAAATAAGTTCTTATATCAAGTTCTTATATCCCTGCAGTTTGCAATATAATTTTTGGATTCAATCGCAAATTTAGCATAACTAAGTTTCACTTAGTTTCGGACTAAAATTATAATATCCTGCAAGGATATAACAATGTAAAAAAATAAATCAGTTAGACCAAGGCTAGTTATTTGTATGTTATCGTTAGCCTTTTATTAACTTAGAAGTTCTATTTAAAGGACTTATGACCAACCAAGTCGAGGCCACCATGCAGAGAAGTCACAGTAATTTTGCCTCTAGCGAA